CCAGTCGATGGACAATTAACAACCATCACAATCGAATTCGATTGCTTGTAATATACACAGTGTCACCATAATTTTAATAAAAAAACTGGAAATATTGATCGTTTTCGTGGTTATTTCATATTTATTTGTTGTTTCGAGCATATAAGCATATAATTTATTATTATACTATTACGCGCATCGATTTCATGAGCTGTGCGCCTCGTAAAACTTTATTGGTAATTACGGGGCCGGTGCACAACTTTTATCGCCTCCGTATATGTCAGCTAGTAATATATCAGGCTCATTTGCGTTTGATTGCAGCCCGACGGTGCAAATAAATTTATTAATTGAGAAATTTTGAGCGGATTATGTGCGTATTGCATATTATTTCGTATTTATTTCAATTCTTTCGGTGTTTTTATGAATTATAAAAATGTTTCCGCATGTAACCTACATAAAATTTTAATTTGAAAAGAGCCTAGACGTATATAAAATAATTATAATCCGTGCATGAGGTTTACAGTCTAAACCACTGGAGCGGAAATATTCGGTGGTCAAAATGCGGAATTAATGCCTGGATGTGTGCGCGGCGCAAAACCCTTTCGTTTTTCGCCGCCTGCGGTCGCCGTAACAGGTTCTAATATAGCGTAAACCTCGGCGCGTTTTTTGTAATAATCAGTTGAGCGCAGCTTTCTGCATACGCGATACGCCGATTCGGAAAGTTTTCGAGCGGCGAGGCCACTTGGAACTATTGCGGTTATGTTGTGGCCACCACTGCCCGCTTTGAAAGAAGAGGTTTTATAATAATGCTCGCGCGCGCGCGAGTCCCGAGAGGGATGATAATAAAAGGTCGATGTGTGGGTGTTGAGCAACGATTAAAAATGTTTGCGCGTGTAAGCTGGATGTACGAGCAGATAACATGTGAAAGCCGATTGTGACAATTAATGACGTAAAAATCACCTTAACCGAATTTAAATCTTGATTTATTCGCCGGGGGGGCGTAGATTATAATTTATAGATTTTTATTATCATTTATTATTAGCATTTAAAACGTGGAATCAGAATGTAAATAATGAAAACAATAATAATATTTCGGGGCGAAATGAAATGTAGCATCAAACTCAAAGCGGAATTTACTTAAAAGCTTTCGCCAAATACCCAAACATAATTCGCATTCATCAAAAATCTTCTTACGCCGCTTTGAATTACAACGTGCAAACATAAAAGACATGCCGGAAAGAGCACACATACAGCCAGAACGCATTGCAGGCTGCCATTCATTCTTCAATTCATAATCGGATGGAAAAGTTGAATTTAACTTAATAACCCTTTTCAATTTACATCCGACAACATTACATCCAGCTGGGGCGCGCGGGCGGGCGTTAGGCGCCACCGGCATCCTTCGTAATTTTAGACAAATATTAATTACCCGCAGCTTGAATGCGCATTCAGATGTGTAACATGCCATAAAGTACAATTCGCGCCGCGCGCGAGATTGAGGTTTACAATACACCTTGCAAATATTCAACGAGTATAAGATGACGAGTGTAAGTGGCCATAGCAACGCGTTCGGTACTTATACGCCAAGTCAAACTCATGCCGCGAGTTAAAATAAATTTATTAACTTGCGAAACAAGCCAGAAAAACACTTTGTATAAGTTTCGCACGTACCAGCCGATATATTTGTATGTGCGTCTCTGGCTGGATATAATAATATTAGCTATTTTATGTGGAAAAATTTCCATATAAATATGTTTCTAAAGCGCACGTTGTGTCCGTGCGGCGCGCGCGCACGAGCTCTTTAAACAGGTGTCAAATAATGTACAAGATATACTGATTATCCAATATCCAATTTCCTTCTCCACACACATACATACGCGTCGACTTGGGCGCGAAGAAGACTGTTAGGTCTTGCGAATGTCATATAAGTGCCTGCGCATTTACATAATGCCATCGTGGGCGGTAAAGACACATTGTGTGGGTGTGCGGCTCGGTGTGTCGAAGGCCGTTAGGCACGAAACGTGGCGGCGGCGGCGCAGCACACACACCGCCTCCAGGGCCGAAAACTTCCCAAAAATGACGGCGCGCACACGCATCCCATTCCATGAACTTGACATATCTTCTAATATCTCTAATATCTTCCGCCGGCGCATATGCTAGAAAGTTAATAGTCTATTTGCGCGCGTATTAAGTTCCTTTTAGCATATACTTTTTGCGCTTCTTCTGCGCGCTCAAATTCTTTTAGGTAACTAAAATACGATATGACCGTAATTTATGCTTTCAGCCGCGCGCACGTGTACACTTCTTTTATTAAGCAAAGTAATACATTTTTTTTTCTCTCGGTGTGTGTGTGTTATCTCGCCAAATGACGTTAAAAGTAGAAATAAATGATTGCGATGTTGTTATTCATGGCGCTGCACAAATGTTTTTATTAAAATAAAGAAAGCACGCCGAAACAAGCCAGTGTACAATGAGGGGGTCGGGAAATTGGGAAGACAGTCGTAAAAATATTTTTATGTGAATTAAATTGCCAGCCGGTCATAAATCCTGCGTGCGCGCGCGCTGACTTCACGCGCCGCCGCCGGGAGATCACCGTGTGTTCGTCCTTGCTGGCTACAGAATATTTCATTTGTAAAGAGGCTCATTGCAAACATTTGCGCGCACCTAATAAAATTAGAAAGTAACAAGAAAAATTACACGAATTGATTCCTCAGAAGACGAGTATAATAATTATTTCGAGATAAAGCAATTTATTCTCAAGTTTCATTCATTTCATTCAGGTATAATAACTAATGTGCGCCGACAATATTGCGCCCTCTTTCTGGTCTCTCCATAAATTGCTTTGTTAATTATGAATACATGAATTTAATTAAAATTGCAATTTCTGCCGTTGCGAAAAGTTGATGTTCTCTCATTATACTCGTTAGAGTCGTTATAGTTGAAGCGCTGAAGTATCCCGCCCCACTTGCCGCCGCCACACAGCAAGAAGTGTGTTTTTGGACGCGCGTCAGACCAAGAACCCACTTGTTATTATAAGCGTGGGGCGGGCAAGCACCAGGAACGTTTTGCTTATTCATGACGAAGCGACGACCCAAATTGAACGAAATATTTTCGGCAACTCTTCGATAATTATCTCGTTAACGCCGACGCCGAAATTGAGCTATTTACTATCGTAATAACAATCGTAATTTAACCTGTGATAATAACTATTGTTATGAGGTACTAGCACAAATTAATTTCCGTGTATATTATACGTGCAGCGATAAAACTTACCAACGCGTTAATTTCACATTCATAGTTAACTACATTTGTCGAATAATAGTGTTGATGATAAATGGCATGAGTTATGTTTTCGTATTTTTATGATGGAAAAAGTAGAAACAAAACAAAAATGTGCAATTTATCCCCATCCGTTAAAAGAAGCCGTTTGCCATTTGTCTCGTCTGACAATCCCGACGCCCCGTAATGGGATGCCCGTAACAAAAGCAAGCAGACCAGAAACTGACCACAAATTACTTAAGGGACGGCTCCACGTCGACATCAGCGTCTGACGATGGAGCGTTGCACGAGATCAGATTGTGAACGCGCAGAGCAGCGTGTCCACTCAACGAGATAATACAGGATCCGGCAAATTAACGGACCATTAAATGCCACTGATTTTATAAGTGTATCAGTGCTGGCATTCGTCTTGTCTTCGCAGAAAATGCAATAAACTAGATGCTTACCTCAGACGGACTCGGGTACAATGATACACGTAATTGCAATCGGTCGTAAACTGAAAAATCTAACCTCAAAATGTGACTATTTCTATTTTCTAACCTCTAAAGTTGCGAAATCAAAATACTCGATCATGCTTTTCTATATGATCCATTTATATTGACGTAGCATTGGCACAATACCAATATGAAGGAAAAATATCTATATGTCTGCAGATATAACACGTCCGGTCACATAGGACTAGTTACACGTAGCCGATGTAAGTACGGAAGCCATTTCGCTATATTGGAAATCTATGGCCGCGTGTGACGGATTTATGGCGAACTTTATACTCGGGCTATTTACCGAAGATTTAACGATTTCAACCTTTACAAATAACCAGCCACCAACCTTTGGCTTACGACCACGATTACACTACGCCATGAAAATGCATTTTACTCACCAGCATACACGAAATAAATCGATACCCGTAAGCAAAAACACTATAAATACGCTGATAATTAATTTTTTGACGGCCTGGCGCGCATTAAATCTTACCCCTCGGGTATTAATATCTATGACAACTAACAAAGAGATGAAAACAAGCACAAATGCGCGGATATAAATTAAAGACATCATTTTTTCAGCAAATTTTTGCGAGGGGAAAGGCGGATCCTTTGTGATTGTAATGTAAGCAATCAATTATACCGACAACAATGAAGATTATTAAAATGTAGGTGTGTTATGTTTTCAAGCAAACGCGCAATTACAGATTAAATATTAAAGATTATTTTGTCGCCGCACAATGGCTGGCTACACCGGTTATAATTTGTTGTTGTATGGTATGGAGTTGATATTTTAAATATTTACACGCGCTCCTCCATTAATGCTCTTTTATTAATGGTAATGCGTCAAAAAGTAAACACTTTGCATGTTTTCTTTGGCACCTTACGCCTTATCCAAGCGAAAGGTATTATAGTGACAAAAGTATTAAAAATGTTTGTGAAATTAAATTGACGTTGAAGACTAGCATTAGCGGAAGGTGTACAAAAGACTACTTAGGATAATATAATTTTACTTTCAAAACAAAGGTATTTATCACCTTGCAATTTAAGAGTAATTAAATAATTTTCTAGGATAGGGTTACGGCCAGAAGTTAATTGAATTGATGTATATGTAGGTTTCGTAGTGTAGCGGTTATCACGTCTGCTTTACACGCAGAAGGTCCCCGGTTCGACCCCGGCGAAACCAGTGTTTTCACGTTTTACGGACCGGGGAATAAAATTCTTGTTCGCCAGAATTTTTACATCCAGGAGAAGTAAGGAAGTTTCGTAGTGTTGTGGACTGGTTATCACGTCTGCTTCACACGCAGAAGGTCCCCGGTTCGATCCCGGGCGAAACCAACGTTTTAGCATTAATTTTACGGTCCTGGGAAGAAAAAATCATTTTTGCCAGAATTTTTACATTCAGGAAGAGCAAGGAGGTTTCGTAGTGAAGCGGTTATCACGTCTGCTTTACACGCAGAAGGTCCCCGGTTCGACCCCGGGCGAATCCTGTGTTTTAGCATTAATTTTACGGCCCGGGGATTAAAAATTCATTTTTGCCAGAATTTTTTCATCCAGGAGAAATAAGGAGGTTTCGTAGTGTAGTGGTCATCACGTCTGCTTCACACGCAGAAGGTCCCCGGTTCGATCCCGGGCGAAACCAGTGTTTTAGCATTAGTTTTACGGCCCGGGAATTCGACCCAGGCGAAACCAAAATTCTTGTTTCCCGGAATTTTTACATCAGAGGGGAGCAAGGAGGTTTCGTAGTGTAGTGGTTACATCCACGTCTGCTTCACACGCAGAAGGTCCCCGGTTCGATCCCGGGGCGAAACCAGTGTTTTAGCATTAATTTTACGGCCCGGTTTTAGAAGAGAAAAATTCTGTTTTGCCAACATTTTTACATCCAGGAGAAATAAGGAGGTTTCGTAGTGTAGTGGTCATCACGTCTGCTTTACACGCAGAAGGCCCCGGTTCGACCCCGGGCGAAACCAGTGTTTTGACATTAGTTTTACGGCCGGGGATTAAAATTCTTGTGTCCCGGAATTTTTACATCAGAGGGAGCAAGGAGGTTTCGTAGTGTAGTGGTCATCACGTCTGCTTCACACGCAGAAGGTCCCCGGTTCGATCCCGGGCGAAACCAACGTTTTAGCATTAATTTTACGGTCCTGGGAAGAAAAAATCATTTTTGCCAGAATTTTTACATCCTGGAGAATTAAGGAGGTTTCGTAGTGTAGTGGTCATCACGTCTGCTTCACCCGCAGAAGGCCCCCGGTTCGACCCCGGGCGAAACCAATGTTTTGGCATTAGTTTTACGGCCCGGGGATTAAAAATTCTTGTTTCCCGGAATTTATAAATCAGAGGAGGGCAAGGAGGTTTCGTAGTGTAGTGGTCATCACGTCTGCTTTACACGCAGAAGGTCCCCGGTTCGACCCCGGGCGAAACCAGTGTTTTAGCATTAATTTTACGGCCCGGGGATTAAAAATTCATTTTTGCCAGAATTTTTTCATCCAGGAGAAATAAGGAGGATTCGTAGTGTAGTGGTCATCACGTCTACTTCACACGCAGAAGGTCCCCGGTTCGATTCCGGGCGAAACCATTGTTTTGACGTTTTACGGCCCGTGGATCAAAAATTCTTGTTTCCCGGAATTTATAAATCAGAGGAGGGCAAGGAGGATTCGTAGTGTAGTGGTCATCACGTCTGCTTCACACGCAGAAGGTCCCCGGTTCGATCCCGGGCGAAACCAGTGTTTTAGCATTAATTTTACGGCCCGAGGATTGAAATTCATTTTTTCCAGAATTTTTACATCCAGGAGGTTCAAGGAGGTTTCGTAGTGTAGTGGTCATCACGTCTGCTTCACACGCAGAAGGTCCCCGGTTCAACCCCGGGCGAAACCTGTGTTTTGGCATTAGTTTTACGGCCGGGAATTAAAATTCTTGTTTCCCGGAATTTTTACATCAGAGGGAGCAAGGAGGTTTCGTAGTGTAGTGGTTATCACGTCTGCTTCACACGCAGAAGGTCCCCGGTTCGACCCCGGGCAAAACCAGTGTTTTAGCATTAATTTTACGGCCCGAGGATTGAAATTCATTTTTTCCAGAATTTTTACATCCAGGAGGTTCAAGGAGGTTTCGTAGTGTAGTGGTCATCACGTCTGCTTCACACGCAGAAGGTCCCCGGTTCAACCCCGGGCGAAACCAACGTTTTGAATCTTACTGTCCATTCTTATTAAACAATATACTATTACACCCCTAGAGTGGTAAATATGATATTGTCATCCGTAGATTAACCTAACTTGTTGATTTGGAATTAGCTTTTCTTTGAATTGGAGCCTCGTACAAGTTGGTCGTAGCAAATATCCCTCTCCCACAACCAGAAGAAGATGATCAAATTACCATTGTTAACTCCTTTGTGATGAGATAATTCGGTGGCACGCACATTCGGTTCATATGTGTCGCCACGTAGAGTTCTGAGCACACTTCTCTGTTTGATAACTGCTACTTCTGCCTCTGGTCTGCCCGCTGCCGAAAAGAACGTCGGCAACACCACGTAGCACGCAGTGAATGTCGACCCGGCGGCGCGGAAATTTGTCTCGTACGTGTGTGCACGAATCTCGCGCACTGGACAAAACCAATTAGCGCCAAACTCCCACACGCTGGCCCACTTCGAGAGCAATATGAATGTAATTTGATTACCGTAATGCTTTTGTAACGTTTTTCGTCCGTCTGCGGGTGAATAATGAAAATACGCTTCGCAAAAATTGCCGCGCGTGTCTACAATATTATTTTGTTGCTGATGGAGGCGGTGGCAATGCAGTAAATGAGCGCACAGAGAGCTAGTTGCCCTTTGCACTTTAGGAAAACCGCTGTGCAAGTTCATTTGCCGTGGTCGGAGGGCCAGATTTGAGCGCTGCACATTTCGATCGGACTTTGACTTCCATTTCGGACACACAATGCGCTTCATTCGCACAATGCGAATCATGTAGCACACGCTGCTCAATTAAAGCTCGATTGTATAAATAGCGACAATTGTCGGTTCGGTTTTCAATTCGACGTGCGGTCATTATAATTAGTTTGATGGACATTTGCAACAAGATTTTCCTTGAAACAAACGAATTTAATTTTGATGTGACAATAATGTCTTTCACTCTTGAATACTTGATATCGGCATTGTAAAGAAATTGACATCATGACTTTATTAGCGAAATAAAAATTTAGATTTTTCATCGTTTTGCTAGCAAACCGCATGCACTTCTTCTATTATAAAATCCTTTCGCAAATAATACCATAGCATGGCGAGCGTGCAATCCAATTTTTATTCAATTTGCATATTGAAAATCGAAGTGCGCCACACGCCAGCATATAATTTCCCATCGTTACCAGCTCGCAGCGTACATATCCAATTTCTTTGCATCGCGTTTTCGCTTATTACGTGTCTCGATATCAAATGTTCAAACTGTCATTTTCTTATTCGCATGTTGGCCCAGAGGCTCTCATTGTGTATACAGTATCTACGAGTACACACACATTCATGCATTGGTACATTGTGCGCCTAGGTATCTGATATCTACCCGGCGCAGTAGGTCTCTGGCAGTCACTCTAACTGCGCGCACAAGAACGAATCTTACGAGTACACAATACGTTTTGCATTTCGCATTCGTCTATCTATCCATCTATATTGCGAGCTACGAGCCACAGGAGAGAGCGGAGGGTTTTGGTGGGAAGCTGGCCTGGCATTTTGCTCTCTCTGTGTGTATGTGAAGGTATTGCCCGCGTCGAAATCCGTCGGGGCTGATATAAATGTCAGCCTGATATCGTTCGTATTTCGATGCTAAACGTATTGCATGTACATACACTCTAATGCGCATGTTTACTTTGCCAGAAAGTAAAAGCCAGCGTATACAGAGACAAATCGCAGTGCAAGAATCTGATACCGAGATATCTTTTCTGTAAATCTCGGCTTTACATTTTCAAACATTTTATTGATGAATGTAGCCTGGGGTTTTACGCGTGGTGGGTGAAAATCACGCGCAATCAATTACCGATTACAGTATGGTTGAGAAATTAACAAAATTAAATAACGAAATGCTAATGCCATGCTAACTGCCGTGAATGTTTGATCCGGTTTATAAATCAGCGCCGCTGAAAAAGCTGTATGTATTGCAATAATATGATAATTAATGTGCCGGCGAGAAAATGGGAAATTTGTGCGCAAGTGCACACGCGTTTCGCGAGCGCGCGCGGAAAAAAATGATGATTTGTGCCGCATTTTCAGCCGAGGCGCACTTTGTTCCGCATTTAATGCGGCGAAATTGAGGCACATACGCAAATTAAATGTTTCCTCGTCATAAACTCCAACCGTAATTTTTTCCTCATTTCGCCGCCCGCCGGCTATTAACGGGCCCTTTCTGGGTCATGTTTGTGCGGATGCGTATACAGCGCGGGGTGCAATGTGGATTTTTTGCTTCGGGGCGCGTTAATTTGTTAGCTGCCGCGCGATAAGCCTTAAAAAGGATAGTGCGCCGACCGAAAGCGTAATTATCGAAGCGAACATCCGCCAAATCCAACCCCACCGCCGGCCTGAAGGTAATACCGAGCAGGAAGGGCGAGCGGCGCAAGAAATTCGCCACTTCCTTATCGTATCGGAACACTTTCCCTTGTACTGCAGCACCGACTAGGAATTGGGACTGACACAGGTTGATTATATCGCTGAATTTGATCCTAATGTGGAGATAAATAAAGATTACTCCGGACTTGTTCCGTTGGCCACAAGAAAAAAAATTAAATAAAATGAAACAAAAAAGGTTTTACTACGAAAATAAATTGTCAAAGTTTCTGCAGAGGGTTCAAGCAAGTTGAATGAAATATATACACAACTTACCAGTGAGCCTCGGCAAAAAAACTTTATATTTTTTGAACGTTTGAACACTCTACGGGATTTTTACATTTAAATACCGCCAGTTATGCAGTCCTTGAGTTCGGTTTGCCGGCGCCCAAGTTTCGACGCATGCAAACTGAAAACGTTTACGAACGCCTGCCTTGAATGGTCGGCCCCAGGACGGATATTTCCGGGGAATTTTCCTCGACGTAGTCAAATATTTAAGTGTAATGATATTTCCAAACAACAAGGAAAGTGGATGTTTAAGCGGGATGCTTATTTCGTCTCTTATCGCTTTTTGCGAATAGGAAATATAAAAACAACCGCACGCGCCCAGACTACAGAGATTAAACTTTGTGTGCACATTGCAACGCCTCCAGGGAGGCGGCAAGTTGCTTGCTTCAACATAATGCTCGACTAGTTTGCTGAAAAATATTTCCTATATTGGCACGCCGATATATAGTATTCGCGTAGCGTATGATTTATTGTAAAATGGTTAGCATCGCACCGACGGACGATAACTAATGGAACTCCATTTGGATAATGTGATTGAATGAAACATAATGACGACGTTCGAACGACGTAACAAATGTTCGCGATTGCTTCGCGTGTATGTGCCGCCGTCGCTCATACCGTGTGGATAATGAGTAATGCACGCGAATTTCGAATATAATGCATGTGCGCGAAAATTCAAGCGGCGGCGGCGGCGGCGGCGTGATGGAGGAAACGCAATCGATTGGGCATTTCATTAATTTCCACGCAAATGAATCTCGTGCACGCGGCGGCGGCACACGCACCGCTTGCTCGAGGGCTAAGTATAGCGGCGGCAAAATGCGCTGATTGCTCTATAATTTCACATAATGATGTGATGCTGTATCGGCATCGACACACACACACACACACACAGTGTATTTGCGCATAATAATATCACCATTGGCAATCGATTCATTTTACTCGTGGCGGCAAACCAAACACGGCACAGCAACAATGTGGATATATACGTAAATTAGGTTGAAACATTTTCCACCGCATGATGTACAGTTAATATTTTTTGTTTACGCAAAAAAATTACTAGTTTCAGTTCATGTAAAATTCAAACGTAAAAAACGAGAGGAATTTATCAAATGTGCGAGATAACACATTGTATTGAAGTATTGAACATTTGGGAAATTGGTGAGGCGTTAAAACCGCACATATATTCAATCATTTGATGCGGCTCTCGTTGGCAACATTTGCTGAAGTGTGCACACGGTGGTCTATTTGGGAAACGTGCAGCGGCATCACATATTCGCGCAGCGGCCATTCTCTAATTTACTGTTTCTATTCATTCTCATACTCACAGCCAACAGCAACGAGAGTAATCCACTAACTAATAAATCCAATTGAAATAGTCGCGTGTAGAAAAAAGTTCCATCGCGTAATTAAATTCGTATCTTGTTCTCAATAACCGGATTAAAAAAGGTGGCGATGTTAAGCGGGGAAAAATAAACCGCTGGCATTTCTGCTTGTAATGTTTTTCCTTTTATTTGCGCAAGGGTTGCCGCTCGGAGATACTTAATGGTGTTTTTCAAGTCCGCACCGCTTTGCGTTATATTGAAATGGGCCCAAACGAGATGTACAAAAGCGAAGGTAGCTTATGTGCGGCAGCAGGCAAACGAAAATTGTGTGCGGAAAGTATAGATGAAAAAGGCCCCGACGATTTGCCCCACGATTGTGCTCGATGTTTACGACGACGTCGAACGCGTTCAATTCCGCCGCCGCCGCCGACGCGCGTGTGCTGTATTGGCGAGCGAATTTTATTTCATCACAATAAACAACTAATGGAAGCAACCGACAAACAGCAGCACATACACCCGCACTCGGGACGCGTGCGGTTAAATGCCGAATGTGGCAATAAAATAAAACTGTGCACTCTTTGCCGCAGTAAGTGAAATTGAACCAATTTACTAATAATAATAATAAAAAAATTACGCGCGTTATTTTGATTTAGTTTGCGGTTTCAAAGTGAAAAATTTTCATTCACACGAAGCACGCTCGCGCGTCCGGTCTGCGGTTTCGTCGTCAGCCGCGCCTGCAGCTGAACAAATCATCCCTGACAAATACATCTGCAGCGGAACGCTGGCGACGAGAGGAAATTGTTTCCTGCGCGCCCTATTTAATCCTCCGCAAAGTTTAACTGCCGTCCATACACATGCTAAACACTGCACGACGAGGGGCGGAAATTCCAGCGCAGCATTATGCCGACGTGTCCTCTCTCGCGCATTTCACGCTTTCAATGTGCATCGACGAGGAGCTGTTTGTAGTTTCGAGTGCGCGAGCACGGATCCTTCCTGTCGCCGCGACGCTCTAACGCAATCTTCCATTGAGTTCGCGTTTCTTTATGAAGTATTTATGGACCACTTGTCTGGCAACCGGGGTTATTCTGACCTTAGGTTAGGATTCGTTCATTCGCTTTGTGCGAGCCATCGGAATCGGTTCGTCAATGCCTCAGTGCAGACGAATGGACGACGAATGGATGGGCACCGGGCATATCGAGATGAGAAACGCGAAAGTCGATCTTGAGAAGGGAAGAACACGGAGAAGAGATGAGGACCGACCCCGGCGTAGACCCTTTCCTTCCGAGAGCGCCTTTGCGAGCGACTGGAGCGCGTCTTTGCGATCGTTTGACCGTAATCGGAAACCGCTTGGATAGACGTTACAAGATTACGTTAACTGTGTGAATTAGGCTGTCGAATGCTTCAACGCAGCGGTGTAGTGGTGGTGATGAAACACCGGAATATTCCCGCATACCGTAGTTTATCGCATTAACAAATAAAACGAAAGCAAAAGAATTTCTGGTTCCGGCCGGGATCGAACCGGCGGCCTTCTGCGTGTAAAGCAGACGTGATAACCACTACACTACGGAACCACTTATATATTTAGTAGAATATTACGTGTTGTTGAAATTGCTAATTTTAAAACGTATTAAGTGTTTAATCGATTTTAATTTTTTACTTCGTGTAGAAATGACCTAAAGCAATTTTCTACAAATGCTCACTTTTATGCCGCGACCCAGTTGGCAGCACCGTTTAACTCCGCGTGTAATCATACACTTTTTTTTATTTATTCGCCTGTTAATTGCGCTCGCATTTAAAGGCCGGTGGCCGGCAGTGTGGCGGCGAAATCGGCCAAGCCTAGGCAACATATGCGCTGCGAACACGCCATTCGACAATAATTCTTTTTTCATTACCACAACTCGTGAAGTTGCAAAGCGCGCTTCGGCTCTCATTCAAGCACAAACACGCTTCACCTCATTGTAACACTCACGAGTGGCTAATACATTTTCGCCCGCCCACGCGCGCACTAGTTGCAATCGATAAATTAAACAATAAAAAAATAAATGTGTAATTAAATTCTTACATTTGCATATGTTGCATCTGATTTGCACCCACGCCTCTCAGCGTTGTAGGTCATGTTGAATAAAATATTTTTTTGCTTCTTGTTGCAGTTCCACCTCAAAAGATCATCATTATGGACGAGTCTGGGTCGCAATTAACGTCGGTGGTTGGTCCGTTTGCAGAGGGTGCTTCATTCACGCTACGGTGCGATGTCTTTGGTGGTAAGTTGATCGGTTGTTGGTGAAGTTTTCGTCGAATGTGCACGACCCAGTTACCCAATTTCTCTCTGTTGGTTGTAACTAACACTAGAGTTACCTGTGAGTCGGGAGTAATTTCAGAAACTGCGCCTTTAGTTGACATCGATTCCCAACTTCATGCGAGTCGAGTTACATGATAACTTTTTCCTTTATTTGCGGAAACAAATAAGTTGGGCACGGAACAAAAATTAGCTCGTGTGTGGTTCCGGCCGGGGTCGAACCGGCGACCTTCTGCGTGTGAAGCAGACGTGATAACCGCTACACTACGGAACCTGTGTTAGAGTTGTGCCAAAAGGCAGTAATTATAGGACACTTAGTTGAAAACACGATTTTACTGCATTATTTTTGCTGCAGATTGTTTCTTTGGACCCAAAATAAACAAAAACACTGAATGACAGCATTTGTTCAATGAAATAAGTAAGGACTGAAAATGTTTGTTAATCTGATATCAGCTTTTTTTTTTTTAATTACATATCTGTTTATTTATTCCTTGAATCAGTTACAGAGAATGTAACTCTCACAAGAATTATTATGACTCTTAAATTATAAGTAAATAAAATGACATAAAATAAAATAAAATAAAATATAAATAAATAGAATAAAATAATAATGAAATAAAGTGACATAAAATAAACGTGACTACGCCCTTGCGTTATCACGTTGGTCTTGCGCGATATCAGCATTGACACTATTATTATTAGTTACAAGAAAAATGCAAAAAGGAAATCTGGTTCCGGCCGGGATCGAACCGGCGACCTTCTGCGTGTAAAGCAGACGTGATAACCACTACACCACGGAACCAGTTGCCTAGTATTTCACTAACTGTCGTTATAAAAAGTACTCACCTATTTATCAACACTATTTAAACAGACTACATCACTCACCCAAGCAAAACAAGAAAGGTGAAATCGCTTCTTTGATTTTATTCTAAAACCGTACCTGCTAGCGCCACCTATGTGCAATTCATGTAACTAAATTTAAGTGAGCTGTGCGTATACGATTGTTTCTCACACAGAATTTACTCAATGCACACTAACTCAAACAAAGAACTAAAATAAATATTTTCTGGTCAAAAGTAAAATCAATTTGGCGATTTACTAGCTTGCGTTTTAGCAGTACTTGCAAAAGGCAAATTCGAAGAATAAAACTTACTGACAAAGTTCGCTCTCAAAGCCGAAGAACACAGAGCGTTGTTAAAGCGCGAAAAGCGAACGATGTTTTTGTCGGTTTTTGAACCCCTGGCAGATTTACAGGAGCCGCGCGCCAAGTTGTGAAGTTGAAGGAAGCAAGCACGAGAACTAGCGGCACTAGCTCTACTAGTGGAATCAGCAATGGCTGACTGATTAACATCGTTGTTTTGTTCTCTCATTAGTCTCCGGAGTAATCTGGATGCTAAGTTTTGGAATTATGGGGCGCGAAAGGACCAACTCCGTCCCACCACCAGCATCCGTACTTAAGGGACTAGATATTAGATGATTCCAGCTATGAATTCTTCGAATATGAACTTATACAAGATTTTTAATCAAAGTTTTTGATGTTAATTATGCCGCTTGTATACGCGACAAACGTTTAATCACTCGTCGCGGGCTTTAATTTATCGCAAAACATTTCCAAAAGTTTCAGTCAGCTTCACCGATATGAAAGAGTGAAGAATGACGCACAGTGAAATGTCACTGCAAGATCATCAATAATGTTAAAATATGCAATACAGGATGTTGCCGCAGTTGTTTTCGCTTGCAGAGAGTGTTTGCATCTTTGATGTTTTTCATATTTCATTTCGAATGATGTGCGATACGGCGGTCCGGACGAAATATATCCTTGTTATTTTCGACAGCCCGACCGGCGCGCGCCCGCGCTACCATTCCATCCATATATCATCACCTCTCGTCGAATACGTATCCAATACGGTTCAAGTTTTGATGTTGTGCTGCCGCTGGATCTTTCCGCACCTCATTCCTCTTCTCATCACTACAACTGGAATGTTGTACATACTATGTGCGCGAATGCAGATGAAAGCGCAAATTCGCAAAACAAACGCTTGGCCAAACTAAATAGCCAATTTGAATGTTATACAAAACTAATCGGATGTTGCGTCGAATCAACTTAGTTTCCAGTTGTTGTTGTTTGGCTCGCTGATGTTGGCCATTGCCATATTTGCATGCTGAGAAAGTCAACACGACGTTTGTGTTGCGCAAAATGAAATGCAAATTGTTGTTGGCCAAACTATTAACTAATGACTAAGTGCCTGCTTTGAACAACGTGTAACTTACACTTGCACTCTGTAATTGTGCAAGACTTATATTGGCGGCGGTGATGATATAGCTTTAAATAAATATTTCAAGTGCTCAATTTGTAGAGAGTAGTGGCGTATGAATTATTACACTCACGGCCCGTAGACGTTTCTTAACATGTATGCAAACATCCGTTCCTCATGTGGCTTGCCCTCGATTACCTCGCAGGCCCCGGGAAGCTGGACGTTTGCTCCTTTTGTATTCGTGGGTTATAGCTGTGCACTTTCCACAAGTCGACCGTTATAGGATGCATGCGGTGTGCTCTCGCGGGCAGCGCTCAACTGATGGTCCTAGATGTTTTCTTTTTTCTTCTTTTGGCAAACTCGGGGCTAACGAAACTTGCTCCCAAATGGCAACGCCATGCATGTGTCTGTAGTGTAGACGGTCTATGTTCTTGAAGATTTATGATGTGCATTATTTGCACTTAGGATTTTAGCATTCATTTTTTTTGGTTTATTTTCTACGAGGTGTGTTTGATGTACGATAAGTCATTGCGATACATTGGGAGCGTATTTTTCGATGGCGGCGCTCGCAAAAGTTTTACGTCTGCGCGGTGTGCATACAAAGGCCAACTTGGAACAGTCATAATAGATTTTATCTGGAAGGGAAATCGACTTCACCCATACGTAAATTGCGAGCGATTCGCATGCACCGCGCGTACCGCCGGGCGCAGTAGATAGCATCATCGTACGCTCTGTGCTTTCTCTCTCTCGGTCTCTTTGCCGTTTGCTCAAATAATGGGAATTAAAAAGGACGCTTCGCGGAAATTATTCTACCCTGGCGTGCGCGCGGCGGCGCAATCGGCTGCTTCCTTTCACGGCGGCGGCCGGATGGAGTGTATCAAGGATATAAGGATATATATACGACGGGGGGCATCGGAGATATTTCAATAAAAAGAAGAGCGGAGGCGGAAAAGGTCGAATCCGAATCGCATCACATTCGATTCAATGGATCACGCCGCGTGCGCGCCCCCAACGAGTACCGGCTTGGGTACCGGCTGAGCGTGAGCGGGAGCGCACAACGTTAGAGAGGAATTGATTGTAATTGAATTTGTTATCCAAATGTTATTTCGCGTGAGAGCGTCCGTGACTACTTACCGATGTCGGCGCGAGTATCCCAGGCGTCGGCGACTGTCTTGTCTCTACGGGGAGCAGCGCGGTGTCGCGCATCTTCAGTTCGGCTCGATGACAAGTTGGCTCAATTTGAACGCGAACAGACTTATCCGTCTCCATAAAGAGCTGGAGTTTAAATGGTTTTCGCTGCGCCATAGGTACGGAGGCAGTACTCACGTTCGTAATGTCGGTTGCTAGCCGGGATGATCTTGTCTGCCGCAGCACATTTCAGCGAGAATAGTGGCAGATGTGGGAATGAGGTGCAGCGCATCGCTTTGGGTGTTTTGGATGCCGGAATTGCTAGCATTGCTTTAAAATTAATTGCGTTAATTGAAGCTCTTATTGGAAAACGTGTTAAAATTTTAATTTAGAATATAAAATAAATTATTCTGGTCAGAGACTAAAGGTATTCCGGGAAAGGTATCCTTGGAGGCCCGGGCATCGGATTATTGCAATGTGAAAGGTATACCTCGGCGACCGCGAATTATGTAAAAATTAAAGTGCTAAAAAACTGGATCAAATTGATATAAAATCGCAAAATAATCTTTGGAGGCGCCGGGCATCGATCCCGGTACCTCTCGCATGCTAAGCGAGCGCTCTACCATCTGAGCTACGCCCCCTGTTATCATAAAAGTGAAGGTATACCTCGGCGACCGCGAATTTTGCGCAAAACGCTATAAAACTGGATCAAATTGATATAAAATCACAAAACAAACTTTGGAGGCGCCGGGTATCGATCCCGGTACCTCTCGCATGCTAAGCGAGCGCTCTACCATCTGAGCTACGCCCCCTGTTATCATAAAAGAAGGTATACCTCGGCGACCGCGAATTTTACGCAAAACGCTATAAAACTGGATCAAATTGATATAAAATCACAAAACAAACTTTGGAGGCGCCGGGTATCGATCCCGGTACCTCTCGCATGCTAAGCGAGCGCTCTCCCATCTGAGCTACGCCCCCTGTTGATACCATTTGATGAACATACTATCGCGAATCAAATATTATCTAATTTTTACCATACTAATCATATAAACTATGTCAGTGCCACGAAATATCCTCTCTCAGTCTCTCCTAGTCTAATCTCCATATAACACACATCAAAACAACTTTCCAATTCAACTCAATAAAATCTATGAGTTGTCTAACACATAACGCCGACCACACCCAATTTCGCTATCATTTTCTAGCCAACTCATTCGGTATTCATTTATAGCGTACGCGCGTTTGTAGATATTGATATTGACATATTAGCTATGTCGTTTATATGCAAAAACCATCAATGTCAGTTTGCTGTGGCGCGCGAAATAAAGCGTCTGCTGCTTCAGCGCGTTTGCCATCACCTTTTTTTTATAGTGTCACATATCACACTCGCAATGTAATGTCCAAACGCGTTAGTTTACTGCATACAACCGAACGCTCGCTGCTACACCTTCTACGCACATCCGCACATATTTTACGTTCGTAATTTAATGTGATTTCGCTTCCAGCACCCAGTATCGCATCGCATATGCCTTCCCTCTAACTTTACGACACTTAAACGAGTAATAAACGCAGGGAGACAAAGACATTACATTTTTATACATGTATAAATCAAAGTTAAGTACAGGCATACATATGTACGACTGTAATTTTTGTTTAAACAATAAAAAACATTATTTGACTTGCGGTATAACCACCGAACATATGAAAATGTATATCCCGGTGTAACCTGATATATATTTCATGTCATGTTGCTCCATGTAGAAGTTAAAGTTCAGAAACAAAACGCGGATGCAGTAAGTTTTAATTTTGAACGAGTTAAATTCAAAATGATTGAACAAGAGATGAAATTTTCGCGTGTTGCCCTTCACCTGTACGTCCATTGTCTCGAACGCTGTGAGCTATGTAATCCATCATGCAAACACTGTTGTTTGCCTTGGCGGTGGCGGTGTGCTTTTATTTCTCGCAGCAGCAGCGCTCGCGCGCGCTTCCGATATTCCCATCGTATTTATTTCTAAGTACGTGCCCTCCTATGCTCGGGGTGCAAACGATGCGCTCGCAGACGCTCCGTCGTCTTGTATTATTTATGCGGTCGAGAATGTGTACGAGCCGACAGAATACAAATCCCCGATATGAAATATGAGGATGCTAAGTCAAAATGAGTTTAATAATTATCTCTTTCGTGTAGTCCGGACGACGCGTATAGTAGTACATCAGCGCTGAGGCTGAGGTAGCACACCATAAATAAACTCGCGCCCGGGTTCATATCACAAAGAAGCGCGTGTAAATTTACAATTTACAACGGTTTGTACTGCTCGGCGCTGATATTTTTGATATCTATGGGCCAGAAGCTGTTAAATTAATTGCTTCTCAAGATGTGCGATTTTAGTTTTTAATTATTTTCCGCGTGGAAATTAACTTAATTGTTTTTTCTGCGTTTTGAATATTCCACATTAAAAGAAATTTAATTAAGAACTCACTTATTATTCATAAGTCGAATATTTTATTCACAACGTTTTCAATTTATATTACAATTTCACTTATATTTAAATTTCATCTGAGAGCATATTTTCTTTTTTGGGAAAATACGCAAATAAAGTTATTCTTTCGGTTCATTAGTCCGCCGGCAGGACAATGTATTGAGTTGCGGTACAAGTATCGAACGTAGTAAAACATGGAAAAAATTGTCATTTGAATTCGTTGGCTACGCTTAATTCGATGCGAATCGAATTATCCGAAACGCGTGTTGCGGCAAAATACACTCGTGCGCACCCGTTTGATGTCTGAGGGGGGTCACGTTTGAGGTCAAGTAACACACGCAAGTGAAACTCTTGAACCTCGCCATTGCTCTTTCGGCAGGCGACGAGCGTTTTAGACATTTCTTTGTTCTTCGCTCTTCCAGCCAGCCCTCCACATATTAGGTTTATTTTGGGGCAAATTGCTTTTGCCACGGCTCTGTAAGTAAATACTGGGCGATTCGGTTTTGATTAGCCCCACGCCTGTTCCACCCTCAGTGGTGTAGCGTGATTTTCACCTACAATTAAGCCATTATACGCTTGCGTTTTAAACTAAATCATGCAAACGAAACTAATTAGAAAAGGTCGTGGTTTTGTTAAATGTCGTTGGGGGTTATGTTTGTTTGTAACATTCGTATATCCTGCGGTGGAAGCGAGAGCCAACCAAAAAATGGCGTATTTTTAACCGCCTTTGAAGTGCCTATACCCTATATATACGCTATATGGCGATAGCATATTGGATTACTGCTTTTATTATTTCTTCTCCTCTTTGGATTTGTTGCACACGCATCTCGTCATTCTTTTGGTTAGGCACGTGCGACTGCGGTGGGTATAAGCTTTTCACTAAAGATTAATTTTCCTTTTTGCACATTTTCATCACTCACTTCCTCACGAAAGTTGGACGGAAAAAATCGCGTCTCCACGCTCGTTAATACACCTGAACGTTAATCTCTTCGACCTGATGGAGAAAAAAAAATCTCCTCGGCGCGTCTGCTTTATTGGATGATGTGCGAGAATCATTGAAATGTTAAAAAATTCTGGTCGTGTTCAAAACGCCCGCTCGAAGGGAAAATATTTGCTCGAAGAGGCGGAGTAGACGTGCAAAGCTAAAAATAAGTTTCTTTTGCGGCCGGAAAATAATATTCTAATGTGATTATGAAAGGCCACAACAATTTTTCCCTACATAGAAGGATATTAATGTTATGCAAGCAAAAAAAACACGATAGATACTTTATAAAGTATCTCATGTGCGCATTACGGCAATATCCGGTGTTGTTGCATTTTAAAGAAAAATTATGGGTCATTGCGGCCGCCAAAGGGCAAAGTTCATATCTGTCCGGCATGCGGACGCTTAATGTATGTGAGGGCGGGCCGCAAAAGGTGTGTTTTTGCGAGATTGATGAGGAATTATTAAAAATAAGTGCGCAATTCGTGTTTGTCACACAAGACAGGACGCGCAGCGCTCTAAGATTGATGGGGTCGAACCCCATCGGAGCGAAACTGTAGAAGCAAAGCGAGCGAGAGGCGATTCGAAAATTGATTTCGCCCGTCCGTATCATACACACGCTCACCGCACACGCACGCACATGTACACGTGGTGATAAGGTGGTAGTGATGGTGCGGGTGGCATTATGGCGGACGCACGCAACTCTTTCACGCGTGCCCCCGTGTAAGAACCCTTCGGTCGGTCGGCGTGGCGCAAATGGCGGGCTGTGGAGGGAGAGAAAAAAATACCGCTTGTCGTTATTCATGGCCGGCCATTACGAATTAATGCACGTATATCAATCACTTTCCAATGAAGCGCGCCACTATAAAACGTACTTTACACACGGTTGTGCGAGCTGATATAATTTTCATTTCGCTCGGCTGCTTCATTAATTTATCTTTGCACATGTAGTTGCAAAATATATTCCAACTAGATTATTTTTATGTTTATTTTGTGTAAATTTAGTGTATGTGGCGCCATCTGGTGGATAAAAAGAAAAACTTTATATCTGTATATAAAAACAATGTTGTGCTCCAATGTAATAAAACATTCCAATTGGAAATAGCCATCAATTACCGGTAATTTGAAATCGCGCGATAATCTTCGCTTCGCATTCGAGTGTGGAGAGTGGTTTCTGCACATACAGTGTTCCGCATGTACACACCTAAGTGCGGCGTGCTCAGCATGGCGTGGCGCGTAGCCGGCGGGGTGGAAATGCGCCATATCCTGGAGTCGGCACTCTCCTCTGCCCTCGCCGCCTCCAGAGCAAAACGCTGTCTGCGCGCGTGCACACGGCCCACGCAATTTATGTCGTTGCAATTTGCCTTCCAGTAAATTTATTTAGTTAATTAATCAATTTGTTAATTGCTTCCCACTTGCGCGCACGATGCATGCACCTCGGTCTGTATGAATAACCGGTTACCATTCGCACGGTTCGAAAATGGAAACGCAAACTGCAATGACAGTCTATGCGCAGTTGAGTTAATTAATTTGGAACATGTTATTGCTACAATCTCTCTCTCCGCTGGTTGCGTGGATGTCTCAGAAAGCAATTTTGTGTTGTTGTTTTCTTTTTGTGCTGCAAAATTGTTTTTTGTTGTTGCTGTTATTATTAAATTTGTTTATTGTGCGCGTTTTGCAGGCAAGCCAATTCCGCACGTCGCCTGGTACAGGAACGAGATGGTCGTGACAAACAAGAGCGTCGTGCTGCCGTCCGGAGGCGGCAAGTCGCACGTGCGTTCCGAGCTGCGCGTGGCAGGCCTCGGTAGGCGCGACGTTCACTCGCAGCTCACGTGTCAGGCGTATAACAATGACAGGACGCCACCCTTATCATCGACCCTACATCTAGATATGAATTGTAAGTGTTATGCAAAATATCTTTCTTTCATAGAAGTTACATAAGATTTTTTTGCGCTGCAATTTTTTTCTTTGATATAAAATATTTTAATATTTCGATGATTTTACATTACAGTTGGTCCACTGGATGTGAAAATCCTTGGCGCAAATCAACCCCTTTCGGCAGGCAGACGTTACGACTTGTTGTGTCAAAGTTCAGGCTCGAGGCCGCCGGCCACAATAACCTGGTGGAAGAACGGTCAGCGCTTGGACAAGACGAAGGAAACGGTAAGGAAAAGCTCTTAAAACCGTGTTATTTATTGCGCACTTATCGTGCGCGCGCGCGGCATTTCGACGTGGCACGAAAAAACGTCCAAATCAATTTGCAAATTAATCCGAAAACGTGACATCGAAAAGAAATGAACAAATTTGCATTGTGTGTGGTTGTGCGCGTTGTTGAAATATTTCAACGCGCGCGCGCTCGCGAATTTAGTGCGTTTCGTTTTAATAGTATCGAATCGTTAACGCGGCGCTGCTTTTATTGGTATGCGCTGCAATGGCGGCAATAGATTTTTTATTGCCGGCCTCGCCGACTATAGAATTCTGTGTTTTGCTCGTCCATCGATTTGCCGAAATTACCATTGTATTGTACAACATCCGTATGCGCATTTTGTTGTTGCAACCCATCAATATAACACACAGCAATGTGCCAAACGAACAAATGAAAGAACGCAGCAACGAATGATTGTTCCGTATATACGCACAATTATTTAAAGAATTTTGCGCATAAAATTCGCACCAATTTACATAAATTTAATTCCGAAGCGAAATCGTATCTCAATAAACAAAATCACTGGTGACTGGTGAAATACAAACATGCGAAGGAAACTGATTGATGTCAGAGACCATAGCGTCTGTTTGTGTCATCAAAAAAAAAAACGACCGAAAAAGCATCACTGACAGTAACACGCAGGGTCGCCGTGAAAGCCCGTCGTTTGGGTACGGCATATTTTATTTTATTTACACAATCAAATGTTTACCTTTTCTGGTATTTATACAGAGATTAAAGTACTTTTCTTTGCGTGCGTTTTTTCTGCGTGCGTGCAAAAACGGACGCTCCTGCCCGGGTACATGTCAAGCATTCGGCAAACAGTGCTTCTTTTTTTTGCATCCGAGCCCTCATAAAAAAACCTACACCTTTCAATTCAAGCCTCAATGTGTGCGCGCGGATGAAAAACGTAACGATGCACGGAGTTTACGTTGGAGATGGTTCGATATTAAATTTGGCAAATTTTGTGGAAAATCTCGAGGATCGACACACGCAGGCGAAACGGTTTGCCACTTAATTAAGCTTTCAAACATTCGACATAATAAACTCATATCGAAGTGAAAACGTCGTTGTGGCGTGCCTCGTGCTCGACGGATACAAAACGCTCTCTTCGCTATGCTTTCAATCATTACGCACTATCGCAACCATCTCTGTGAATAGGAGCGCGAGCACGAACGCGACGCTTGTTCGCGATCGTTTAAATCGTAATTACGCCGACACTCGACGCGTATAATAATTAATCAACATTTGATCCAGCCATAACCATAAGTAATTAACTGTTTGAGTTTTGATCGTCGCTTTATGCTGGTGCTGGCGCTGGCGTCATCCGAAATGCGCCAACATTAATTTACTTGCGTTTTTTTTTTCTCTGTGTGTGTGCAGACTTCTATTGATGGCAACATCACCACCAGCACTTTGTCCTTTATTGCCAGCAAAGAGGACGACGGCAAGTATCTGTCTTGCCGGGCAGAGAACAAGATCCTATCATCGGATGGGCTGGAAGATGGATGGAAGCTGGAAATACATTGTGAGTGCACAATTATTTAGTAAAAATGTAAAATTCATAAAACGTTAAGTTGCAAACGAAATATTTTATTCGTAGACAAAACGAAATGAATTTTTACGACGCGCAAGTTATGATAAAAAGTATAATAAGCATGACATTTATAATTTATACCTCCGCCAAAAGTATGTACTTAGTATAAAAGTAGAAATTTTATGATAGGATATTAAAAAATTGACGAAACGTGCCAACGATGGAATGCTACATTTTGTCTTCAGAATTTTTTGCACTCCGAAGACGCGCAGCAGCGCCATCGTTGTCTCCGTAATGAATCTCAGCGAGTTACTCACGTTAATTAAAATCTATAACGAGCGGCAAGTTTTACGCGAGACACGTCGCTCTTAGCCTCTCCTCCTGCTTGCAAGTTATCTACTATTTTATTTAATTTTGCATCAGTCTTAGGTTTTTTTGCGCACTTTATCAACGCGCATCAAAGTTTTAATTATAAAAACATCAAACTAAGAATAAAACTTTTTTCCTCGCCGCTGCGCGCGCGAATATTTAATTAGCCGGGCAAACAATTAATAATACTATTTGTGTTTGTTTGTTGCTGCTGTACGCTCCAGTTGGTATTTTTGCGCGTAATAGTTTCCAATTAAAATTTAATAAAGCCAAACCCTAAAAGCAACAACACACCGGCGTGTTTCTAGTGTTTGTACTTGTAGAATTGCGCGAGGCAGGGGCATAAACTCTGCCTGACTGCCTGAAGAAACTCGCAACTTATTTACTTTAGGGTATAGGGTCCGATTTTCTACTTCAATATAAAACCCGTGCGTTCTTTAGCAGCGTTCCTGTGGTTCAACCTGGGGATTGAAATAAAACGCGTCGTTTCTTTATATTAAATTCCTTTCCTTTTAGCTTTACCCGCGTTTTTTCTCCTTTTCTTCGTCTTGTTCATCAAATGGTCAAATTAATTACGTGAAGAGTTTGCGGTTGTAAACAATTTGATTTTAAGCCCGAGCAGCATTAATTTAAATATGCATAATCAAGTTTTGCGCATGATAAAGAGTATAATTTGGTCGGTGGGGTTCTGGGACGATTATCCGCGCGCAATTTGACGCAAACGCCACTGCTGCTCTGTTGCAGATACACCCGAAGCGAAGATAATCCTGGGCACTTCGCTCAACCCGGACACCATCCGCGAGGGCACCGACGTTTACTTCGACTGTATCATCAACGCACATCCTCACGTCTATAAAGTCGAATGGCGGCATAACGTAAGTTAACAACGGCGTCAGCTTTGCGCATAATTCCCCCCACCACTACCACTACAACACACTTCGATTCCGCAGGGTAAAATGCTAAATCACAACATTGGCGCCGGAGTAATCATCAGCAATCAAAGCCTGGTACTCCAAGGAGTTAGTAGATCCACTGCAGGGAACTACACGTGTGTTGGATACAACACTGAAGGAGATGGCGAAAGCAATGCTTTTTATCTCAATGTGATGTGTTAGTATAATTTTTATTCTAGGTTTTCATATTTATTAATGTTAACTTACTGATTTTGTTACTAGTTGCACCATCGTGTAAGGCAAACCAAGTGAGGATCTACGGTGTGGCGAAACAAGAACGAGCTCAGATTGCGTGCCAAGTGGACGCGAATCCACCGGATGTGGAGTTCCGATGGACGTTCAACAACTCGGCGGACTCCGTCGACGTGGCGCAATCGTATATCGCACGCAGTGGCACCTCGAGTGTCGTCGCATACACGCCCATCACGGAATTAGATTATGGCACTCTGCTCTGCTACGCGTCGAATCGCATTGGTCATCAACGCGTCCCGTGCGTGTTCCATCTGATCGCAGCAGGTAAGGGTTCAAACACTGACACTGCCTGTCCCCGATTTCAGTAGTCTACAGCTGTCTGATTATTTGACATGCGGTCCGCGTCGTGAGGTAATCGATGCGGCCACGTCTAAATTACGGCCGGCCGCCATGTTTAAGATTGAAAAGATCTCCGAGGACTCCGTTTATGGTAATCTCCTGCTGGGTTTGCCAAGGTTGATCAATCGATTGAGGAAACTTGGTATGCAAAACTACTATCTCAAACGGTTTGCACCCTTGAGTGAATATGATATCGTCAACTGGGAGCATGCTAATGGTGTTCTGTTACCTGCGGATATAAGAAGATTTTATTCGTCGATGGATGGGTTTCTATTTAAATGGTTGTTGAATTTGGGAAGTGATTCTAATGATGTGATTGGTCAAATTAAAATCAATCAGTTGATGGATGTTGTGCAGATACCACATGGGAATACTATAGAAATTTTTAAAGATTTTAAGATGGTACGTCCATCACTTGGTATAGACGTGAAACTTTTTGTCATTGACTCATTTGGAGATGATTACCGTGTGGTTGTGGTTTTTTCAAAGTTTAAATTCACTAATAACGTGTGGATCTGCTCCAAGGAGAATAATTTCTTCTATTTGACTAGTGATTTCACTTCCTACTTTCGTATGTGTGTCGCACATCTTGGTATTCCATGCTGGCAGATGTTGTACACTACCGGGAAACCTCCGCAATGGATATCGAATTTGATTACGTTGCTTCTACCGACGCTTGGTGCGTTTCATGATGAAAGAGAGCGAAAAGCAAAGGAGCATCCTGGCAGTCGACATGTATTGAATTCTATCACGACCAGCGACTCGGAAACTGTGTTCGTAAACAAATTGAGTACGGGCGTTTTTAAGGGAACACTAAATATTGAAACACCCAAACCGAAAATTGTTAATCATCGTAAGAAGATAAATAAAGCTGCTAGAAAAACAACCAAAAAATAATTCACTCACATATTTATTTATTTTGTATTTTTTAATAAATTTATCAGTAAAAATTTGAATTTTTTGATGTGGAAATAAATCATGCGGAGTAAAATTTGGAATTATGCGAATCCCGGAACAAAAATCGAAAATGTGAAGAATGCGCCAAAGTGGAGACGGAAACAAACGTCGAAGCGAATAAATACGATGTTCCGCAGTCGCAAAATATTCATACCGTTTGCCACAAAAGCCACGAACACCCACCCACAAGCTAGAATAATGCAGGAGTAACACCCGCATGAAAGTTTCAGCCCTGGCGAGGATTCACACGATTATATTATTTAATGTTTCACGGCGTTTGCAATTGGGGTTGGCAGAGTCGCGCTTGAAGCAATTAGATTCAGCGAGCAGCGCCAGAGATGCGAGCTACGAGATACGGACTCTCTCTTGAAATGCGTTATATGAAATTTATTCGCGTGGAGGCAGGCGTACAGCGTACAAGTATTCCGGGTTCGATTTGAACGATTTACTACACAGCGCGCTGCGAACGTTATGTATTTTTTATGCACCTTCAAACAGAATTTCCATTTTCACCCACCTTTTGCCGTCGACGCGCGAAGAGGATAACACGTTCGCCGCATGCGGAAATAAAAAAAAAGGAGAAGAGAGAAACGGGGCAGGACGACACGAGTCTGCAATACGTTTACAATGTGTGCTTACACCTTCCTGAAGCGCTTCGTGCGTTTTAAATTTGCTTCGATGTTGAAATATGATTTTTATCACAATAAATTTTCGAGAAGTGCAAGTTGGGTAATTTTATTTTGTTTTTGTTTTTTGTGCTTGTAGGACGTCCAGATCAGGTACATAACTGCAGCGTGACCAACATATCGATGACGTCGCTTTCAATCCGCTGCTCGGAGGGTTTCAACGGTGGACTGCCGCAATCTTTTCTGCTGGAGGTAAAATTTTTTCCCGGTGCGCGTTTTTTGCGCGCCCATTTACTAATTGGCACCTTGTTAGGCGTCAATTGCGTCGAGCTGCGCGAGCAAACGGGCGTCCATTAGACAGTTGCGAAACGAGAATATAATTAAAAGTAATAAAGATGTCGAGGAATATACGTAATTAGACGCAAGGAGGACGTGGAGAGGCGGTGTTGGCGGAAGTAAATTGGGTTGGCAACTCTTGTACGGCGGTGTTGCTCTAACGTCGATTCGGCAGCACATATAAGAGTCCAATTACCGCGCTGCATATGTTGAGGAACTCTGATCTCCAAGCGGAAAATGAACCGAGATTTCCGCTCGGAAAATTTTCGGCCATAATGGTTTAAAGCATGTGTAATTTCCGGAAGTGACGAGTTTAATTAGAGAAAAAAACAAAAAAAAAAACGAAGTTTAAGCTAATTTTTTGTGTTTTCCTGGTTCTTTTTCATGTAAATGAAGATGAGGGAGAGTCAAAGTCAAGAAATTAAGAGCAATCTATCGTCGCCAGTGGCGAGATTCTCGGTCAACGGACTAGAGGCGGGCGGTCAATATCAAGCGGCTGTGTTCGCGTACAACGCCAAAGGACGCAGCGAGCCGGTGATATTGCAATCGGCCACTTTGAGGCTGCCCGAAAAACAACTGACACCCGAAAAGGGTAAGTTCGATTGCTCTCCGCACACGTCCACCGCCGCTTAATCTAACAAATTGTCTACCGCCGCCAACAACCACCGCCCGACAACTATTCCTTTCAAGTCCTTTACAAAGCATACCCTTTTTGCCGTATAATGTACTCTCCGTTCTAAAACAAATAAAACTATTGTGTATTTTTTCTGTTTCACAAAAGTAGAAAGCCACAAGGCCGGATTCAAGTTTACGCCAATGATGAGCGTCCTCATCGGAATAGTCTCGGCGTTATTTATAGTTTCCCTGGTGGTGGTCCTGGTGCTGCGGTTGCAGTGTACACAAAATGAAGGCCGCCGGAAGCGACACAAAAACGGTGTGGTAACCAGCGGTAGTGGTGAACACCGTGGTTCAACGAGTGGTCCCACCCTCAGCGACAAAGGAGGTGAGAATGTGTGCGAGTCAAATATTCATTAGGCACTTGGCAATTAAGTTTTTTGGTTGTGCAAAAATCAAGAAGAAGTCGAAGTGGATATAGCTGCAGCGGAAAAACTTTACATCATTTTCAAACGGAAGCCGGGACTCAATGAAACGAGCAGACAAGATGTTCGCGAACTAAGAACGCGCGGCGGTCGACAAGACTCCGGGGAGAAGGAAAATAATTGCTGAAACAAAAGTTGAGAGAGAGTCTCGATAGAGTTTGAATTGTTATATACTGGCGTATGCGGAATGCGGAAATATTCGGGGGCAAGCGAGGTTATTGATAGTATAATTGTTGGGGCGATTTGCACAACCTGTATGCGCGCTGGCGAGGACGATGAAGTTGTGAAGACTCGGGGAGTTTTCCTGCTGGGAAACTGGAAACGAGCGGAACCGACGGGCGACCGAGTGCGCGCTATACATCTACATGGCGGTGGCGGCAGCGGCGGCGGCGAGTCCTCCCATCGGTGTCTCTCTATTAATCACTGCAGCGCTGCTGGCGTGGCCCCGCGTATAAAACTTTCACTATTAGCGTCGAGTTCGCCGGCGTCGTGTTTCGCGCCGCGCAAGTCTTTCTTCCCCGACGCGCTGGACGACCAGCAGCAGGCGGTTTTCGCCAATCCCGGCAGCCATGAGTGCAGGCGTGCCCGGTTCTATTGAGTGCACGCAGTGTGCACACAGTGCAATGCGACATGCATTATGCAAAAGATTTATAATCGCGAAATAAATCCTCAGCGCTCCGGCCCAAATGAACTCCCTTTCAATGGACCTACGCTCGCAACAAATAAATATCACCACTGCTGCTGCAGCTAGGAAAGTTGAAGCAAAAAAAAATTGTTGTGCGACATGTTTACGTATACATCTTGATTTGCACTTGTTTTCTTATTCATGCTTGTGTTTCTCTGGCTTTTCATGTGTCATCAATCACGATTACTCACCTTGCGCCACACACAATCGCACACAGCGTACTTTCTTGCCGCAGGTGGCAGTCCAATATCGAAGCACGACAGCAGCGCGGGCGAGTGCGACAGCGACGAGAAGAATCCGGACATCATACCGCAGCCAGCCGAAGGCGGCGAGGAGGCGCTCGAGTACAGCAGGAAGCGGCAGCATGTGTCCACCATCGAGACGTCGCCGAATCGCAGCCTGCTGCATCAAGCGGCGCCGGGTAACTCGGGATATATGGGTTACTGCACGCTGCGTAATGGTATACCCATCCATGAGATGTCTGCACCACCGCAGCAGAAACTGGTATGTAGATAAGAGTATAATCAGATCAAATTAAGGCACTGTTGAAATATAACATGAGCTTATCATCGCGCACGGTTTTGGAGTAGTTGTTACATTATGCGCGAAGAATGATGGCGTACCTGCATTAGCAAGTTTTGCGTTTGCCGGCATGTGTTCGCCCGGAAAGTCGACGAGAGTTCGCGACGTGAGGTCACAAGCATTTATAGCGGCATTATAGCCTACAAGAGACAGGCTGATGCATGACTCTTAACGCGCATGGCGCGCCGAGACACAATGTGAGGACGGTTGAGGGATGGGGGTGTAGGGATGTAGGAAAAGAAGGATTTGCTTCGAAAGCAGCTGTACCGGAGGCGGCACGCACCTCTAGGCAAACTGTATTATTAATTACGTAAGCAACATGCTGAGAGGTGAGATTCATAATGGTATATTTTGTACCATGAGCGGAAAATTATGTTTGGCATCATAATTGTATTTTTCGGTAACATTATATTATTCCATCAATAATGGAAAGTTTTGTGTTTACACATATTCGTATTTATAGTTTTTTTTAAGTAAAAGTAAATAAACAACGTTCTGCGTCACGTATCGCACACGGATTTAATTCCATGCGAAACTGAATGCTAGCGACATCTAGCGTCACTCTATCGAGTTATACTTAAGTATGATGCGATCAACGCGTGCGCTCACTACCGCAAACAAACAATTTGCTTTACGCAGCGTTTGAACTTGCATCAACCCGCAAAATTCCGGTCATAGATTACATTTCGAGATATAATTCCGATTTAAAAGTAAATAAATATGTTTGATGTCTTTAATTTTGCATTAAAAGGAAATAAGCATATTACTTATTTATTCCTAAACTAATATTTTGGTTATGAATTATCATTAATCTAAAATTTAAACATTGGGCAATTATAATTGCGCGAAAGTTGAAGCCTCCTTAAGAATTTTGCAAGTTTGCACTCTTGCACCCGTTTTCTGCACTCGGCGCTTAGATCGACGAGAAGTATATTAAGATAAACACTGCGCGAGAATAGCGTGGAAGACGCGCGCAATGCGAAGACGTTTATAACAACGGCATAAAAACAAATTGCAATTATAAACGTTACCCACGCCGATTCCTGCTGCCGCCGCTGTTTGTTGTGCCCACGCGGGGAGCTTGTTACCTCCGCTGCATGTAATGGTGTATGCAAAAAGGGAAATTACGAAGGACGTTTATTTCGAAATTCTGAAATGTACCGCGCTGGGTGCGGGAAAACGAGACTTTTAACTTTTCACGTACCATGTGGATACTATCACATTTGTCATTAACATATTTTTCATCAAATTCAATCCAAATATATATTTTTATTAAAGAAATATTTTTATTTTAAAAACAAAAAAATTACTTATTACCAAATTTTTGAGGAACATCTCTGTACGTTTTTTAATAACACAATTGTGCATATACCTCCGCAATGCAAGAAATATAATTTTTCCAATTACACAAATGTACTCTATCCTACCACTCCACGTGCAATTACAAAGATTTATACCTTATTTCATTTTATTATGAAAATATACTACGAGCAACAACTTGTGTACTATTACACGGACTCAAAAAGTACAAGCGGCAGCAAACGGCAGAGAAAGAAGTATTCTTTCTCTTGGCATTACGCTTTACTTCATTTTCCTGCGCGCGGGGTTGCCGTGTTTTTCTGTTATTATTCGTGTACGGCATACATTTCCCCTGGCCGCCTCCAGCTGAGTTACGGAAAGCATTGCGAAAGTGTAAGACAAAATCATATCAACTGCAGTTTATTTTCTTTTGCGTACATTCCCAAAATTACAAAATTACGTCTCAAAAATAAATAAAAATTACTTTTTTGACTATTTTTTCATGAAAATTAACGTTTTAATCAATTTTAATTATTATTTTTCTTAATAGCAGATAAATTAACGACAATTTCAATTTTACTACATTGGTTAAAGTTTTTTTGTTAAATATTTATTTTTTAGTAAGGAACCATCAGGAAACGGTGCATAATCTTGCATTCCTGTGATTTTTGAAGTCAAGAGACGCCGGGTACAGGTAGTACCTACATATTTTTCCCCTAAATATGAATATTATTTATAACATAATGAGAAATTCATTCGCGTTCATTCGAATGCGATATGAAGGCGCGCGCACAAAGGCCTATTAATTAGCACGTCGTAATGAACGTTTTAGAAGCCATACACTTCCTGAATAGTCCTTAAACATTCCATACGATTCTCGCCGTGCGTAAATATATGTACGTATTATAAGCGCGAAGAACAAACAGCGCCACGGGCTGCGCACAGCAACAATAACGCCAGCCGCCGGCAAAGCGGTTCGCGAAATTGCGCGCCGCCCTTATGAGACTCTCACTTAGGCAGCCCCATCCTTTCCACTTGAGCTTGCAAAGGTAATCAACCCCGCACACAAGTAATTACAATATGCGGCGAACCTTAAAACTGAGATTGATATAAGTGCCTATCTACGACACGTGCGATTCGCAGATTGTAATTCTTTAAAAGCAAGGTCAAAATGGAAGAGCTTTACGGCGAGAAATCGTTGAGAGGGTAATAAATTATTTCTAAGCAGCGAATGGAAGGACATGTTAACCTTTGGGGAGCGGGCGACAGCAGCAGGTGGAAATCTCATATGTTTTCCGTCAAAACTATCTGTCATCCCCACATGGGGACGGAATTCCGGATCTCATATTCTTATTTTTAGAAATTTGAGGTTAGGTTGTTGACCTAACCTCACAATATAAAAATATTATCCTGTATAAGTTTCACATGGACAAACACTTATTGATGGTGGGGTATAGTTACTCTACTACTTATTGGATTTCATCCTTACGTTAAGCCTCCGCCGCCGGATGCGAAAATGTTGAATTTTTGCCCGCGATTTAGCTATTTGTACGCCTCCCTCTTTCCCCGTCCCACAGTCGTGCCGAAAGTTTGGTTAGCACATCAAGATTCTCCGGCACTTCAGTGTTTCTTTACGTGTGCGCTTCACGGATGAACGACGCGGCCTCGGAGGGTAACAAAGCTCCCCGGCCGTGACTGCAACAGGAGAAATACTTTAAAACTTTTGCGCCCAAGTAAAAATCTTGGCAAATGCTGATAGATTTCTTCTTTAACGGAAGAAGTTTACTTTCGCTATTATGCTGGATAAGAGTTGCGGAGCAATATATTACAATATGTCACATTATTATACCCCCTCTTGTCGTTTAGTTTTTAAGTTTCTTTCCTTGTTTTCAAAGTTTTGCGTTTGCGTTGCGGTGTCACTATGTGACAAAAATGATAAAACGAGGGTGCCATCATTTTAGAATGATGAATTATTGTTATTATATTTATCTCTGGACTAGTGCGCAAATAATTTATTATTTAATGTGGGTATTAAATAAGTTTCTAGTTTTTTGATTTTATTTTCTTTTTCCAGCATAATCCACAAATAATGCAGCCGTATGCAGCATGCACATTGCCACGACAGCCGCCGCAATGGCAATACGGACCAGTGTCGCACCTACCCCCGGGCGTATATCCAACGATCCAATACCGCGGTGCGCATCCAGCGCCGCAGGGACGACCGCGGCCGCCGCCGAGGGACGCGCCGATCCCGCTGCAGCCGCTCGGCGGCGGCGACGAGGAGCCGTCGGCCGACACGCCGCTAATGGTCAACAAACGAGAGAGCACAGTCTGACAGGTCACGTCGCTGTAAGGGCAGCCATCTCAGCACGCTGCCATTGCCGCCGCCGCCGACGCCGCAGCAACATCCTTCGCGCCACATACTTTCTATCAGTATTAACTGCCAAAATTTCACGCCCGGATGTTTGCAAGCTCATTACACTTTGCTCAAAACATACAGAGACAAAATGGGTGAGGATACACGGCTAGCAAATGACTTCAAACTTCAAACAAGAGTCTGACTAAGTTTTAAGAGACAATGCGAGGTGCACAACACATCATGGCGAATACGCGGCGTTTAGGCAACACACGAAACAGAGAACATAAACTTAACCAACAATGTGAGCTTTTTCTGCGAAGATATCAAAACCCGGTTTGTGTGTACATAGCTAATCTTTTCATAATCAAAAAATGGCGACGAATAAAAGAAAATCGTGTATATATTAGACAACAAACCAATGAAAATGAAAAGAAATCTCATTCTATTTGAATTTAAAAATAAAAAAATCGTAAAAACTAACAAGTAAGAAAAGAAAAAGAAAACTAAATGTGATAATTTGAATTCTCCCCATGTTGTCCTCTCCTTCGACCACCAACTTTCCCAAACCCTGCCATTTTCACCCTTCACCCACCCCCAAAAACAAAACAAAATTGTAAAAATATTCTCAAAACATTTCCATGTTAATACAATTTACGAAGAAGCGTGTTAATGAATTAATATTAGATTTTTTTAAATGAAATATCGTAAACTAATAAGTTATAAGATTATATAAATATATAAATATATATGAAAGCAACAAGAATTATATCAATTTAATAGGATTAATTTGTATAAAGAAATGTCTCTATTACTTAAGCATTGTGTACATATTGTAAATAATTCTAAGATAATTTTTGCCTTTGTAAATATTATACATACGTATGTTTACATTCCGTACTTAATATTAAATGACTAACATCGAGTGTTCACCTATATGTAACGATAATAATATACATAACATTTTTGTAACTAATCAAACAAACGAAACACAAGAAAGGCGCAACTTGAAAAAACGAATACACACACGCAGTGCGAATGAACTAATTATGCATGGACTATTGACCGTTATCCAATCAAATTCATCTGTGAGTAATAATTTAAATATAAATATATAAATGTAATTCGAACATTTATATTTATTTCTTAGCAGAACACGTTTTATACTTTTCGTTTGTAATCATTATAATATACCGTAACTTATCATCATCGATTTGTTCTTTCTTCAACGTTTTGTCGTCGTTTTTGAGCAGGAAACGCAAAAGATTTGTCTGGTTTCGCCCGGGGTCGAACCGGGGACCTTCTGCGTGTGAAGCAGACGTGATAACCACTACACTACGAAACCCTCATATTCCCTGTCAAATGTTATCAAAGTGTCAATCATATTTGAAGCAATTTTCTAAAAATTTATTATTTTAATTCAAAATGGCGTCCAGATTTTATAGAAAGAAGATTAAAACGTCCTAAATTAAGAATAAATGATCATTCTTAGCATTGTCGGGCTATTTACGTTTATATGCATTCTTTGCTTGATTGTTTTGACAAAAAGATTATATGAAACTCGACCTGGAGGAAGAAATGAGTTTCCGAGGCCTAGAATATTTACATCTGGATTAGAAAGAGGAGTTCGTTTTCGTGTTCGTGACAGTACCATTGATATTCAAGGTGTTACCAGTTAAAACTGAAAAGATTTAAGATTTTTCTTCAATATACTATTGCTTATAGCACACGTTTTATTTTGTATTACTAAAATATGTGAAAATAAGTTTAAATTAAACGAAGATATAGTACTTGTCTATAGGCAACTATGTATACATGTTGCTTTAAATTGAATGTGTTCAAAAGCCATATGGGTTTTTGATATTTGTTCCTAACCTTCAACTCGCAGTAAACCTAATGAATAGGTTGAGAATTGTGCGATTTCATTTGAAAGAAGAAGTTTGAACGGGTAGCACGCGTTGAAGAATATCAGGCATAATATACGTAACTAGTTTATAATTTAGTTAACTTAATTTAACTGATTAGAATGGCGTCGGGCCGTAAATGTAAAAATTGTGGATCTTCAGATATTGAGGTAGATCCAGCGCGAGGTGATGCAGTGTGTACAAATTGCGGTTCTGTATTAGAAGATAACATCATCGTTGCTGAAGTACAATTCGAAGAGAACGCACATGGCAACAGTAGTGCAATAGGACAGTTTGTATCTGCTGACAGCAAAGGTGGTGCAACAAAATTTGGTGCTTGTAAGTTGATTTAAAATTTAATTTAATAAATTATCACAATTATAATTAATATGACTTAAATTTTAGCATTCCATGTGGGTTTTGGTACTGAGTCTAGAGAAGTAACACTAAGAAAAGCCAAAGCAGGAATTACAAATCTTTGCAGTCAGTTAAGATTAAACCAGCATTGCATTGACACAGCATGCAATTTCTTCAAAATGGCTTTATCACAAAATCTCACAAGAGGCAGGAAAAATACACATGTGTTTGCTGCTTGTGTGTATTTAACATGTAGGACAGAGGGAACAGCCCGTATCCTTTTATAAAACTTATCAAATAGTAGATAGTTGTTTAAAAATGATTTTTTTCTTAATGTACAAATAGATATGTTAATTGACATTAGTGATGTGCTACAAATTTGCTGTTATGAGCTGGGAAGGACCTACTTGAAGTTATCACAAGCATTATGCCTCAACATTCCGTCGTTAGGTGAGTTTTTATATATTTTTTTAATCGATTGCGTGGTTTTTACGTTTAAAACTGGAATTTGCACGTTTTTGACCTTGCGCTATAAAACTTATTGAGGTGTATATGAAGTTGCCTATGTGGAATGTCTACAAATGTAATTTTATCTAAACTGTGCCATGCAGGAACAAGAACAAACAAATGTATGTAAATGTTTACATTATTTATTACTAAAGGATGTAATCTTTACTAATACAAGAGATAGATTATAGTAAAAACTTATATCATATGTAAATGTGAGATTTTCAAGGTATAGACAGACTCAGTAAATACATTTGTTAACCAAAATGAGTTACAAATCGCACGATTGGCGTGCGCAAGAATAAAAAAAGTTGCCTTACAGCAAGAACAGTAAACAAATTACTAGATATCACATTAAACAAGTACATAAAAAGTTGGCGAAGCTGCCACCCTATCATTACAATAAAAACAATCGCTGGTTACAATTAAATAACAGTTGCTAGTTGACGCCTAGTTGTGGTCGATTTAAGTTCATGTCGTCACCGTCTAAGAGTAAAACTAATGCCTCTAACGCCTAGTAAACCGTAGCTATCAACTATCGTGCTACATACGTCTCGCTTCGGTAACAGCAGCGGTTGGAAAAATAATTTTGTAATCATTCATATTCATATATGGCGTTAATATTAATATTTAATAGTAATAATAACTTTGTACGTTCTTAACCGACTACGGAGACACATCTATTAAGAAAAATACGTTTTTTTGCTTGCAATTGTTGTTTCTTAGAATATTAGTGTTTGTTTTTAAGTATATTTACAGTATCTTAAAATACTTTCAATGTTCGTCATGATTCGGCCCGTAAAATATAAGCTCGGGGATTTGCCCGCCCTGTACGCCTGTGCCATTTGTGCTCTCGGAAGAACATTGAAATTGAAACGTTACCGTGCCGACTGTGACTTCACTCATGCCTTCCTGCCCAAAATAGCTTAATTCAACACCGTCGAGGATCGCTGACGCTGTGTAGAAAGACTCCGGTTCGATTTGAATCGGGTTATCAAAGTACACGTGAAAAGTGTTGCTTGAACCGTCCGAGAAGAATTTTGTGTTGTTTTCGGCAAGCACACGGCCTAAACGTTTCAATTCGATTTTCACGTTGTAATCAGCTGCGCCATTTGAAGAGCCGTACAGGCCGAAACCGACGACGAAGATGCGGCGATCCACGGAGAATTGTATACTGTCACAGCGGCCTCGGTAACGCCATTGGTTTGATCTATACGCGCAGGATTGGAAACGATGACAAACCTGTTAGAAAAAATATCATTTTAATTTTAAATCACAAAAATTAGTTTTTTGAATATTTTACCTGTGATTTCAAACCAGCGCGCGGTTTTATCGGATACTGTAGACTGGGTTTATTATTCGCCGTGAAGTGGAAGAAGATATCAATGGTTTCTTGTTGTGTTAAAATTCCTAGCTGCGCTGCGCCATTTGCAAATTCTTCGAGAGACATTGTCGGAATGCGTACCAGATATAAAGCATTGCCCAAAACAGCGCGTTTGCTTGTCGGTGTTGGGTCAATCTCGCGGCGCATACATTCAGCACCGGCCCAATTAAGTGCCGCTTCTAGGAGATTCATTTCCTTGCAGTTTAGCGTCTCGCGTGCTAGTACTGATTCCAGCGTCGACATGTCAATGTCCACGAAGCCGTCGGACTTGAGCGCCATTTCCGCCTTGAAATACAACCACGGGATGTAATTGCGGATGTAGAATAAGAAGAAAATAAGTATTAAGAGATGAATATTGTTTTTTAATAATCCATATATTTTCGCTTTCGTTAACAAACTGTACATTATTGTGTGTGGCGCGCAAAAAAATACAATTATTACAGTACTTTGCTTCTAAACATGGATTACAAAAAAACAACGTACATCAACAGATACAGTTAGGATCAATCGCAATAAATACAGTGTTTGAGTATTTGAGCAAGAAGTTATGTAGGGATGTAGGCCAATTCTCTGAGACGCGAATTATAGTTAATATTAAATTAGAAGAGTATTCTTCAATGGCAGTTACATTAGTATACAACATTTAAAGCTGATTACTTCATTGTCCAATTTATACACCACACAGTTTAGTTTAGTTTAATAATCACTTCGCTTATTGTCCTTGCACGTAATCGGAATGTGCGTGTTCAGTTCGAGGGCTGAGATTGATTGTGTGAGACTCACCTGAGCGTCGATCACCTCCCAGCAGCGCTGCATCAGCTCCGGCTCTTCGAAGAGGCGCGACTGGCTGAGCAGGAGGCACGCGTTCTTCGCCGTCAGACTAGTCTCGAGATAGTTTACGCATGCTTTCGCCAAGTGTGGTACGATATACTTCTTCGCCACGTATAGTGTTGCCAGCACCGTGTCGGCTTCCAATTGTATTTCATCACAGTATAAATATCTGTCAATCATAGATAAAAATTACAAAAATTTGAAAACATGAAACGGTTTCAAATGAGCATACTTTAAAAGCGTTAAAAATGCTGACGGTTCCACGTCGGGTACTTCAATCTCCTCTTTGCATTCCGCCAACCCACCATAAAACATTGCATAGAATACAGAACTACCAGTGGCAAGCACATATTTGTGTGCAGGTATGACTTGCGTGCAGCCCATGCTGCCGACGAGGAAGCGCACGTCTGCCATCAGGTCATTGTTGAACATCGCCGCATTGCGTTCGCGAACGGTTGGCTTGCTGGCCTGCCAGTTGGGGTCGAGTGTGCCGGGTGAGCCTAGTGGTGAACAGCATGGACTGCTTGGAGGTGAACCAGGTGCACTGGCTGGTTGCATTACCTGCTGATTCTCGCGTTGGGAAACGACGTGTGTGGGTGATAGGCTGAGTGAGCCATTATTGAGCATCTCCACTGTAATTTCAACAAAAAAATATGTTGAGTATTTCATGATATTCAGTAGTTAGTATAAAGATAAAATAAGTATTGTGTATGTTGTTTGGGGCGTATCGTAACAGAGTTTCTTCGCTCACCGTTCATCCACGCATTGGTCTGCGACACCGACATATCCTGCATTTTTCTGGCTGGTTTTATAGATATTTTCGAATAGAGATTGGACATTGCCATAGCGCTAACGCGATCACCGAGGGTTTTAAAGTCCGATGCAGCCGACGGTCACTGTACGGTAGCCATTTTCTTTGTGTACTGCTAACTTGTATTCGCTCGACTGTTAACTGCTGTTCTTGACGGCTGAACGCGTTTGAGATGTAGGCAACTTTAAGTGCAACGGATCAATGTTTTGAGAAAAATAACGCGCACACGCAGTTTGGAAAAGGGGAAAATTCATCCTTTGCAGTTTCCTTTACAAGAACTCTAGCAATTTGTTGCAAATTATTCTTATCTTTGTATTATTTTAAAGTTAATTGTCAAATAATTTATGCAGCGTTAAGTTTGTATAATTTTTGTTATATAAAAGTAGAAATACGCACATTTTCAACCCCATATTATTTCTTAAGTCAAAAAAACTTACGTTTATTCCATAGATAGTTTAAATTTTGATTACACAACACTTGAGTTTTGCGAGGCTATTTTTTTGTTAACTTATGTTGAAGCCGTTGTAGCTGCTATCCTCGATTTAAAATTATTGTTGCGGTCGTTGCTTGTGTGCTAAGCTAGCTTGCAGGAAATGTTTATTTATGAATTCAGTATCGTCACAAGTTCCTGTCGCACATTGTATTTAAAACGACGTTTACTTGAATCCAACAAAAATACGCTCGTAAAAGTAAAAACTTGCGTCGTCATATGTGCATTAAATTAATGCGAAACTGATGCACATTCGAGACATGCAATATTGAAGCGGAACAAGTTTACGAGTTTAAAACTAGATAAAAATGTTCGCACTTATCTTCTTTCAGACCCGAGAGAATTTGTTTACAATTTTTATTATCTCCCGAGAGAAAACTTTGAGTTATGCACAAAAGATGTCATTGCCAGTTCCGAAAGAATAAAAATATTGTGGTCATCTGAATAATATTGTCTTAAAATTATTACGCATTGTCAGACGATAATAAAACCCATCGTAAAATAAATGGCAAACAATCGAGCGGTGTCGATTGTTTATTTTGAATTAATTATACCCGAGACATTACCGAATTGGAATTGAAAATGTGATAAAACTTTTACTTTTACAACATTACGGCCGACCGTAATTAAAACGCAACAGCAATTAGCAAATCGCCTCTAATCGAAATAAATTAGAAAGTTGATAAGCGCGACTCGCACGCATGCTTACCATACTCTCTCACACAAAAGTAAACCGTGTCTGTGTCTGTCTTTATACGGAATGTGCACTTTAAAACAATTCATTGTCATGTTTTTTAATCTTACGTTCGAATCGATTCCATTGCTGTTGATTATCATGAATGGGTCCATGGTATTCATCGATATCCTCCTCCAGCGTGAACAGGTTCTCCAGAATGGATACGCCGCTATTGTTTTCCGGCGCGTATCCGCCGCCTCCGTGCGCCGCAGATTGAGATTTACTCACGTAGTGCGCGCACCGATACAGAAGATACCAGACGTCCGTTTGGCCCAGCACCCAAGCCAACGCGTGTCGCCCGGCACTCAACTCGGCGCCGAGCATGCTCTCCGATTCATTTACACCGTGTGTGCGCTCGCACGGCTTTCGTTTTGTACTTTTCGCGGCAGGAAGAGTCGTGTGAGAGCTTGTCCTTGTCCTTGACGACGGGTGCACCTGGAAATTAGTTATACAACCGCTGTTAATTCCATATCCAAACGAAAATATTCATAAAACATTAATTTATAGTCATATGATGACAGCAGGTACATAAGCGAGTGCAATATCTTGACGTTGCGTTGCGGTAAAACTACTTAAAACTTGCACAATTTATATTCTTTAGGGAAAAGGTGTCAATTGACAACTAAACGAAACATTACGCGCATGTAAGTGTATTGCCAATAGCGCAAAACCAAAAAAATACCAATACTAATACCAGACTCAGCAGACATGGGACGTATTCGTCGATCTAATGCCGGTATTATTATTCAAGTTAAACAACAACGTGTAATTACTGCTAATACAGCAATACACGCGCTCGTATGGCGGCCCGGTTGAAATTAAACAATCGCATGAATGATTTCTAATCAGCTTCATTGAGGCTAAAGAACTGGGAGAGTATAAAACTTATGAAATGGGTTTTTATGCAATGTCTAAGTCAAATTAGTCTTGTTTGTGTTTCATGTCTGTGTGATTACCGTTTTTTTTTTTATTTGTACGGCAATAGTATAAACATCGCATGCGTTGCTCAATTTTAAACTTCCACGTGTTGTGTTATGCATATTTTGTTTTATTCTTGTCAGTTTTTAATTATTGCTCACACACCGTGAGCAGTAATTTCTTAGTCTAACTTTTAGATTCCATAGAACGCTTTGATTGTTTATTCTGATAGATGATTATTATTCAAGGTTACGCCGTGTCGAATTTTGTTTGAATTTTGTCTTCAAAATATCTCTCCGAAGTGTGATTTTATACACTGACGAAATGCATTCCTAAAATGATTTTGTATTCTATTAGGTCACTACCAATATTAATTATTTATTCAACTGGAGCATGTCCTTGAATATTGAATAATATTTTATGCGCTTTGATTTTATAACGTGTGTGTGTGTGGTGCAATGTTTTCATTTTGATTTGATTGTTTTATAAATATTGTAATAAAACAGCGGAGCTTTTAATATTTGGCAAGAATCGTCGAATGGCGAAATATGAAATGCAGAACCGCGTTCGGTTTGTAGTTCTAGTGATCGTTTGATGCTTTTACGGCGGATTGCATTTCATAGAAGAGATAAATTGTTTAGGAGTGCAACTTTTTGAAACGCAACACTGCATTTTACACAAATTGAATGCTTTTTCTCGATTACAATAAAAATTGAGTATTTTTGTAAGTTTTAAAATGCTTTGCGTGAACAAAAATTAATTAAAAGAATGGTAATTTTAATTAAATTTATTACTTGATTAAATATTTTATATTCACATAATGTGAGGACAATGACTTGATTCTTTTTTCGTCGGCTGTTATCATTCGATGTTTAATTTAAGTTGAAGTTGACATGTTTTGTTATGCAAATGTAAATGTTAGTATTCATACTTGCACTTTTCATTTTCCACGCAGAATAACTGCCGGCTAGACCACATGGAGATTGTCATCGTGTGTTTATACTTATTAATATATTTTATATTCAATGCGTCAACAAGGTTATACACGCCGGCGGATATATGAAAAAAAAAGGCAGAATATTATATGCGATTCGCTACTTGTGCGGTTTTGCATAAACTTGAAATTTATACATTTCATGTAAATAAGGATGTTTCGATTCATGACCGTATTGTACCTCATCGGAATTTATGGAAAATTTGCGATGTTTAAATTGCCTAATAACATTTTTAATATTTGTTTTCGTATTACATTCGACGGTTTGCGCATATTTGCACTGTGAAACTAAATAAATGCCATCACATTAATTTTGTTGACGTGATGAGTGAGCAATTGAAATTAAATTAATATCAACGTGAAATATACTCGCTATGGATTTGGCCGATGAGTGCATTACACCGACAGGTGCATGCAAATGGGCGCAATATTTTATCGCATGTCTGCTAACGCATCATAAATTAATAAAAATTAACTTCTATTTAATTTAATAATTGTTTAATATTATATAATTTAATTATTCATTAAATTTATACGGTTTTGTTGAATTTGAGCGCAAACACTGTTAATATTGTGGAAAAAATCGAAAGTAACTTTCTTCTCTCGATAAATTGTATCACGTTGTGTTTTTTTACCTGTTTGAAACACTTTGTCCGGGATTGTTTTATGGGTACTCCAGAGTATTGAAACTTTTTTTATTAATATTAATTCCGAACACTTAGTTTGTTGCTTTCAAAGTCGCGTCCTTTAAAAAAAACTTAAGTTTATTTTTGAGTGAGTCTTGAGGCTATCGATGGTCTTGGGCGGCCAGACAAGCACGAAATGAAAACGTTTCTTTCTCTTTTGCCACACGACTTGTTTCTGCGCTCGTTCGCGATCAACTACTACTTATCCGTGTTCCGAGTTAAGCGACTTAAGCTCGCGCCGGCACCACTATCCGACTTCTGGCGGAGACGTCGAGGTCGCGGCTGGTTTCGGCTGTGCTTCTTACTGAATTTTGTTTTGAGCATTTTTGCCACCACCAGAGTCACCACGCCGATGTTTGTTTGGTTCATTTGTCGCCTGTGGTGGAATGCGCATCATTTGTTACATCGTAAAATATTTACAAAAGTGAAATCACAAATCGTTGAATGGCTAAATAGTTGTTACGCTGTGTGTGGTTGATGGGTATGTCAGGTTTTTCAAAGTAATTTGTAGTCGTTAATTTGAAAATCCAAGACGATACGTTATCCATTGTCTGATATTGAATTACTTCGAGGAAATTACGTTAAATTGTAAATTAATTTCGTGCAAGCTTAATAAAAGTTTTATTAACTTTTTTATATTGGCAGACAGTTTATTTTTAGACACAGAAAAAAACTTTAATTGTTGAATTTAATAAATGTGGCGTTTTCTTTGTTTTGACGATAAACTACTCGAGTTTTTTTTCTATAAACTTTGGTTGATTGTACTTTCAACCTTCATCAATTCTGTTGACAAACGTTTAATAACGTAATAATTTTCATTTGCGTTTCGCTAATCTCTTGCGTGTGTTTCCAGACACTTGAAAGAAATGGCGTATGCGTGCGCATGATGACATATCGGCATAAAATTAAAATTAAACACAACTTATTTTCCCAAACCGAAAACGCGCCTATCATTATTATTATAAAAGTTGCACAATGTCAAAACGCACGAATGTGACTAGCACTCACAGCCACACACACATACTGGCGTTTCAAGTTGGGCGCCTGCGATTTCATTGATGTCTAAACACAGGCTGCAAACACATTTAGCAAAAGTTCACTACGCGAACCTTACAATCGTGAAAATATCGGTGCCACATAGCTGTACGCGTTCGTAATGCAATCCTATTGCCGTTCGCCGCAGCTGGGGCTAGGTGAATGTGAAACATGTACGTTTTCATGCAAATGCAGCTAACATTTTAATGCACGAAGCAGCTCAAGAACGCACTAATAGCACGAGCGTTCTCTGAAGACGATGGAACGACACATGCTCTACGAGATGCTGCATACTGCTAGAAGTACCGTTTGCAAATCCGTTGCACGCGATTTTATGATTGCAATTCGAATTGCTTCTTTAGCGTGTATAATAGAGGCGTGTTTATGCGACGATTCGAATTTGTATCGTCGGTAGACATGAACTATAACTGCATTTGCACTTGCCACAAATACTTCAGTCACGTGTTACGCAAGTATGCATTTTTTTAGACTTTAAGGATGAATAATGTGTTTCTCTGTTGACGAAAATTAATCTACGTATTATTAAATAATTTTGATAATGACGGCGACAAAAACACGTCTGTGACTCTATGTCTATGTCTGGATGTGTGGATTTTGTGAGAGACTCGCTATGAGGTGTAGTTTATACGTCCACTTTCTTTTTTAACGCTTCAAGATACTGCTTAATACTCGTGTAACTGCATAACGCCACATAACGAGTTATATATACGCACATGGCTGGATGGCAAGTTCAGTGAAACAGTGAAAGTTTTTTTCTTTTATATAATCTGCCGACAAAACATTTCAATGTTTAATTACTCGTGTTCTAAGGTCGCAATATGAAATGTGTTAGAGTGAGTCTTTGTGAAAGGAGTTATATATCGGCATCGTGTTCGTGTGATAACACGCACTGGATGCACCTTATCTAAATATAACTCTCTGATTTGACAATAGATGCCGCAACAATGCACTATTTACAATAAATTTGCATCGCAATTCTCACTACAAGTTTTGTGTGCTTATCAAAGAATTGTTTGTTTGGTTTGTGTTTGTAGTAGTGCAGGTAGAATGAAATAAAAGGAGACAGTGGTGTACATGTAAGATCACGCGATTTTACGTAGCGGATGGTTCTTATCGACATGTTTTTTGTAGGCATCGGTGAATCTGCGTTCTATGTAAACACACAAGTTACCATGAAATAAAAATACGTTGTATTCTTGAATATTCCTTATTAAAATTCAGCTCTACAATGAACACAGATGGCACTGAAATGCACTTATTTGCATTAAAATCTGATCTAGTTGTTATATATATAGTACTGAGTTTACATTGATTTAAATGCCGCAAATTTCGTGTTGCGTGAGGTCAACCGTCTATTATTAAACATTTTCACTCATAATACTATTTTTGTTTCATTCTCTAGCACTGCATACATAATTTTTTTTACAATATCTCGAATATCTCGTAAACTAAAAGAGATATTTAAGATCTGATTGCAGCGTCTTAATCTACGGACTATTCTCTATCAGATAGGATAGTTAAAACCGAAATCTGAGAGGTGAAATTTTAAATCCTAAGAAAAAAATGCCAAGGGGGGGTACTTGATACTTTTTTCGATGATTTTCATAAATTAATATCTCTTAAACTAAAGGCGATAGCTACCAACGAATTAATGATTATGAAAGATTGGAAAATTCTTTATCAGATAAAAATATAAAATAATTATATTGCCTACAGTAAAAGTTCGAAAAACGCGACTAAAAGTGCCAAAAGTGACATTTTTCAATTTTTGACCATTTTTTTCAATCGCGAATATCTCGTAAACTAAAAGAGATATTTAAGATCTGATCGCAGCGTCTTAATCTACGGACCAATCTCTATCAGATAGGATAGTTAAAAGGGAAATCTGAGAGCAGAAATTTTAAGTCTTAAGAAAAAATTGCCAAGGGGTGCTTGATACTTTTTCGATGATTTTCAAAAATTCATATCACTTAACCTAAAAGAGATAGCTGCCAACGAATTATTGATTATGAAAGATTGGAAAATTCTCTATCAGATAAAAATATAAAATAATTATATTTCCTACAGTAAAAGGTCGAAAAACGCGACTAAAAGTGCTAAAAAGTGACATTTTGCAATTTTTGCCCATTTTATTCAATCGCGAATATCTCGTAAACTAAAAGAGATAAATAAGATCTGATCGCAGCGTCTTAATCTACGGACCAATCTCTATCAGATAGGATAGTTAAAAGGGAAATCTGAGAGAAGAAATTTTAAGTCTTAAGAAAAAATTGCCAAGGGGTGCTTGATACTTTTTTCGATGATTTTCAAAAATTCATATCACTTAACCTAAAAGAGATAGCTTCCAACGAATTATTGATTATGAAAGATTGGAAAATTCTTTATCAGTTAAAATATAAAATAATTATATTTCGTACAGTAAAGGTCGAAAAACGCGACTAAAAATACTAAAAAGTGACATTTCCCAATTTTTGACCATTTTTTTCAATCGCGAATATCTCGTAAACTAAAAGAGATATTTAAGATCTGATCGCAGCGTCTTAATCTACGGACTATTCTCTATCAGATAGGATAGTTAAAACCGAAATCTGAGAGGTGAAATTTTAAATCTTAAGAAAAAAATGCCAAGGGGGGGTGCTTGATACTTTTTTTCGACGATTTTTGATAATTAATATCTCTTAAACGAAAAGCGATAGGAACCAACGAATTGCTGATTATGAAAGAATGGAAAATTCTCTATCAGATGAAAATATAAAATAACTATATTTATAAGAGTAAAAGTTCAAAAAACGCGACTAAAAGTACTAAATAGTGACATTTCCCAATTTTTGACCATTTTTTTCAATCGCGAATATCTCGTAAACTAAAAGAGATATTTAAGATCTGATCGCAGCGTCTTAATCTACGGACTATTCTCGATAATATAGGATAATATAGTTAAACTGCACACATGATTTTTTGTTTCTTAATTATAATTTCCCTTGCAGATCCTTGTCTGTACATTCTGCGCTTCGCCGCCAAATTAGAATTCGGCACTAAAACCCAAGAAGTAGCCAACACGGCGCTGCGACTCGTCCAGCGAATGAAACGCGATTCGCTGCACTCAGGACGACGGCCATCGGGTCTCTGCGGTGCAGGTACGTTCACGTCCACTGACATTCTCCCCCTTTTGTTTGATCCCCCTCGGCAGCGGCAGCGCACGACCGTGGATTAATTTCGCTCCTCGTCGGCGTCGTCCTTGGATATCCACCTGTAGGGTACTTAGCTAATCTCAAGATTGCGGATAATAAATTAATTAACTCCCTCGACCGCCTCGGCGCGCTCGTCAAACGCATTTTGATTAATTATTCACGATGTTCCTTTTAGCGCTGCTGATGGCATCCCGACTGCACGAGTTTAGCCGCTCGAGCAGCGACATTGTCAAAATTGTTAAAGTGCACGAATCTACGCTGAGGAAAAGGTAATTAACATTTACTATATTAAGTGCTTATTATTATTAATGTGACCATCGTAACAGGAGTGATTTTTTTCGATAATTTAATTATATTGTGCGCGGAGTGTTTGCGTAACCCTGGAGCCTGGTCATTTATTTACTTAATCGTTGTTAAGTGGTGGCATTAAGCGGCGACGGCTGTTTGCTGGTGATTAAGCGTTTTTCGATTGTTTGTTGCGCCATCCACTCGATAATATCGGTATTCTTTCTTTCATGTTCAGGCTCATCGAGTTTGGCGACACGCCGAGCAGCGCGCTGACACTTGAGGAATTCATGACTGTTGATTTGGAGGAGGAGCAGGATCCGCCGTCGTTCAAGGCGGCGCGGAAGAAGGATAAGGAGAGATTACAAAGAGTAAGCGCACATGAATTTCTAATCTAACGCACTCTCTACATGTACACATTAAAAATTAACAGTGTAAAGTGTATGGAATACCTTAATACTATTTTACGTGCGTTATTTTTCCATCATCTGCTCAAAGATATCAAATTTTCCCTCTGTAGACGCTGTAGATGGCCAATTATTTTATGTTAATGAATAACGTGTCATGTCATAGCTTATGGAAGAGGAAGCCGACAGCATAACTGAGCTGCAGAAAGACATTGAAAAGCAACTGGAGAAGGACGGCAAGATTAAGGGTAGATCACGCAAAAAATGCAAAGGTAATAGTTTAAGCTTTAGATTAGTTTGAATAAACATGGATTTGCGTTTGAATGTGCGCAGATGATAGTGAACGCGACAAGGAGGCAGAGGACACGGACCATTTTATAAACGACGCTACTATCGGTGCCATCCAAGAATGTATCCATAATGAGGGTGCGACCGGCGTCGAGGACAAACCTGCCGGCAATCGAGAGCTAGGTAAATTTGCGAGCGTCTTTTTATCGCGTGTGCGATCCTTTCTCCGCTCGCGCGTGGGTGGGGTCCAGTGTAATTTGTTATATTGTCGCATAGGGCCGGACGTCGCCAGCATGGGGCTAGTTAATTCGCTCGAGGACGTCGTCAACACGGCGAACGCGCTGCCCGAAGAGGTGGACCTGTCGTTCGATGACATTGACGACGCAGAATTGGATTCGTACATTATGAATGAGGACGAAATCAAATACAAGGATGGGCTATGGCATAAAGTCAACGCCGCTTATTTGGCGGAGATGAAAAGTAAGTGCGAGTTATTTTTCACACGTCGGCGTCCCGGCGTTTATGGAAGCCGGTAAAACCTGACGAAGCCCGGTGAAGTCGACGCGAATTGACAGCATTTATTTTTGCGGGCGATAAAAAAGAGACACGGCCACAGAACAAAAAATATCGCTTGTTGTTATGTCGGGTTTAGTTGGTTTCGTTTGCGTTATTTTTTTGTGAGGATGTGTTTATTTACGTGCGCGGATGGGTTTATTAGCTTTTACTTTGCTTCTGTTTAGTCAAACAAGAACGATTGGCGAAGGAGAAGGAGGAGGGTAAGCCGGAGAAAAAGAAACGGCGGGTCACAAGAAAGAAGCAAATAAACGCGACGTCCTCGTCGGCGGGTGAAGCCATCGAGAAAATGCTGCAAGAAAAGAAGATTTCAACAAAAATCAACTACGACGTTTTGAAAACCCTGAAAGTTAATCAATCTGCAAGTGATAACATCAGCGAACCGCCCTCACCTGTTGGCAGTTATTCGCTAAAAAGGTTTACATCAAAAACTTTAATTGAATTTGGTGTTTTACTGTTTTATCTTATAATTTAGACGACGGAGTTCCTCCGTTTCGAGTCAGCCAGATATGTCACTCTTGCCTCCATCCTCGCCATCGAAGCGCACCGCTAAAGTTAACGTTACGCCGAAAATTAAACGTAGTACTAAAACGGTTGGTATGCCTCTCGCCGAGCCAGATGAGCCAGCGCCCAGGGAGGAGGAAACTCCAGCGAAAAAGGACGAATCGATGGGTATGCAAATATTATCTGTTTTGTATTTATGGTTGCGTGTCGCGTATTCTTTATGAGTTTTTTTTTCGTTTACGGTCATAAATATCCTTCTAGTGTCAGAAGACGATTACGACTACGATGAGGATGCCGAGGAGCCCGCGGCGGAAGAACTCGGCGTGATGCAACTACTACAACAGCATCGTGAAGACGAGGACGAGGACTATTACGGCGGGGGCGGGGGGTACGACGAGGATGAATATTAAATATTCTTCATGGTCAATATTTATTACTGCGACATATTTTTTTTGTACACCTCTGGTTATAATTAAGTATTTATTTATATATTATGCATGAATAATTGAACGAATCGTTGGTTATTGTTTGTGCGAAGGATAAGTGGATCATCACCGCCGGAGTAATTCCCAGATGGGAACAATGTGCATGTTTATCATGCAATGGATTTACATTTGTGAAATGTTATACAGGAGGTGTTGGAGGCGAATCAATAATGCCGATGCGAGTGCATGGTTGTAATGTTGCGTATGCATTGTATAATTGGTTGGAACGAAAACAGTTGCGTTTTATTCGTTGTCCTACGGGACGCACCCGGGTCAGTTAGCTCCCAATTAAGTTTAAAAGGTAAATTCTGTGTAATTAATGCGATTACGCAATATATTGCGCTTTGGCGCGCTCGACATTTGGACGAGTACACGCGACTTTATTTCGAGCGTGTGATCCAATGAACTTTCTCATCAAAAATAGAACTAAACAAATGCACATACAATTGCACACGCTCAAAATAAAACACCGGCGATTGCCATTAAAGCATCGTTAATTAATTTTATACGTTTTGGCATTGTTGTTGTAATCTAAAAACTGCAATGATCTAATTTGGAGCATTAAACCATATTGTGCAACAACAATGAGTCAAACAGAAAAAAGTCAATAGTCATAAACATTGTTTGTATCATTTCTCGATGTAACTTGCGAGGGCGTGGCGTTTTTCGTCGGCGGCGATCAATGTTAATCTGAACTCTGTCGCAAACAGTCGCGACGCGAATTCGATCGCAAGATGAGTGTCGATAGTGCGAAGAACAATAACGAGTGTATAGCGGAGGGGGCGCCTAATCCACAGGCAAAGTGTAGCGATGTTATCCTGGAACCGGAAATAGAAGAGGATCCGGAACCGTATCCTCCCTGGAATTTCTCATGGGTTGTCGACAACGAATTGGCCTGTATGGCATGGCCGCAAAACACTCTCAATTTGGATTATCTCTACGACGTCGGCATCCGGCATCTTGTGACCCTGTCGCAGGAGAAGATGCCGCCGATGGAGGGTTATAGTAAACTTGAATGGACGCTCCTGCCTGTCGAGGAATTTGAGGATCCATCCATCAAGCAAATCATTCAATTTATGGATATCTGTCAGAGTGCGATACAAAAGCATCAGGTATGCTTTACTGAGTTTACTCTCATTACGTAAAGTGGCATGTTGCCATTTCGTTGTGTTGCATTTGCTAGTTTACATGCACTGGGACGTGCCAGGATCAAAAACTAGCATGTGGTGTGAAGAAATGAGGCAAAAAACTGACTAAAGCATCGTTAACTTCAACCGCATTCACTTTATTTTTGTTTCCTACCACTGAAAGCAATTTATCGTCCGTGGGGAACTATTATGAAACTTTGCAAACTTTTGCTAACCCACGGTGTCCGAACAATAAGCTTAAAAAAGCAGCTAGAGTTGTCCGAAACATACGCAAAAAATGCTTAATTCATTTTTTGTGTGTGAGCTGTCTTTGTTTCTGCGCTACTGCGCCAAGAAGGATTATTATTAATATCATGCTCATAAAACAATTCATCTGGATAATGCCGACGTGGCATGTCGGCTGTAACAACACCAATTTATTTCGACTTATTTAATAACTGAGTAGACTTTTTGTGACTGCTTCGCTAATCCGATTTGTTTTGCAGCCGGTGGGCGTGCATTGCAGGATGGGTCGCGGACGGTCGGGAGTGATGGCTGCCTGCTACCTGGTGAAATTTAAGGAGCTCACACCTGAGCGCGCCATCACCGACGTGCGATTATTGCGGCCGCACTCCATCGAGACCCCCGAACAGGAGCGAGTCATTTTTAAGTACTTCGATCACGTAAGAGGCACGATCAGCGGCCCGCCGCCACCCCGTCAACAAAACGGCACCTCAACCAATGTCGCACAACAACAGCCATAATAATACAAGACACAAACACGCACAAAAAAAAAACAATAAGTTTGCTATTCGCCGGCGTAATTTAAACGACGACGCCGACAAGCACCACTCGACGCGCAGCGCGCGCGCTCTTTCTCGAAACGCAAAAATTCCGCTTTGTGTCGATGATTTCATATATTCTTTGAGTGCCCCATCCTACAATCTAGACGTAGACTGAACAGCGTAGACAGTTTCCAGTCCAAAACACCGCACAGCGCAGTTGTTTGCAGTTTGTGGTGTTGTTATTCTTGTTTGTTGTATATTTCTATATTGGATATTGATTACACATTTACGAAATAGACTTTTTACTGACGCTAGGCGCATTCGATTTACTTTTGAGTTATTGTTGTGGAAAACTGGTGCGCAGCTCAACTTTCAGCAGTATAAATTTCCCAATAAAATAAAATCCAAGCATTTTTATTTGCACACATTTATAATTTCGGCTGTATCGGTGAGAAATAAATTGCACCAGTTCAATACTGATCAACAGCATTACGGCCGGTGCAATTCTCAAGTGTAATTATATCAGTTGTTGTGGCGCACGAATGGGGCCAATCAAATAAAGCGAGTGGCACGTGCTTGGCTACCCGGCATTTTGGTCTCAGCTGTCTGCCACTGATACGGTAAGTATAAAAGACATTTTTTCCTTGTTGTAGAACTCACATTTACATCTACATCATAATACATTATCAAGTTATAATTACCAAGTGACACCTAAAAAAATAATATTCTAATCTAATTTTTATCTGGTAGTTATCATGAAAAAATAATGAAACAAAAACAATCTGCGTTATGTTGTACCCAAATATGACCGTACACAACCAGCGGCATTTTGCATTCAAACCCTATTTACTAACTAAACATTAATAAAGCCGCCATGTCGACCCGCTGCGTGTTTGGCATCGTTCCGTACGATGGTTAATTGATTTGCATGTGCGTTTCCGATTAGATTAGTTGTGCCGAATTGATTCCGAAGGACATAATGGCAATAATAGGACAGATTTTATTATCACCCGATGTTGGAACTGTTTATACTGCGGCAACAAACAAACCTGCGCGATATTTACATTTTTATTAAAGGGCAAAAACAATCAAAATAAAAGTCCCGATGTTATAACGCAGCGCGCGTACGAAAATCAAATTATATTCCACATAGATGTTCATTATACAACGCAGTGTAATTTGGAAGGGTCAAGAAGGTCCATTGTTGTCATCTGTTATGTGTTATCTCCGTTCGTTGGGATATTACAATTGCCGCCGTTAAGAAAATTTGCCCGACAGAGAGTGAGTAAAACGTGTATGGCTGTGTGTGGCGTACTGTGGCCAAAACGACGAAAGGGTGGTCCACGACAAGCGCTCCGAAAAGACAATTGTTTACTGTGAGCACTTTGTCATCGTTCTTCTTCTGGTGTTGCCCGGAGCATACCCGTTTGTAAACTAATTACTATGTACAAAGCGCATGCACAATTACAGTCAGTGTGTAACTGTTATCTTATTCATTTGTGCTTGTCGCGAAGGGGGTTTTATGATAATTTGTTAATTCGTCTTTGTTTGTTTATCATACACCCCTTGTTTAGTCAAGGATGAGTTGCACGCTGGGATTTTACAATAATTTCAACTTAATTTACAGTAAAATGAATAAAAGTTGTGCATTTTCATCAGCGCCATGTTGAAACGTTGAAATAATGTTAGTCTTTACTATTCTCCGTTTATAAAATATGCAAAAATACTTCCTGACAAGTAGATGGATGATCGTAAACGCTGCACATATAAATGTAATAAAAGTCTCATCTCCGTCGGGTGAGATTTACCATTTACCAGGATATAATCTAAATGAGATATTATAGAATGCTTTATATCAATATAATGGCGTTCTGGTTTACGATTTTATTACCTACCTCTGACCCATCGCACCGTTTCAAGCTATCAAAAGCAAAGCGTCCAATAAATAATATTTACACTTGCCTTCCAACCCCTTTTTCTAATTGATCGATTTGTATATAAATGTTTGCATTACGCGATGCGTATGCGTGTGTAAACAAAAAATTGCGCGCCAGATTAAAATTAATGGATTCGTCACAAATGACGAGCTCGTGCTAAATACTTAATGCCGCCCACAATTTGTCCGAATCCCTGGAATTAGATTTGCCTCCGACCCTGCGACTCCCAAATCGGGTACTTGGATCAGTCGACAACGACAAGTAATGTCCACGGGAGACGATGTCGCGACGCAGGGTGGGTTGGTGTGTGACTGTATGCCTTGCGTGGTGATGGTTGGCGCTGGACGCAGATGTGAGATGTGGATATTCGCGCGCGCCGAAATTCCACGCGCGGCTTGCGCGTTACGCGCCCGCTGCCTTTCCAGTTCGCTTCCAGCAGTACTCCTGCGACATGCACCACTGAGGCTCCTGCATTCGCGCGCCGAGAAGTTCTCGTTACTTGTTGCTAACACTGAGAGACAAACTTGAATGTGAACGTGATTGTGATTTTTATCAACAAATTGAAAACATGAACGTTGGCTAGAGAATAAATCAAAGTGATAATAAAATGTCCAGGTATGATATCTTTCTATTTACATTTTATTGTTTATTTACAAAGTAGTTGAAATGTAAATTTTTATGAATTGATTTTATAGTGTGAATTATGTTCTGTAAGTGTGGAGCTGAAAATATGCTTTACGATTTATCGCCGTGAAGTTTAAGTCCTCGCAAAACCCTGCATCAACACTTTACCCACCGGCCTTCCGTGAAACCTACGGGCTGCCGGTGTAAATAAAACTTTTAAAACTTTGTGAAATTTTCAGTGAAAGAAAAAAGTTTTTTATTAGGCTCGTGTCTTGCTTGCTGAATTATTTATTTGTCTCGTCCCAAAACGCAAATAATCAAATTTCTAAAAATAACGCTTAGGACCGTCTTCAAACTGGTATCTTGTAGATATTTATTATTCAGACCAATCATTTTGGGTAAACCACTTTATAATTTTTAATTTCCGCTTTTAGCGGAGAAATAAATATTAAACATGCTATGAATAGTAATTTAGTACGCGTAATATGAAACGATCGCAAAATCTTCAAAATCGTGTGCGTCCTGGTCGACGGCCACCATGTTGGTAGCGCAAACATGCCCTACCTGTGTGATTAATGCTTCACTGAGAGCACGTACCTTCATTTACATTTTATATCGCTTTCACATCGGCGTCGCGCCGCGGCGTCGGATTTACATGACGAAATCGAACGAATCAAATCCTTTAATTAGAAAACTCTAGGGGGCGGGTGTACTCCGCATGACATGGCGAATTTGTTTTATAAATTGCTAAGATATTTTTACCGAAAACATGCGAGGCATACGGAATAGGAGTACAGTAATTGTGTTTGGTTTGCTCAGCGAAGCAACTGAGCCGCAGGATTGTATAACTTAATTTATAATTTTTCTTTTTGGAAATAACAAAGAAAACACAAAAATCTAAACGTAATAATTCTGATTGGCCTTATACTTTATCAACATTTTTTTTTGTTTAAAAAGGTTAACATCCTTTGATTAAAAACAAACATGTTTTAGATTTGACATGAAAAAAATACACGTGCTAATATTTATATAAATTCAAGGTTTCCCTAACAGTTTAAGTAATTAAAAACTTAAAGATAACTTTTTCTTGTTTACCTTTCACGACAAGTTTTTATGCGCGCCCATATATAAGCATGGAAATATTTCACCACTAAAATGGCCACAATAAATATCCCCGCGATTCGACGAAAAAATATTAGCCTTACAAATTTCCCCGCCACGAAAGTTTCGACGAATGTGCGTAGGATCTGCAGACGTGTCGGAGTGCAAAGCCCAAGGCGAAACGAATTTACAGCGTGTTTTTTTTTAACCGCTTTGCAAAAATATAAATGTATTACTTGAGTTGTGTGCCATTTACATTTTAGGAAATATACTTTTGCATATCGCGCAAAATGTTAGAAACGAACATTGAACACGCTACACAATAAACGGAATATTGCAGTGTATTTGTGGCGAGGTGTAATATCGCGGGTGGCAATCATGTTCATAAGCCCAGAAAGCAGAATGAAGGAAATTTGTTTACGTAGGTATTTAGTTAGAACTCTATCATAATATTTTGAAGCATGGTTGTTACAACGCTTTCTATTTTAATTGTTTATCATTGATGATGAGTGAATTACGGTTTCCACATTGTGTAATATTTAGATTCATGATAGGATGAATAAAAAATAAAAATCTTTGAGTTTGAAAAAATTATAAAAACTTCATAAAACAAAAATTTTGTTGGAATTGTTATTGATTTGTGTTTATATAATTCAAATTCAACTTTGATTATGTCATTAACAATGCAACTATTCTCTTCTCCAAACAATCAAACTTTAAGCAAATATTTACTTTCGTTTTGCGCGAAATTATTCCAGTCATTTAAAATTTTAAAACGGAGTAAAAACCCGTCGGATTGTGCGAGCATGGAAAAGGCAGATAAGTCTTCCGGGCGAGTGCACACCGCTTGCTTTTCCGGGCATGCTCGTCGATGATTCGATTAATATGAATGCGTCATTACGTTTGCCTTGTACGAACGTTCGCAGCATTGCACGACTTCTCCGTTTCTTTTCCGGCATCAGGCAATCATTCGCGCCGCGTCGCCTTCCAATGCATCCCCCGCATTAGCACCTTGATTCTTCTGTTTGCAATCGAACGTGGCGAACGCCCGCATGGCAACGAATCAGCGCGCTTGACTTTTCAATTTGCAAATGTTCTTAACCCAACTATACCTGGGAAGCTGGGAATCTACATTCCAATAACTATATTTGAAATATTTACATACTATGTACACATTTGAGGGTTTATGCAAGATTACTCTTCATCATCTTGCATTTAAATTCAGTTTACAAACCGGAAATGTTGCATAATGCAGTCAAAGTTTTTGCGCTACATAAAAATGCAACTCCCGAGCACATAAAGAAAGTTTGAGGTCCTAATGTGTTCGCTGCAGTCGGCGATGCGGTAAGCAGCAAGATGAACTAACCCCAGTGTAGTCCTGTCACCTCGTATCCGGTACTGCTTTTGTGATATTAGTCTCAAGGATGCGGATAGCGCGGATAGGACTGCAATGACTAGTCTAATATTTACGCAGACGAGACGGAAGTTATTACTCGTGATGGATAATCCATAATGGGTGTCAACTTGTGTTTTCTATACGACAACGACGCTTGTCATTCAGTATATCGGGCGAAGTGAATGAAGCAGTCGCGGCGCGGAGCGATTGCCAATAATGAAGAAGTAATGTGCAACGCTTGGAGGCACAATATGAAAAAGTTATTTGCTCTAATAGCTAGTATTAGCGCAAGTGTCTTGAATCAAATATAAATAGGCTATCGGTGTTCTTCTCTCGCACATTCTGCTCGGGCAGAAAAAGCGGTAAAACAGAGCTCCTGGGTACAGTTTTAGGACATTGTGACAAAGTATTACCGAACTGCTACGCCATGTTTTCTGATCATCATGATATATGTTCAATACCACAATTCTGCGATAACTTTAATGGGTTCCTCGGGCTTTTCGCTGAAGTTACTGCTCATGTGTTAAATAAATAATACCTATTCACAAAAGTACATTCTTATACTTAGTGGAAAATGTAATATGTTTCTACTTCGCGGTAGTCGTGTGATCGTGATCTGCGAACTTCTATGAAGTTTTTGAACATTTTGTTTTCATTTCCTGACAGCCCACGGTTGCATTCCGGTCGTACATCGACATATCTCTACACATGGAATCAAAATTCTTGTTCAACGCTTGCTCACTCTGGAGAAATAAATAATTTAAAAAGGTCGAGTACAAAGGAAGGTTATATTAAAGAAACGCAATATAGCGTTCCATGTACCACTAAAGCGACACAATTGAAATTGTTTTTCATCTTGCTTCAAGCATAAAACATTAACATGTGCGAGCATTACATTATAAATTTATTTTAATAAATTAAATACGGGATAATAGTCTTTTATTCATAAATTAATTCAATATAAACATTTTATGCACTTTCTTGTGCATGATGCAATTTGCTACGCTGAAAGAATGTAATTTTTATGGTTTGTTTGCTGTCTTTCATCATAACCGTCTCGTCTGCGGAAGTTACCAAGAATTTAACATGACTTAAACATTCTCGTTTAATCCAAACAATATAAAAGTTCTGTAAAGTTGCTTTTAAAGTTTAAAAACATTTGGAAGTCAATAAATTAATTTCCATAATTCATTCGTCTGTATACCAATAAAGAAAGGAATTTTATTTACTTTAGTTTGAGCTTTTTCTTTTATACTAGATCGTTAGGAAGCGGAAATAAACTTGTCAAACAAATAAATTATTCGGAGCAAGTTTCTGATGATAAGAAATACGAGTTCGTTTCAATCGACTTTAGTAGGTACTTTTCGTGACTACCGCGTGAAGTAGTTTTCTTTCATTTTAGATATAATGAATAATAATTATAGAAGTTGTGACATATGAGTAATGTATCACAAACTTGTTCCCTTTTTTTTTCTCTTTTGTAGTTGAAGTTTGAAATAAATTAGTTGACAACGTTTCATGATAGAGTTGCGTATATTGGCAAGTTCGTTCATGCATCTCGTATTACATTATTCAATATTCTGGCGGTTAATGGCTCGTTGATTGATATAGTTGATACGAGATGTGGAATTTCATCCACACGCTTCGGTTTGCGTTTTAATTTAACACATTTTTCAAATTAAATAGACACGAAGTTTGTTTTACGTTAATTAATTTTACATTTTAAATTTGATGTAAATGTAAAATATTAATGGATTGTACATAATAAGATACAATTTTAAATTTTTATCACATTGTTCTATTAAATTGAATTTTTAGATTATTTTAATGAATGCGCATGGAACGAAATGAAAAGCTTTAATAGGTAATGAGTTAATTTGTCACGTTCTTTAAAGCAGTGTTCTTTCTGAAATGAGAACGTTATCTTTCTAGTCTTTCAGTGCGCTCAAAGGTACAATGCATTCGTATTTTCGGTATTCCGATTACACTAGCATTTAGTTTCCCAACCCTTTAGAACTTACAACTAGTTGTGCGAGTCGTTAGCTTATCTAATCATGAGTTATTATACAATACGCAACATTACATTAAATAATGTCTTTGAGATACGTGCATAATAGATATTATCATGAATAAAATTTAGTATTTGCGTCGGTGAAAACGTTAATTAATTAAATTGCAGTTTTCTTCTGTATCATCTATCAGGTATCTCAAAGCTTCTTTTATAATATCCCAAAGCAATGTGAGGATCCTTGAAATAGAAGAGCTCTTTGCACCCACTTGTTTGTTAGATGTTAACATCTACTTCTATGTACTCACTCGTATAACATGAAATGGCCATACGCGAACAAGAAGCTTTCAGCGTGCGTTTTCATCCGATTATTAGAGTTATTTACTCGCAGGCTCACAGTACTGGTATCGTTGGCTGTTCAAGAACTTTGAAATTGAACGTGTAGACCTTAATAGTACCAAATATATTGAAGCATTAAACTAGACTGCAAATTCAATAAAGGAAATGTGCATAATAATACAGAGGAAATATGTTCACTGCTCGAAAACTCATTCATTTATCGTCGTTTTTCGTTCTCTTCGATTACTTGTAGCGGAGAAAGGACACTTGGAAGTAAGTTCAGTTCAGTTCAATTCAATAGACGATATCTTTTATTCTCGAGTCAATGTGATGTTGCGCAGCACGTCTACTCACTGACCAGGCGTTCACGTCTCGGATGGGAACAATAGTTGAAAGGACATCTGGTCCAGCTGGTTTAAATGGCACGTCCGTGGGTGAAATCCGGTAGAATCCTTGGATCTGACAAATATTTACTATGTAATGTTGTATTTTGTGTTCTTTGTTCAATGAAATATAATTTTTTTTAGAGTTTATTTCATGTAAACGTGTTTAGTAAACTTTACTGTTTCAAGTTTAATCCGCGAGTTTAATCCGGCCAAGTTGATGGATTTTGATAAACTATTTACGCGCTATTTATGAGATGAGATTTAAGTTGTAAGAGTTAGTTTGTAGTTTAGTTTGTGGCAAACACTTAATGGATTGCAAATCTTTACAAATTCTGTCCCATTATGGTTTTGTTTCTTGTAATTTAACAATTTTTGTTATTTCTGAAATTAATTAACTGTGTTGTATGAATATACAAGACAAACGATCTCATAGAATTGACAGTATTGACGTCAGTGTTTGTAATGCGTCATTTTTATGCGCAATTAAATGCTAATCCTCAACGATTAAATGTTTCGCATCGAAACTGATGTCGCTGATAGCACATAAAGCCGCGTCGATATGAGAAACAGAAGGCACAAAGGTAAAGACATAAATTACGCTCTAATTGCAAACAAACCCAATGGACCAACAACAGGGCGCGTAAAATTGTTGCTGTTATTCCTCGACGCGCCGTAAGGTTATAAGCAGTTTAAGCATGCAATAAATCGAAATTGATGCGACCAATAATCATGCCAAAGCGCCACGTGGCGGCAACGAGGCGCTATTTAACAAATACCCGGCTTACAATTGCGGCCAGGAAAAATAAACCCGCGGTGCGATTGTTTTTCTAATGGCGAAACAACAGAAGTAATAAACGGCGGTTAATCTACTTGGTCGTGCCAGATTTAGATCAGCGGGTAACATGCGGGTATTAAAGAACACATTTACCAGCTTAAGCTCGATATTAAAACACTTTGTCGCTGTATCAGACGTAATTTTTACTTCTTTTTGTTGTAAATTATTTGCGTCTGTAAATAGATTTTGTAGACGAATGATGTGGTTGCAATTCGGTTGGTCACATGCTTACACACAAACCTCAAGTTGGAAATGCTTCTAAAGTTGTCTGAGTCACTTGCCAGACAAACCGAAACCATTAACAGACTCCTTCGGTTAGTCTCCACTCAATAAGACATTCTATTCGCATCTTCCTTTGCCAAACCACACAATCCTACATGTAATTCGACTCTAACACGATTTTTCTGCAAAAAAAACATAAAGTTAATTTAATTTAATTAAATACTCAAGCATTTTCACGACGATGATTAGTAGAAACACTGTTGATCTAACGCTCAAACATTCAACCCGACGAATCAACCGACCGGAAAAGCAGCATCAATATTTAATGCCTGCAAACTGACTACGGAGCCGACTACTTATTCAACCTACGCACTGGAAATGCCGAAATAGCCGAAAACCAAACCAAAGTTAGGACCAGCGGGTAAACGCGTTGAATAATTACAAACGCAGCATTGGTCAATTGAATAATTCATCTTTTATATCATTTATTGATTCCGCACGCTTATTCACCCATGCGATTATCCCAAGCGTTCAATTATCACGCATTAAACCGCATTGCGACACGATTAAAGATCGATTCCGGTTGAACAACGCAGTGACAAGTTAGTGACAACCTAGTGATAAGTTAATGAAGCATTACTGTAGTGTGGTTGAATTAAAGCTGGAACAAATGACAAAACAGCGGATGCATTTAGCCATCGCTGAAATATGCACAGAATGTTTAATTTAAATGCCGCTGGAGCTCAGCTAGGGATTCGAAACATGGTCAATATTGCATACTTGTAACCAACATTCCGACCAGACTCACTTTAGATTGTAGGAATATTCCTACAAGGAATATGTACACTTAAAACTATCAGTGTATTTGAAAATGGTTGATTTGAAGAGAATTACAGTTTTAGTTTATGTTTCCTGCGTGGTGTATTGAAATACATCGAGGGTAGTAATACTTTTTTTTTTGTTTCTTTACCTTCCACCAACCGCCAACCGACTGTTTGTGGTGCTTGCAAAACGTTATCGTGGCTGAGGTGGCGGTAGGTGGTTTTATGGGCAGCGTTGCGTCGCGATATCCCTCCGGCTCAACGCTCCTGAAATGTTCTGTTATTTATCATGAACTCATTTCGTGCTGTACGCTACCACCAGAAAACCAAAAGCTTGTGTTTTTACGAGTGAAAAAAAACCAACAACTCCGTTTTGTGCCCGCAGAGTTTTCGGACTTTTAAATTTATTAATCAATGCTTCTGACACTACCTCTGACGGTTTAATTGTACGCAAGGGTTTTTAGTTCTAAACGAGTTTTATATACCGTTAACACATTAATTCCTTTTTTGAGATCAACAAAATTAAACACTCGGATGATTCGATGATTAATTACTCGGCGCATTGTGCGTGCAGTTTGTGTATGTCTACACCTAAGCGCCTTTTGTAATTTCAATTTGCGCGTAAATGACGCACGCACAATTCATGATGAATAGTTTAGATACAATTCTTTGACTGGGCGCTTTGTGGACTCGTGCCGGTCGGCGTCATGCCGGAAATTTATGCTTGATTGATGTGTTTTGGTTGCCATTACGAGCCGGTTCGCCCTCTGCCAGCTGTGTGCTGTTTTTTCGCAATCATCATCATTGCGCCATTATTGCCATCGATTGCTATCGATTGTAATTTATACTTGATAGAGATATGTATGTACATAAATTAGGTTATACAATTTTGCGTTTCATTAGGTTTTGGATGAGGGCAATGCTATTGGCATGCATTTGGGCATGGCATGAGGCAGCCGGAAACATCGAGGATGATAGTGGTGACAAACTGTTCACAATCGATTCTTCGCCGATGGCTAACAATTGCACTTGTGTCAACGAACACGTGGAGGTGGAGTGTCGATGTTCGGGGCATCACTTCTACAATGTTCCTTCGAATTTAACCGCGGGACTTTCAGTTTTGTAAGTATTACACCATTGTATAATTTTATCTTTAAAAAGAAACTTTCTTAAAAAGTTTTATATGGATTCATAACTTTTTTACAGTTTTAACTTTATAAAAAGCAGTAGCAAAGTTTAAATTTAACTGTATTTATTCATATATTTGAATTAAATAATACAATATCAAATGAAACAATTCTTCATGTTGTATCGTTTAGGATAATTGAAGATGCTGGATTGGAAGTCCTCAAAAGGGATTCGCTCATGCCGTATTCAGAGACACTTCGAGAATTGTAAGTGCTTCTATTGTATCCATCCTACGTCTCAGATTTACAATCTTCATGTTTCAAACCGAACAAATCAATGCCAGCGCGTTACGTCGTCAATATTTAGTGTTTATTGCGCTAATAATCCATTATTATTCAAATTACATCTATTGTGTTAAGCAATTTGCAAGTTTGACAGCGTAATAGCAGCAGATTTCCATGCACTCAATCTTAATGCATGCATCCTTGACAGTTTTGCGGAAGTTTGCTTTTGGGTAAAGCTCAATCTTAAACTGGTGCAGGTGCATAGCAAGTTTGTCTTGTAAATATTTGATGTAGTTTGATACGAAAATGGATGCGTATTAAATTAGCATATTATCTAGATTGAAGTGCATTCTTTTGCTTCACTGACGAGGTTAATATATATTTACGGTGCGCGTTTAAATTCGAAATGTTGATTAATGAATTCAAATTTAATTCAACTGGATTTGCCCGTATTTGAATTCGCGAGTAATTTTGAATTCTGCGTTTGAGTTCGAGTGGATCCAAATCAAATTTAAATATATCAATTTTGCAAGTGTTAACATAATGAACTCTTGAAACTAAATCCACCTAAATTGCGTTTTAAATGTGTTTTGTTTTGGCTGAGATTATAAGTTCATTGAGACGAATGTGATTAGAAATGACAACACCGACTGTCAACACGAATTACCTTGAGAGGCTGAAATTCCAAGAATAACACGTTAAGAAAATGTTAAAGTTCAATTCGGTTTACAAAATATTTACAGTTTAATAATAGGTTTTTTGTTTGAGCTGTGTTTTATACAATTTTAAATTACACATGGGTATAAAAAGCAGACGTTATTGCTCGGAAAGTTCAAACTCACTCTCCAGCCATTAATATTATACGTTTATTATTTAAGAACTCAGAAAAAAGGAAGGAAAATGTAAAGCCCAGGAGGCAGTCATACGTTGCGCTCGGTGGCAAATAAGTTTTCTTTCATTGCTCGCGTGCCGCGATGTCGTCGAAGAGCGATGAGCAGGAAGACAAAAATAAAACGCGCGCACCGCACTCGTACAGGCGTTTTGTCATTACATCAATCTCGAGATTAAACGTCACGAACGACGATGACAATTATGTTTTATTCGAGCACTCGAAACTTTACGCTCACGGCACGTCGCCGCTAATTTATTCGCAACATTTTCCCGTATTGTGTGTTTACGATTCGCTCGAATTGCATCAAACCGATTATATTAATTTTGCAGGACGCTCGTCGGCTTGGAGAAGTTCTATTATTTTGAGCCGGGCGTATTTCGCAACTTGAGCGAGCTGGAAACTTTGTGAGTACCCTGCAATGATATGCTGATATTGCTGATATGGTGATCCTTCGAAAAGCGACGAAATGTTTTTGGTTGGTTTTTGTTTTACGTGCGGCCCGCATGCAAACGTTGGTGGTAAAAATAGTCCGGGGTTTTGATCAGGGACAAGAAGATTCTATATAAATTGCTTTTGTCACGTTTCATTCGCGGTACTTTTTCTGTATGATTTTCTTTTACGACAAAAAACGCAAAGGAATGGCATTGTTTTTTTATGGCTTGGCTAAAGATTTATTTAGTTGGGTTTTTATGTGCTAAGAGTGGACTATTTATTATTCCAAACATCATTCAGTGACTTTTATTCAACAAAATAAAAATCAAATGTTGTTTACGACTTTAACTTGATTTATCATACGGAGAAATATCTCGATCCATATTTCTTACATTTTTGTGCCAAATTGAACGAAGGTACACGCTCAAATATTAATTTACCTTTTTCGTTTCTGCCGTCACTCTTCACTCTGGAGTCATGAATTTGACATTTTATTCAAACGCGCGTCCTGCACGCGTCGTCGCTTTTCCAAGTGCGTGGAGCGAAACAGAGTTAAATATGCGCGCACGTCATGTCAAACGTCGCAACGCGGCGTCGAACAAAGCAAACATCACTTATTTGCATTTGTTAATAGATACATCCATCGGGCGCCAAAACTATTGAAAATCCAGCCGGAGGTGTTCAGCGTCCATCTACCCAAATTGAAAATACTGTAAGTTGTTGAGGATTTAATTAAAAATCACGCCCACAGCGTGCGGAATTTTCAATGTTTGCAGACGCATAGTCAATACCGGATTAGAGGAAATGCCCAACTTGAATGGCCTGCACACGGCGTCCGTACTGCATATGATGTGAGTATGTGAATATGGTACGCACGCAGGACGATACGAGTGCTCATGCATTACGATATTACTCGGCACGTTAGCGCCTACATCAGCATCAATTACTTCGCGTTACCGCGCGAAACGAATTTAATTACGCAAACCCTTGTTCTTCCCGCGTGATCAATTTGTCGTGTTCTTTGTGTGTGTATGCGGCGAATGTCATCTGGCGTTATTGGGCACGAGCATCTCTCTTGATTATGCAGATTTCAGATCAAATTTGCATCTTCCAAATCCAATTCCAAAAATTTTTCTCTGTTTTAAATAAAATTAATTCAATCGTTCAAGGGTGTTGCGTAGAATTCCAAATAAAGTTGCGTCGGTTGCGTCACATGCCAGAAAGTCTCCGCGTTAAATGGTCAAGCATTAATTTCTCTCGCATATACACGTTTCAACTGCACACGTTGATGTTATAATTGCTTCGCACGGGAAATTTATGCCTGCTGGCATTTCCTCAGGCTGGCATGTATGTATATGCATGCCTAATGAAAACGCGGATTTTTTTACGACTTTTAATCTCGTCCAGCCGACAAAAATTATTATTATCATCCCCGCTGAGAGGGATGCCTGGGTGCGTGTAATGCGTATAATCCTGGTCGATGTAATAACTGCGCTTATAATGTTCTTGCGTTCTACATCGAAAAGTTTTCCTGTTTGATGTCGAGATTAAATATTCACATTAAATTTGCGCATTTTCTAATCAATTTGCCATGTTTTGCTACAAATCAAGTCCAAAGGATATTAAATTTGCGTGCTTTGCAGAGATCTGGAGCACAATCGTATTCAGCGCATCAAGTGGCATCAGATAAGCCGAGTGAAAACGGACCAACTGTGAGTATACATGTGATGGGGTTTGTGCTAAAACAAACGATGTCAGTGAGACGCAAGCTGCAATTTAGTGAAATGGGTTGTAATGTGTTGCAACGTGTGCGTCGCTTAACTGAGCGTTTGCAAGGTTAAACGTTAGCGAAATTGCGGAAGGAAAGCGATTTTAAGGTATTACTACGTGCTATAAAGCTCTGACAAAGGGTGTTAGATTGTGTTGTTTAGAAGGCGCAACACGGACGCTTGCTATGAGACGACGTGCGATGAAAGTGGTGCATTACGTGTTGTCATTTATCATGCTTAATTTTACAACTTTTTACAAATCAAAAGAACAATAAACAAAAATATAATCATAAAGTTTTATTCCAGGAATTTATTTTCAATTTTTTTCGTAAACTAAATCGAAACAATTTATATTGTTTTCATTTAGTCAATTGCGATGAAAGAAACTTAATTTTAATGATTTATTTTCCTTCATACGTGATAATAAGCAATACAAATCGCTTCTCGGCTTATAATGCACACAGCATCCGGAAGAATAAATCATTCTCGCTAAAAGTATCTTTTGACCTTGCAAACTCTTTGCTCCTTGCACTTACCGGTCGTAGCAATGAGTGACATAACTTGTTCTTCACATGCGCAGGCTTTTAAACTACAACGACATCCGCACCGTGGAAGAGGAAGCCTTTTACGGTTCCGAAATAGCCAAGCTGTAAGTCGAGTGAATTTAATGTATTGTAGCGAAACCAGCGACAGTTGAATTTCTACCCCATCTTCCTATGCTACTTGCACACTCACACACTCCTAATTTTGTTTATTCCGCCTCGTCATCTTCGCCGAATCTCACCAGGAGCCTCAAAGGAAACGTGCACCTCGCGAACCTCCACCGGCGAGCCTTCGGCGAGTTGCACAGTCTGCGGCACATGTAAGTCTCTTTCTAATTATTCACTTTGCCATTACACCGCTCATTTGGCTTGGCAAAGCGGAAACTTTTGTCGGGTTGTTAATTAACTTTTTTTTAAAATGCACCGAACGTTTTAATTAAATTACTAATTAGCGTTTAATATAGATACATCGCATTAATATTTATATTGTAGCGATTTGAGCAGCACGGCCATCACCGCGATTCCGCTGGAGGGATTGCGCGAAATCGACGTGCTGAAAGTCCAAGACACAGAGACACTCAAAGTTTTTCCATCAGTATACAACTTTCAGGTAAACACGCTAAACTAGAATAGTATAAACATAAAAACTAATTACAGTATATACACGCCTTGGCGCACAAACAAAACACATTATTCATACATTCCTTCAACCAACAAGTAAATTAAAACAAATAAACTACACACGCTCATTTAACAATAAGGGAGTTGGTTTTCTGAAGTACACTGTATTGCTGTTGTAATTGTTTCGTACGTTTTAGAACATACCTTTATGTAAATTAACGTAAATTCCTGTATTGTGTTTGATCAGTGAACGTTTATTGCAAATGTGCAATATAGGTTCAGAAATGTACATAAAAGCAATCCATATGCATATAGTTATCGCGCTGTAACTTCATACAAAGGTTAATGAGGACCGTTTAAATTGTAGATATGTATATACCCTTTGGTAATTAGTAATTTAATACAAATATTACTCCTTGAAACCTAATATAACATCAGCGACATTATTTATGAAACAACCAAAATGTGGGAACGTGGCTTTAATTGGCTTTGGAGTTTTTATATTGAAATTATTTAATTAAATTCTGTTCCAAACTCATGATTGAATACTTCGGTTGCTTCATTTACTTTGTTTGATAATATTACACAATTTATAATATAATTTTATAATGATTCAGTTATTTTTTTTATCAAAAGAGACTTGAAAGCAGCAGAATATTTATTGAAAATGCTAGATTCCAAACTTTCAATATTTCATGCCCGCTGGCCATGTTAGCTTCTTCAGTAAATCCGCTGCAATTCTATAAAACGGAAAAATATAACTAAGCATTTAGTATCGACCTCACAAAACCCGCCGCAATACCCGCAAAGATACACAGTGGCTTTGCCGGCGGCTCTAACGTTCATCGATATATTTATTTTTCATTTTTCAGTACATAAAGGAAGCCTGGCTGACCTACCCGTACCATTGTTGCGCCTTCAAGTTTCCGCATACGCACAACCCAAGGGAATTCGAGCAGCATCAGCGTTTCATCAAGCGTATGCAATCGACATGCTCCGGAAAGAATGTCTCCAATTCATACAACCTTCCCGGCAGTAATACTCATAACAATCCGACGTTCAAAGATCTCCTGAAGCTGCAGCCGTCAAATGCAACCAACCATCAGCTGGTGCAGCAGCCTCAATTTGTGACAAAAGACGTGCAACACGACGACGATGGTATGTGGAGTGACGATGAGCAAGTTTTTCACAACGGCACGCTCGATATGGGCAGCGAGTTTTCCGTAACGACAGCCGTATGCGGTGAAATATATCGCAACTATCACGAGGTTAGTGGACTTAATCAAGTTGCCTTGTTTATTAGAGAAGCTTTTAAAGCGGCGTCCAAAAAATACCAAACTTCCCAACTGCCATTAGTCTATAAAGCGAACGCGCCCGCCTTACACCTGGGACTTTCGAGTGCGTGCGTAATAGAAAGGGCGATTGCTGTGATTAATTATTTTAGGTGAAATGTTACCCGGCCCCGGACGCATTCAATCCGTGCGAGGACCTCATGGGAAACTGGGGCCTGCGTATTCCCGTGTGGTTCATATCGCTATCGGCGATTATTGGCAACCTCTTCGTCGTGATTGTGATAGCCACTTCGCATTTTCGTCTCACCGTTTCGAAATTCCTCATGTGCAACCTGGCGGCTGCCGATCTGTGTATAGGCATTCATCTTCTGCTAATCGCCGTCGTCGACGCGTGCTCCATTGGAGCGTATTTCAATTACGCTATTGACTGGCAAGAAGGTGAGCAAAACTCTAGAAGTTTATTATTGTAACATTATCCGTTTCTACCTTTTTATCGGGGAAAATCCATTTTAACTTGTGTATCTTACACCTTGGAAAAACATTGTGTTTGTTTAAGACTTCATCAACACATTACAGCACGAACAATTGTTTACATAGCCATTATCATTACTGACGTACGTTAAGGTTTTTTTTATAGATATCCGTTTGTTTGTCAAATTTTACAAATCGTAATTAATTATTATTAATTCTTACTAAATTAACTAATAAAAATATCAACTAGTTAGAAGTGATTTAAGTTTTACAAAAATTGTAAAATGAACGCGTGCTGTAATTTCATACATTAATTAAAATGCATGTTTAGGTGATGGGTGTCGGGTGGCGGGTTTCTTAACAATCTTCGGCAACGTGCTCTCGGTGTACACGCTGGCGGTGATAACGACGGAGCGATGGTACACGATCACCTGGGCGATCCATCTCAACAAGCGTTTAAAGTTACGCACCGCGGTGCGCGTAATGTTCGCTGGTTGGTTGTGCGCCATTTGCATGGCGTCATTACCACTAATCGGCGTCAGCAGCTACTCCAAGACGAGCATCTGCTTACCACTGGAGAGCAAGGGCAAAGCAGATGCCATCTACCTATCCACCCTCTTGGCTTTCAACGCAATCGCTTTCGCACTGATTTGCGTGTGCTACGGTAGCATGTATCGCTCAATTCGAGAAGGCGGCAACACGTGCTCCGTAACATCAGTGCGCTCCGATCTCACAGTCGCCAAGCGAATGGCCCTGCTGGTCTTCACCGACTTTGCATGCTGGGCGCCGATTGCTTTCTTCGGAATGACTGCTTTATTAGGTCACCCTTTGATTACTGTCACGCACACAAAAATTCTGCTGGTGTTTTTCTATCCGTTGAACTCATGTGCTAATCCATGTCTGTACGCGTTACTTACACAGCAGTATCGACGGGATTTCTTTATCTTAATGGGGAGATATGGGCTCTGTAAGGATCGAGCTGAACGACACAAGGGTGCCATTGGCGGTAAACCATTACCGTATGGCGCGGGTGGGCAATACAAACGTAGCGCCGGAGACACGCTGAAAACACACAGCGGTGGTAACACGAATAATCATCGCGGGTCCGTGCTGACCACTGTAGTCAGTGTGGAAGTGCCAATGCTGCACGGGACAAATAGCTCCAGAAATGGAGCGCGTGGCAGATGCCGGGAACGAGACAATGGTAATAAAGTGCGTGAGTTTTCACTAAAACATTTGAATAAAGCAGACATTGATGAGTGTCGACATTCATTGCAAACGTCGACAGATAATTTGTAAATTTAGCTATATACAAATTGATGTAATAAGCGTGTAGACTGTAAAAAGAAAGACTTAGCTTAAAAAGCACGGTTATATGTCATGGACGTTTATGTTGCTAATGTTATTGAAATTAATAAGGGTAATGTACGAATGTATTTGTGTACTTTAGGAACCTACGTTGAACCATTCCTATTCTTGTAAGACGTAGCGCCATGTGATCAAACAATACATGTAAACTTGATACGTTATTAAATTTAAAGTTATTTATTTTACGTTTTGGGCTGTATTACTAACTAAACTAATATCTTTGAATGTAGGTATGTAAACAATTTTTTGTCGGCGTATCCCACTGCTTATCGCAGTAACCGCGTGTTGTCGACGTTGGCTGTGTGCAGTTCAGTGCTCATGCAGTTCGGTTTCGGTTATCGAGTGAATCGCGCGTGTTTATCGCGACTAATTATGTTTCTTTATATCATAATTAAGTTAATCAATTTATATTCAATATGCAATCGTCAGCATATACCGGAATTGGGCATCGACAGAGAGTTGCTAGTGTGATCGCACGCGTTAAACGATTGTTCTTTCGCATTTGGAATTATATTCAACAGGGGCGTAGCTACCGCCGTATTTGCCGATTGTTAAAACCTTTACCTTCATATAAGGGCCTCCAAAAAAATTTTATACGGGGCCCCGACAAGGCACGCTACGCCGCTGATATTCAACTTAATTTTGGACTAGTACTCGTTGGTTTTCAATTAGAAAATACAAGAACAACCATGTAAGTAAAATTAATAGGGATTATAGGAAAAATTACTCGGAAGCTGGTCGTCTCCAATACGGGTTGTGTTAAAAGTTTTCTCCAGCGAAACATGATAATCATAGCGAGAAATATTGAAAGTAAAAGTATATTTTGTGTATGTGTATATCAACATTGTCAATTTTTAGTTTCGTCTTTTCAACTACGTGATTATCAGTACGTTTGTGAATAAACAACTTTTTTTATTTGACTGACCCGTGATATCGCTGTATACCTGGCTTGTACCCGGCTACGCGCAGTGCACACGGCAGTTGTTTCACCGCGTGGTCCGCGAGCGTGTCTCTAATCGCCACGCGTTTTGAGGTTTTAATTGGATTAATTATCCTGTATTCTTTTGACCATCGGCAAAATATTCGCAATGGACATGTGTGTTAATGATTTATGGCGGTTAGAGTCTTCGTAAGTGAGAAATAAGTGTCCGTTAATCCCTGCGCGAGTTTTCAGTTGATAGAATTATTACCGGATAGAAAATCTCCTCATCAATGCACAGGTGGGTGTATAATTAAAATTATTCGCGAAAAGTTACTGAGGATTATTAAAATGACAATATTCTTGTGGTCGACCACGCTTACTTTGCCGTCGGTCGTCGGTTTGGTCATGTTTTCGAAGATCACGTAAACATTTTTAATCGAATTGCATCATTATCGCGAACGCGGTGTCACAATAAGTTTGGAATAATTTTTCCAAATAGAGAATTTAATTCTGTATCCCCATGTATTTAAATTTATTGCGAGACACCGTACAAGGGTAGCGGCAGAAGTGACTCATGTTCAGGGCACCGTACAAGGGCAGCGGTAGAAGTGACTTGTGTTCAGGGCACCGTACAAGGGTAGCCGTAGAAGAGATCCGTGTTGAAGGCAGTTTTTAGTTTTTTTAGTATAACACGCGAACGAGGTGTCACAATAAGTTCGGAATAATTCTTCCTGATGCAGAATTTAATTTTGTATTCCCCTGTTTTAAAATTTATTGTGAGAACATTCCATAACGCGTGTTATTGAAAGTTGTGTGTGTGCGCCGTAGTACTCGTTGCGCTAGGAATTGTAGTTTTTTTAAAGTAACACGCGAACGCGGTGTCACAATGAGTTCGGAATAATTTTTCCTTATGCAGAATTTAATTTTGTATCTTCCTGTATTGAAATTTATTGCAAGAAAATTCCATAACGCGAGTTATATTGAAAGTTGTGTGTGTGCGCCATAGTACTCGTTGCGCTAAGAATTGTAGTTTTTTAGTGTAACTTGCGAACGCGGTGTCAAATTAAGTTCGGAGTAACCTTTTCTGATGCAGAATTTAATTTTGTGTCTCCTTGTATTGAAATTTATTGCGAGAAAATTCCATAACGCGAGTTATATTAAAGTTGTGTGTGTGCGCCGTAGTACTCGTTGCGCTAGGAATTGTAGTTTTTTTAGTGTAACCTGCGAACGCGGTGTCATCATAAGTTCGGAATAATTTTTCCAGATGCAGAATTTAATTTTGTATCTCCCTGTATCGAAATTTATTGCGAGAAAATTCCATAATGCGAGTTACTTTGAAAGTTGTGTGTAATTTTGTAGATTACAAACACATGGTGGCATTTTTATCAGAATTCTTCTTAGTCGCGTTTCCGAAAATAACATGCTTGATTTAATTATTAGAAGCATCGCTTTTAAAATTATCTGAGGATTATTAAAATAACAATATTCATGTGGTCGACCAGGCTTACTTTGCCGTCGCTCGGTTCGGTCATGTTTTCGATGATCACGTAAACATTTTTAATCGAATTGCATCATTAAATTAATAATTTCTTGTTAAAATAAAATCATGAAAGGTGAATAGATTTTCGTTTTTGTAATCTCAGTATGTCTTAATATTTACAAAGAAATAGTTATTTTTATCTTTAACAACTGTGTTGCTACGCGTCGTCGCTTGCCGTCTGTTGATTTAGTTGTTTTCCGCCGGATATTCTATCAATTTATAATGATGCTTCTCCCGTAGGTTACCTTATACAGTTGCTGCTACCATTAATTAATTAATAAATATATATTCACAATTTGATTTTTGTAGCACCCTTTTGCTCGATTTTCCGATGTTTTTCGAGTAAAATCTCTGATTTTATATTAAAATATTGTTGTTAATTTGTACATTTCCCTCTTCATATTGTGAATATTGACCCCCTTTGTAGTTTTTAAATTTTTCTCCTTGTATATTAGTTTTCCCAACAGCACGTAGAAAATCACCTTTAGTTGTGAGTTTTGAGTGTTCTCTGTTTTGAACATGGAATTTTCTTTCTGGAACACCCTGTATATTAGTTTCCCTGATTTGTCGAGTGAAAACGAGCGTTTGTAGTGTTGAGAGTTTTTTGTTTGCACTTTAAATTTTCCTATTGTAACACCCTGTATATTTGTTTCCATTTTCAATTACCTAGAAAATTGGCTATTTACTAATTTCATTATTCCGGTAGAAGTTTATGAAATAGTACTTACAGGCATGTGCGCGGCTATGTCCTGGTCGTAAGTTCCGTTTCAATATGGAGACATATATTCTGTTGACTTATAAAATCTAAACTTGTATTGTTAATAAATAAATAGTAAAATATATTGACTTCTTTGACTTGTGTACCCCTCCTATCATTTCAGGAACAGGTCTCTAAGAGAGTTCCCTCCCTCAGGGGATAATCCCCATTATAAAAATTGTTAAGGTATCCTCTATGACTTATGACTTCTCTCATTTCAGGTACAGGTCAGAACTTGTAAGAATATTTTTAAGTGTCTCCTCTCTTGAGACTACTTAAAACTTAAAAATATTTTTGTAAGTTCTTAAAAGGATGTCCTCATAAGGAGTTCTCCCACTCGGGGGATGAACTCCCACCATAAAAATTGTTGATATGCCTGATAATTTCGGGGATGAAGCGCAGAGACATCGTAGCTGTAGGATGGGCCGGGAGCAATGGACGAACTGAAGCAGTGGGCGATCGACCAGAGCGCCGGAGGCGCTCTGGGAGATCGACCGTAGACTGTCTTATAACGACACGTGCCAAAAAATTTAAAAATCTGATCCTCCCCTGTCCTCATTCTTCTATCTCCTCCTCTTCTCTACTCTACTCTACTCTCAGTTCTCTTCCATCTATCATCTTCTCCTATTCTCATTCTGTACTACTCATTCTTCTATTTCCCTGTTCTCCCGTTCTCCTTCCTCTTATTGCCTTCACTTGTATTTCAATTTCAATTTCTCATATATTTCGTTGCATTTCATATATGCAACCCAAATTTCACCTTATATTTTTATATTTGAGAAAAATGCCTTCTATACCTGAGATTTGATCCGTGTCTACTAGCATGCCAGCAGGTGCACGTACCCACTCGACCACCGAGTGTTTTTATTACTAATATTTGATTCTTCTATATATGTTTACACATTATCCAATTTTTAAAAACAACATGGCAGGTAACAATTATATTGTACACACTTCACGCACATAAGATTCATACGCAATATGATTTCAAACACTTATCCTGAAAACGACAGAAAGGATATCACAAAGAAATATAAATGAGTTTATAATTTTAAATTGTGTTTTATTAATTATATTTAACAATATAATATATTCATTTTTTTAAATAAAGAAATATTGGCGGCTATCAAATCCCGCAGCAGTAAAGACTTGCCTTAAAACACGCGCATCTCCAATACTACCGTCATATTGTAAACTCCATGGTTCATGCACTCACAAACTTCTTCCCTGAGTACCCACGATGACTATTTACAGGAACTAATTTTAATCCAAGTTATTGTTAGATGCGAGAAGATAATTGTCAGCCGACGGAACCACACACGCGAGAACCAAAAATGAATTCGCGATTGAAAAACACACAAATCACACTTGTGAAACCTCGATCACGCCCGATCCCAGTATATATCGCCTATTGTACAATAAATATCAATCAATTTACTTAATTATGGTATAAAGAAACAAAACTAGTCGCGATGAACACGCACGATTCATCCGATGATCGGAATTGAACTGCATGTGCACCGACTACACACAGCCAACGACGGCAACACGCGGTCACTATCAGTATTTAGATACGGACACATAAAAAAATGTTTACCTACATACAAACATCGAATCTAAACCATATAAACTAACAATTCATAGCAGCGCCAGTTTTGGAACCACCAAAAGAATCAGTAAAATTTCTACGGCGCTAAACTGGAAATCATTAATCCCAATGCCCGTTTTCCACTCAAATTTTTAGAAAATAACCAAATTTAATAAAATTGGAGGTCAATATAAGGGCGCTTCCAAACACTTGAGGGTATCTGAATGCAGTTCAGTCCATCACACAACTCTTTTTATATGATATGAAGAAAATAAAATTTAAATCAAATACGAAAACGGGCACAAAGAAGACACGAAAATTACAGAAACACTGTTACATGCTGTCTATCTTATTCTCTCGCAAGCTAAATGAGTTTCTCGGTTTAGTGTCGCTTTTTTGCGTCACAATTCAAAAGAAGTTTCATTTTAATAATAATTTACTTTTAAATTACTTTTAATTTACTAAAAGTGAAAAGATAAAAGTTGCAAAAGTCACTGTCGCCATCTGCTGATAGTAGCTAGTACTGCGGAACAGAAGGAAACTGCAATTACCGAAACATATCTAGATGTCAAACTGTCAGACGTTGCAGCAAAGCAATTTCGAGTAACAAATCTTGTTCAATATTTTCTCAAAACAATGGCAGGAGTACCGCCAATTCCGGGGCTCATTTCACATACGAACAAAGTTAAAAGTTTGTACAAAAGAGCCCTACGTACACTAGAGTGTTGGTATGATAGGCGGTAAGTAAAATGAACTAAAATTGCTCCTCAACAACATTTGGTTAAGTTATATAATTTTACCATTGTAGGATTCCTTGATTCCAGTCCTAAATCCTTCCCAGTTCCTGACTGAAGCCCTTCCATCTGTCCATAGATCCATACCAGGTAACGGATGTCTGATATGTTTTTTTGTACATTTGCAGTGAAGTATATAGGTACCATGCTGTCCTGATGAGAAAACAATTTGATGACAACAGTAGTATCAAGGATATGAGAATTGCCAAAGAGTTAATTGTCAAAGGAGAAAAAGAACTATTTGACAAAGCACATTGGCACCCAAGAAAATGTAAGTTTATAAACTGCTTTGAGAACAACACAAATTTGCTTACTTATATGTGACTTTGTAGTCCCTGATTCACCTGGGGGTGTTGCTTATGCCAGGGAAGTCCTACCTCCAGACTGGGTTCTTGATTATTGGCATCCTATTGAAAAGGCACAATATCCGGATTACTTCGCTCGTCGCGAGCAACGCAAAATCGAGTTTATGCAAGCATGGCAGAAGAAATATGGCAAGACAACTGCACCACATCATTGATTCTTCAAATTAAATGCAATGTAATAGAAAATTATGTGTATTAAATTGATAATAGTCATTCAAAGGAAATAAATCGTTATTCATGAGTTCTTCGCTTTAATATTAAACATGGAGTGTAAATAAAGTCAACTAGTAAAGCAGTTGACTAGACAATTCTGTGCATTCCAACTTATCATTTTGCTAGCTGACAAGCTTTACCTTTGATTCATTTCTCAAATACAATTACTTATCTAAATGTTATTATATCACACTTGCTGGTCTAAACTTTGTGCAAACAAATACAAATCTAACACTATAAAATTAACTAGTATATTTTTACAAGTTTTATAATAATAAGTTAATTCTAAAACGTAATACAATGCAACGTTCTTTAAATTAAGGTAATCTTCTACATATTTGTTTAGTGACTTCATAGAAGGAATTAAACTAATAAATTAGCGTGTATTAGTGTATTATTGGCACGGCCAGTGGTCAAACTATTGCTGTTTGTTATTTTCCTTGCAAAATCTATCTATTAGTGCGACAACTTTTGGTTTAACACGTAAATTTCCAAATAAAAATCAATGTTTTTGCTTCTTAATTCATCGTTTTGCAATAGATTGTCCATCAAAATAATTGTAATATGTAATAAATATAATATGCACATTTTGTCGACATGAAATTAATTAAAACACGATCAGCCGTATAGTTTTTCCAAAATGGCTGCCGGTGCGTCGGCCTGATAACGTGAGATCTGTCGCAGCAGTGCAAACTTTTTCATACGACCCTTTGAGGATTCCATGTCGTACAGTGTGCACAAGTTCAACAACAATGATTCGTGCAGGCCCTGCACCGAATTCGAACTTATTGCCGACTCAAGCACGGCGATTGCTTCCTTAAGTTGTCCACTGTACAGTAGACACACTCCCATATTATTAAGTATCTGCACAAACACAAATATTAGATTAACCCTGCCCCGTATCAACCACAGCACAACTACGACAATTACAAAATTAGTAATAACGAATCATTCTTAATACTCCCAAAATACGCAATATATTATTATGTTATTAACTTACCATCACATTTGAGGGCTCTAATGCACTCGCTTCTTGAAAGCAAGCAAATGCATCAGTAAACGCGTTCTGTGCGACCGAAATAAGTCCCCGATCGACCAACTCTCTAAAATTAGGTGGTCCGCTCCCCCGAAGCTCCTTTGCTTCCTTAAAACATACTTCAGCTCCTGCGACGTCTCCCAGCTGCAAATGTAAACGTCCCAACGCTGACAGCAATGAATCTTTGGGCGCACCGTCCCTAAATTATTAAAAAAAATATAACTTTGAAGATTAAACATAATCATTTAACTAAATACCTATCACAAAGTTGTCCTAGCAAGTCCATAGCTAGTTCGTAATCCTTTTGAGCAAGCGCGCAGTTGATTATGGAATGCATAATGCGAGTTTCACGCCCTGTCCACAACCGGATCGAATCACTTCGATCGCTAGCGCCAATCTCCGCAGGATTACCATCCTCGCACAAACCTTCTTTTAGATTTTTGAGCATCTAAAATTAAAGAATAGATAAATACAAATACTTATATAATAAATGCAGTTAATATCGTACATGTCGAACAGTCGCCAATAAACTAAATAATTTAGTCAATGACTCCTTAGGTTTTCCACAGTGGGATGGCAGTTCGGCTAATAATAGACGAAACGAGAACGAAGCAATCGAACCAGGCCGCCCGCCAAACATCTCCGGATAGAACTGATAGTACAAATCAGGTTTGTCCAGATCGCCGAACGGCTCCGCTTCGGCTTGCGCCAATTGAAATGCTTTGGTTTTAACAAGCAACGCTATTCGAGTAAACCAAAGTTGTAGCGAATGAGGAGAATGCTTGCTGGGATGGCCGGCACGACCACGACCCTGGCCGTAGATTTTAAGCAGGCGTCCGGTAAGATTTATCGCCGAACGATAGGCGCCCGCTTGGACGAGTTCGCGCAGACCACGTTCGTCCTGCGTGACGTCGTTGGCGGTGAAGGCACGTCGTTGGGATGCTTCCGTCTCGCCCAGGCACAATGCGACTGTCTCACCCACACTATCACCCTGAAAACAGCAATTAAGGAAATCTAGAATAACTACAAAATTATCGATTGTATCTTTCATTGTAACGCTCGTAGCGCTACATTGAAAAATATTAATTTAGAATAGCTAATAAATGTTTTATGTGCCAATTAAAAAGTTTTAATTAACACCCAGGTGTACTGTGATGAACATAAAAAATCATTAATTTAGGAAACTGAAACTGCACATAAATAACTTACGTATTCTTCTTCTAGTAGAACACCTGGCATTGTAAGCATTTCCCTTTCTGGAAAATACGTTCCGGACGCGGCAGTAGCAGAAGCTATTAATACTTGTCTTGTCTTTTCACTTGGTATCCATGCATCTCTTCTTCTATCTGCCTCTGATCCAATTGCCACCCTTGGAGCATAAGCATCCTAATAAAACAAATACCAATTAAAGAAAAATCACTCAATTACACAGTGTAAATATCACTTACTTCACTTGATGGCAAGCCCAAATCTGTAAGCATTCCTGTAGGTGCATTAGGGCTACTTGTTGATGTGCCAATGAGATCAAAAAAAGATGCTGCAGGGTCTTTAAGTTGCTGCGGAGTTTTCGCGAACAACCTACACACATTCGGCTCACTCTGCGATGTTGCCTTAGGCTCGTCAATGTCCAGTACACTGATCTTCTCCACTAATTGACTGGAAAAATCGTTGTCTGCCTTGGAGTCGGTGGTGTCACCGAAGTAGGCGCTCAGAGAAGGCGTATTTTCCGACATCTCGTAATTGTTACGATACGTGACGGTGATTTGCCATCAATCGAAATGAAGGAGTTTATAAGTGTAAGGAAATTGGAGCACAAAAGAAAAACTTATAATGAGCAGGATAAGCACTCGCTGAGAATCACAACACAACTCCTTCAACCTAACCACAAAATGAGAAATGTCAAGGAGTTTCTGCCGATCCTGCTGCGCGACGTGTAGCTAATCAACTGAGCCTTCGAAAAGAAAGCAGCGCACGATCATACCTGGCCTACAAGAATTTGAATATTTAATGAATACCACGACAGATTAATAAAGCACGTTTTAATTGAAAGTTGGTTTCGATTTTCAATCTACACCTGTTCCGATTCGATAAGATTTACTATACTTTTATGAACTTTTATCATTGCTTTAATACACAGTTGATATTATGTATTGATTCTTAACGCTTCATTATTAAAAAAATATTTAACTATTAATGGCAAATTAAAAAGTGTTAATAATTCAGAACTAGAACGTACGACGTTTATCGATACGTTAATACAAAAAGAACATCCAACATTCTAAATTTTTAATGCATTTAAATAACACGCTTCCGTCATAATGAAAGAACGCTCATGGGAAAAAGCAAATTGCTAAGTAGTATTCTCGCTCTCTGAATTACACGCGCTATTAATTTTTGCTATCAACTATAAATAATTAATATCCAGGCCCTCATCCTAAATATCTTCTGGGTGTGGGTCAGACATTTGTCAGTTAGATATGTACTACGTAAATATTTGTAATTTAACACATGACCAATGTGTTCATTTTTGCGCATTAAAGTTAGATTAAAACAAATATTGAAAATATGATAAATTGATCAAACAGTAAAGTTATTCATAAAAGACAACACGATAACAAAAGTCAACATAGTAAATGTTAGAATATTTGAATAATCACTTATAAAAATTATTATTTGGTACGTATTTACATTATAAATACTTAAGTTAAATTAATTTGATTCCTTATTGCCCGCTTATTTCATTGATATACTCTGGAACGAGTCAAAACTATTTACACTCTGACAATCGTCGTAATTGGAAGCATTTGTCCTTGTACTGTACACCGATTTAAAGCTCACTACGGATCCTTCTGAAACAGTGCGCACCATTGCGCGTTTTGGTGGTATAGTTGTAACTTCTTGATCAGATACACTTTTCGAAATATTAGAAATTTGATCTAAAACAAAGCGAAACGTTGTGATACTCATTAATCATTTCCACCATCACCGTTACTCAATCTATTATATTATTATCATTGATAAAATCCTACTTACTGTCGCCATCCGTCATAGTAACATCATTTCTTCGCCGGCAGCAGAAACAAATATTGATCATTTTCCAAATTATTTACCAAAACACTTGTTTAATTATTTATTGTAGATTTACACTTTTTACGTAATTCTCATTATAATAAGAAATTCCCCAGATAAATGTTTACTTCGATCATTAAGACGAAATACTGTGACGATGCGAAAGTGGCACGCAAAGTGATCGCTTATCGTGTGGCTAAACTCTAAAGGTGTAAAACGTTATCACTCGCCGATGTTATCTTTGTCGATGGAGAAAATGATCATTCATTATGTTTTGTCACAGATAATAAACTCTGAGCGAATAATGAACTAGAAAAACTAGTATTTTATTGTTTGATAGGATGTTGATATCAATTTTTAATTCTAGTAGCGTAACGCGACATTGAAAACGTGTAAACATTTATTACAATGGTCGCATTATGAAATAGAAAAATATTCAAAATGGCTGCTACCATCTAATCATGTTTTATCTTAATAAACCATTGTATTTTTTTAAATATGCAATTATGCATTGTGTAAATTTTGTATTTTTTGTCATAGTGACCTGTTTTCTCTTTTATCCCGTTGTCATGCCAATAACAGGATAAAATTGTCCGTATTAAATCGATAAATTGTTCCGAAACGCGTTTTCAAGATGGACAGCATTTTATCTCCCGCCGAAATTGATTTCTATATCGAAACAATGCGTGAATATGCCATCCATGAAGTGGGCAGCGATAAGTAAGTTCAATTTAACGTTAATACCACTTAATAAATTATTTGTTTCTTTAGCTGGTTGGATTGGCATGATCGCCTCCAGAAGCTCAACCAACAAGCTGTCATTGAAGCGACGTCGATGCGCGACGAACAAGTAAAAGAAACTCTCACCACGTTCGGCAAAAGCCACATTCTAGTTCACGAAGCAATTCTTATCAGTATATGGAAACAGAAAGTGCTTCCACATCTTTTGAAATTCGTTCCCAATCCAGAAACCACATTTATCGCGTACACCGTACTATACCATGAAGCAATCGCCGCCAGCCTACTCGAGTTGATAATGTTCTACGGTGCTGGCTGCGAACGACTCGGTGATAGCGCCGCGGATCTGTTGGAATATGTCTATGAAAACGCAGCGCAACTGTTGGTTATTAAGTGCGAGCCGACAGCAGATGTCTGCCAGATGAGTGGACAGCAAGAAATTTTGAGAAATAAGAATGATCTTCATTTTACTATTGCGATTAGATCGTTGAGTATTATTCGATACCTCGCGGAGTACATGGATCGAGTCAGTTTGGGGGTGGTTTCTCGGATGTATGAAACCTACGATGTACCAGCGCTCTTCGTGCAATTATTAATCGAAAAACCGTGGTACAAAAACGGTCAAGTCTTCAACAAAGGCAAATGGGTAAATGTATCCTCAGATGTAGTCAATACAACTGAAGCACAGGTGTGGTTAACATTAAGGCATCTCCTGCTTGACAAAGCCTTCAACACCTATTACCCAATAACAGATTCAAGAAAATCACACTTGATGAAAATTGCGCCGCTTTTAAACCCAATCGTGATAGATCAAATGTCCCCGTTATTAGAACTTAAACAATTCCTGTTTCATTTATCGGTTTACAATCCCCAATCAGCGGCCAAGAAGCCATTGTTGATGGAAACCATTTTGGAAGTCAAAAATAATATTATCCAACAAGGACATGGCCAATGGAAAAAAATCGCCAAAGCGCAAATTGATGTCATCTTCTGCAACGACAAAGAAAAATTGGCCCAAATTGCCCAAAAGTACTACATTTAAATGTAAAATCGCACAAAAGTAAAATATTTTGAATTTCAGATTGTCAGCTGCTTACAACACCGATGTAATCGAAAAATTCGAAGGAAACGCATCAGGAGAATGTGCGCTCTGCGGCCAGCCTGCAATACAACGATGTTCCAAATGTAGGAAAGACTTCTACTGTTCACGACAATGCCAAGTATCACATTGGCAGAGCCATAAAGATAAATGTACGCCACTAGCCATTGAAAACTGATAATATCAACAATTGTTTGTTTCTTAAATTGTAAGTTTTTATTTTTTAAAAAACATTTATTTACTTCTTCAAATACTCCTTGAGGACGTCTAACGCTGGCGAATCTTCGCTGAAGTCCTGTAAAAAATTACATTACTAGAAATTCTACATTTTGTTGCCTTTAAAAATAAAAATAGCCTTTCAAGAAGATCAGATGGTAGTGTTCTCAGCACTATATTATTACGGGTTCCTCAGCAGAGGGAGCCTACCATAATTCATCAGCAAAAAATAATTTTTGATTGAATAAAATAAGAAGATAGTCGCAGTTTTAAAGTACGTAAATGTCAGCCGCACGAAATTAGAAGATATCAAATTGTTCAATACATTTTTACACAAAGATGGCAGTTGAAAATTAATAAATTATAAGAGTACTTACTGTGATTACTACACAAGAGCACCCAACAACCTTCCTGGCCTTTCCAGTGTTGTCAATCTTGCAGAGACCAGCCCACTCACCAAGCTTCTTGTTGTTATCCACCTTGATCAAGGGAATTTCATGCTCTGAGCACAAGGCAGTGACCAATTTTTTGTACATTGGTTCATCACAATTCTCAGCCAAAATGCAAAGCACAGCTTGTCTTTTGTCTAATGCTTTAGCTGCCGCATGTAGGCCATGGATGACACCACCGTGAATTAACGCGGTTTTAAGCACATCTTGCAGTGCTTGGTTTACATCCATGGCACCACCCGTTGGGACGGGGACTGCGGGAGCATCATCACTGTAAAGAACAGAAAAGTTAATTAGAATCCGGGGAAAGACGTTCAACGCACAATTTGTGTATTAAAAACTAATCAGAACTAGGTATATTACAGCATAGTGTCTTTGGGTATCTCAGAAGAGGGAGCCTAAGATCATCATTGAAAACGCCGAATATTAACATGCATTGTAGGAGGTTATGACTGAATACTTACACATCAACATCCGACATGGCTGTGTTTTAACTGAAAAACACAAAAATTTTACTTGTATTAGAAACATTATTTAATTTCGCACGCAACTAATGGTATTTGAAGGCACGATTGGCCAAATACACTTTGATATTTAAAGATACTGAGAGAAAAATTTCGAAAGCATACCTTGTCACGACAGCTTGGACACAAAAAGAGAGAAGCCGCAGCGCGCGCAGTAAGGAAAGAGGAGCAAACCGAGCAAAGTCAGAACTACCAACTATATCAGAAAGTTACTAAACTAACTAATAGGGACTAAATTTAAACTTGATTAAAATTGATAACATAAATGAGTATATTTTATTTCTCAAACAATAAAAGATAAATAGAAAAATTACTAATAATCATATCAAATCAATATAAACGTTAGTGATTCCTGCGATTGTCTAAAATTTTATCATAGATTTAAAAGATAAGTTTGATATCATATAAAAGAGGATAATTAACTTGCTGGGTATGCAGTTTGCAGTTACAGTTCAAAAATTAAAGAACATATCTCATATACCATATCATGTAAGTATCTAAATCATATAAAATATCAAATATGTATTTAATAATTTGCGACTGTACGTTTAGGGATCCCAAACTACTGAAAAACTTTGAATGTCCAGTATGCATGGAATACTTCCAGAGACCTATCTCTCAATGTCCTACTGGGCACAGTATTTGTTCAAAATGCAAAGTAAAGTTGGATAAGTGTCCTTATTGCGCCCTTGAATTTTTAAACACTCGTAACTTTGCATTAGAGAACATGCTGTCCACACTCAGTGCCCAATGCACCAATATGAACTGTTCAAAAGCAATTCCTTTGGACGAATATTCAGAACATGTACAACAGAAGTGTCTATATAGATACGTCAAGTGCAAATATCCTACTTGTACCTGGAAAGAGCATGTGATGTTTGTTAATGATCACATTAATACAGTTCACAAATCAGTACTTGTTCAGAATTGTACAAAATTAATATCACATCAGTACTCAAATGCTTTCATTTATCATGATGGTATTATATATTTTGTACATCGGTCCTTAACAGAGGATAAATTTTTAATTTGGACTGCAGAACCAACTATTCAGATTCCAAATAACAACATGTTTTTGGTTGTAAAGATAACAAGTGCCACTGGTAGCTGTCACAAGTTAAAACAACCAGTATCAGCTTACATGGATAATCCAAATGACGTAAAGAACATGTCTGTTATTGGTATGTTAAAGAGCAAAACTACCGGGTGTACCTTTCAACTTTCAATTGAAAAATGAGTCAGTAAAAACTCGCACTCTTCCGCAAACTTAAAATGTAAACTGTAAATGTTTTATAAAATAATTGTATAATATTATAGTATAATTATGAAATAAAGTATTTAATTAAAGTTAATCGAAATCGTTTTATTTAGTAATTTGAAATCGTAAGGATAATAAATAAGTTTAAGTAAATGTTTAAAGAATTTTCAAGATGTAGTGTAGATTGCCTACATACAATCTTCATATATTGTACTTTTCAATCCGGTTTGATGCGATACGACCTTCATAGACGTGTAAAGTACATGATTAGATGTGAACTAAGTTGTTAGTTGTAATAAATATAACGACTGAAAGTACACTTTGCACTTGTATATAATTTTAACTAAACCTCAATTAATACAGTGCATTTTTCTACATATTAGAATATCCATAAAAATCATGTAAGTTTGACAAGAAACAAATGTAACTGAAAATAACCTACATACTACTCGTACCTACTATTTTTGTTTAGGGATCCTTCATTACTGAAGAATTTTGAATGTCCAATATGCATGGAATATTTCCAGAAACCGATCGTGCAATGCCCTACTGGTCACAGCATCTGCTCCAAATGCAAACTAATGGTGGAAAAATGTCCATACTGTAGTCATGCATTCACAAACACTAGAAATTTTGCATTGGAGAACATGTTGTCCTCATTAAGTGTTCAATGCAAAAATGAGTCCTGCACTAAAATTATTCCCCTGCATAACTATATACAGCATGTCAACCAAGATTGTGCATTCAGGAACATTAAATGCAAGCATCCCACATGCACTTGGAGTGATAATAAACTCCTGGTTAATGATCATATTAAAACTGTACATAAATCAATACTGGTTCAAAAGTTTGCTAAGTTGATGTCACATCAATTCTCTGTTGTATTCATTGAGCACAATGATAACATATTTTTTGTACACAGGTATACTGAGGATAGATTTTTAATTTGGACTGCAGAACCTACTGTTAGGGTTCCTACAAAGAAATTATATTTGATTGTAAAAATAATAAATGCTACTGGTGAATGTAACACTTTGAAGCAACCAGTTTCAAGTTACATGGAAAATTCAGAGAGAGCTAAGGAAAAGTCTATGATTTGTATGTTAAAGAGCAAAGCAAAAGGGTGTGAATTTCAACTTTCAATTGAGGAAGACTGACTGAGTTAACTAAATATATCTACGTTTATTTTAACGCTGTATTAGTTTCAGAAAACTATTTTATACTTAATTGTAATTTTGAATAAATAGTCAGTACATACAATGCGTTTTTTTTTTTACATGTTTGCAGAATGAATTTAGTATTTTACCTTATTATTTAGAATTCAGAACATTACCCAATATGCATTTTATCTGATATTCTTATCAATATAATGATATTTGTGATATATTTATTGATTACTCATTGATTAGTACTCATATGTTGCACACAAAACAAAATAAAACACATTCAATCCAACTATAAAACATCTAACGAACAAAAATCCCATTTAGTACCTGCTTGATAGAGTTAGTGACAGTCGTCGAAATGTAAGAGAACATATTTATTAACTTAACTTATACATACCAATATTTTAATAAATTTTAGGAGTAATCCGAAGTTTTCAATTGCGTTATTTCAATGTCCCGGTTGCAGCGACTATCTATCACGACCAATATTTCAATGTCCATCTGGTCACAGTTTATGCTTAATTTGTCTAAACAAACTGAAAGTATGCCCAACCTGTTCCACATCAATTACAAACTCCACCACTCGCAACTTTTCACTAGAGGATATTATTGATACCTTGAGCCTCACATGTATTAACGCACCATGCACCGACAAGATGCCAATGAAAGACTACAAAAAGCACTTGTTGCAATGCCCACATGCACCAGTACAATGTACGTTTCACAACTGCACTTGGAAAGACAGTATGGATCTACTGATCGAGCATGTGACACATAAACACGGCGCACATTTAATCAACAACAACGACGTATTAAAACCACATCAAAAGATATCAACAGGTGTCTTTCTAAAGCACGATAGTTGTGTGTTTATCATCAGGAGAGTCTTAACAGTAAAAAATGAATTCTTGTCTTGGTCAGCTGAGCTAATATCAGTGAGTACACCAATCAAAAAATATGTTGCTACCATTCGGATTGTTACCGCAGATGGAAATGTTCACGTTTTACGACAGCCCTGCAGCGTTCAATCAGCGAATGTTAAGAATGAACCGATACAGCCGCTGTTTTATATGTTAAAATCTAGTATTAAAGGATGCACTGTTCAAATTTCAATCAGTGAAACAAATGCACTTATGTAATCAATGAGTAATAAACGTATGCGTTATTATATTTTGTTTATTTTAATATTTCATAGTACACAACACAACATAAGCAAATACTGTTCGCAAAACTGAAGAAAATAATCTACAGGAAGATGCACATTTCGTCGCAAAACGTCTACAAACGCGAGGGCACATCGATTATATACATTAATAACACATGAATCTCGTTTACATGTTATCCGTTAATCAGTAGCCTACGTCTGAACTTAAATTCTAGCTAAACAATAGAATAAATAAAACTATGTACATTGTACAAATGTACAAATCGCAGTAAAACATATCGCAATCGTAATCTTCCAAACGCATATGTACAGTTAGAAATAAGTTAATGTTCTACTATCGCCTAACATTAAATTATAATAATACTCCAAGTTGAACAATTACGTTAGTGTTTAATAGTATGTATAATATGTACGTGTTGAAAATGGGGAGGGAGGAAGTACAGTCACCTAACTAAGTTAAGTTTGCGCTACTATTCAACAGGACTAATAGCTAATCATATGTACGATGAATACAAAAATAATCGTCAGTCAATGTTCACCGCTTGCGCATCCTCTTGCCTACTTCTCATTTCATTTTGTTTTGGACGTTTCGAAATTGTAAATGACTTAGAACTAAGCGATGGCCAAACGTGACTGTGCTTTAATACTTTTGCGAACGTTCTAATGCTCTCCGGCTCTGCTTCAAACTTTTGTAAATGCATCAAAAGGGAATGTAAATGATTCTGCAAAGTTCTGAGCCGTCTCCTTACATCGCCAACATTTAGATATTTGTGTAAATATTATCGTTAATAACTTGACAATTGTAATTGATAAAGTCGAACGTTTATTTGCTTTGCTTTATGTTTACCTAACTAAATATCCGTAAATATTCCTCTTTGAAGAGTCGCCCGACAAATTGACGGTTTTATTAATAAGTCTTTTCGTTCCGCTGTGGGGCCTGCTAGTAAATCTTTGGTGCAGACCTATCGTTTATTATTTTTGCGCGCTTCAATGTCGCGCCGCGTTTAATCTGATCCATCAGTGACTCGTGGCACAGTTTAGGATCAGGCTGTGAAGAGAAAAAATACAATGAATTATAAAACACGATAAATAAATAGTATGATAATTACCTGCGCGCGGCTATTTATCATTTGCCTAATTTTAGACGCTTTGTGCTGCGCCTGCGGCGAGTTATTGCTGATATGTTGATTCGTCAGTTTGGCGTTGAGCGAATCGAGGAAACTCTGACCGGGTCCCTTGCGATGATGATGCATGTGCGCCGGCGGGCTCATAGGTTGCAGGTCTTCGCTGTGACGACGTGTGCTACGAGGACTTAAGTTCGGTACAAGTTTAGCGCTTAACGCAGCGATGAAATTAGAACCGACACCGCCGGGTCCCTCGGGCCGACGTTCAGCGCTCTGCGATCGAGCGCTTGCCATACGTCGCACTGAGCTTGGAGAACCAGGTACCAATGGTGACGGCTGTGCGTAGATGACTCCGCCTGACTGCGACACATACGAAAGTTTACTCGACGAGTTATTCGTTTGGAATGAGCTCAAAATGGGACTCTGGAGGTTGGGCGAGCCGACGCTACTGTTGAAGGACGACTGCGAACCCGGTGAATGCTGATTGCCCGTCATGAAAAGCGACTGCTGCGAGGCAGACATCTGCTGATGGATCTGCATACCGGTGCTGTAGATCGACTGCGAAGAAGCGGACATCCGACGGATGGCACTGGGACTCGCGGGCGTGTGTCTTTGTTCTAAACCAGCGGGAAAAAAGCGAAACAATTGACATAATTGCAACGTTCATAATGCATGCGAACACACCATTGAGCGCCTTTATCGTTTCCGCCACATTGATGCCGACGGGTGTCGGTTGCTGTTGTTGGGGACTTTTGTTCGGCTCCAATAGATATGCGGGCGGCGGCGGCAAATTCTCCACGCTGCTAACTGGAGTCAACGGCTTGTTAGTATTGGTAATTGATGCCGTGCGTCTTATCGGCGGGGGCGGTTTGTTTGCCTGGATTGAGCTGCGTCGCAGCAAGGTCGACGATCCTCTCAGCGTACCACAACCATACACGGCTAAAAAATTACGGCATTCGTAAGTGTCGTGTTATTATTTACGCCTTAGCAGGCGGTAAAACTGCGATAAAAACGAAACCGGACGCATGCAGAGAGAAACATATACTGCATTCCATTTATGTTATTACCACGTACTCACAAAAACAGTTATTACCTGTCATAGAGAGTGGACGGCGGCGAGGGCCCCCCGAAGGGTCATGGCGGGGGAGAGTGCAGAACTTGACCGCTTCTAAATCTAAGCACACACAACATATTTCTAGTAACACTACATGCAGGGAGAACTTGTTGAAATAGTGCAAACAAATATTAAATTCAAAATTAAAGCCAAAACCATGTAATAAATAACAAACAACACCACTCATCCAAGGATATATTTGAATGAATCGTACCTTCTTGGTGTAATGCATCGCAATCAACAGTAGGAAACGTTGTTTGGCTGCCGTAACCGCTGGAAGACTCCAAGGAGCTCTCACTGTTGCTGCTTTCACCTTCGACGGTCACCGGTGTGGCTGGAGGCTGTGCAGCTGTAAACTCCACAGGTGGAGGCGGCAGGGCCATCTCCTGCGCCTTGCTGGCGGCCATACTGGCCAATTCGTGCATATTTACATATGTCGGTTGCGGCAATGCTGTTAATACACGCAAATAGTAGTAATTGTAATGTGTATAAAAGTATACACTACCTTTGGCGATATGTGGCGGCAGTGATGACGGTTTGATGACCTTGTGCTGCACGTCGCTGGGAGCGGCGACAGTCGTCGGCGGTAAAACACGCACCGCAGACATGCCAGCGATAGTCTTCGCCGGCACGGACGGACGTTCCAGTGAGGAACAACGCGTGGGCAACGGCGGCTTGCTCAGTGACTTAATAGAAGGAGCAGGGCTACTCGGTGGTACCTTGGCGTTACCATCTGTAGGCGTGGTGGAAGTCACCGGTGACACCGGCTGCGAGAGACTCTGATCTGGCGCTTGGAAGGTGTACACTGTAAGTGCAGGTCTTTGATGGCCTTTCTCATAAGCTACAATGATTGAGTGAATGAATGAAAATGAGAAACTAGATCATGAGTGCTGCAATATGCGTGTTACTAAAAACATACCTGAAGAAATTGTATGCGGCCGGTCACCGATAATGGCGGATGCAGCGCGTTCAAACTGCAGTGTCTCCTGCAAATTGGGCCAGGTGGACGTCGAGTTCGGTACGGCCGTGCTTGGAGGATAAGGCGTGCACGGTGTGCTCGAACTGCTGCTGTTTCCACTGTGTTCAGACATGTTGGAAACCTGCGGACCGCAGTAACAAGATTAGTTAAATCATTCGCAAAGGAAAAATCTAAACGCATTCGACCCAACTCCGAATGGTTACCTGCGCAACGCTTAGAGATGAGGGTGGTCTTGGATATAAAGTATCCTGGGATGTGAATCCCGAATCACGGCTGCATACAGACGGCAAACGAACAGTGCCACTACGTCCTACAGGCTGTGTGCAACAATAACATAACAACATCAACTACTTTACAAAATCATAATAAAAAGAAATAAACTATAAATTAAATTCGTAAATATCATGCCACATTGAAAACATAAAAGTGAAAACAATTTGCTGTGAATTGATAAACTTTTAAACTTAAAACAAAAAAAATGAATAATAAATAATGCATGCGAATCTTCTTCCAATTGCAACCAGCTGGCATGAAATTACCTGCGATAATGAGCGATGCCAATGCGACGGATGGCTCGGCGATTTCGAACTACCCGAGGACGAGCTGTTCAACGAGCTGATGGAACACATGGAAGACTTGCGGCTGCCGAGACTGGACGGGCTCGACGGCGGCGTTTGGAAGCTCCATCCGCTATCAGAACTCTTCAGGTCGGCGATTACCTGCTCGCTGGCCGGCGGCAGCGTGCATGGATCGGCCGTGTGCTTTTCCAACTGAACGACCACCTCTTGTAAACGCGACAGCTCCGAGAGCATGGCAACCTCTTCGTCCTGCAAAGCGCAAAACACGCAATTAAATCACCGCGCGTGCGAAAACAATGGCATCGCGTGCGGGAACGAAACCTACCACGACCGGCTTGAGCATGCCGACGAAGATGCAGAACCGACTGCGCTCCTCAACGAGTGCCGCACGCACCGCATGCTTTTCGGTCTCTTCCAGCAGCTGGCGGCGCTCTGTCACGTCTTGCAAGCCGTACTCGAGACGTTTCTGGAGGTCGCCGCCGGCGCCTTTGCGCATCTTCTTTTGTATTCGCAGTGTGTCCGTGGAGCGCTTCTTTAATTCAGCGCGCGCGCGTTTGTAATCCTTTGCGTGCTCCTTGTCCAGATTCATTACCGTCTTGCGCCAGTCCTCCAATTTTTCTTGTAATGGTAACACGAGGCATTCCATTATTGTGCTAAGCAAAACGATAAAAATCATTATAACAAAAATTAACACTTTTATAGATATAGATACTAATTTAAATAATTACCTAGTAAAAGTTTTCATTCGAGTTTCAACTGCTTTGTGTCGTAGGCAAATTCTCGTCAAGGCTGTTCCAATTTCTCTGGTAGCTCCTGAGAATCAAGAGAAAAACGAATCAAAATATGTTTCAATCAATCAATATTATCGACAATATTGACATATCCTCCACAAATGGAAATCTTCTCTTCTAACCGACCAGATGAAACAAGTAATACCCATATTGGGTCGCAATCATGATTACTTAACATTGAATGCTTGCTTGACATTGCACACGTCGTCTTTCCATATTATTTCATTCGCATGTAGTGTTTATTAGCGCATTATTTGTTCAATGCACAATAATCCCACACTCTGATTGTTAATTTCGACCGCCCCACGTGCGAGCAATTGTCGGCACAATAGCCGACGCCATTACACAATGGCGACGCGTCACTCATTCACCTAACTCTCGCTGGCTGAATTTAATTGAATTGAAATCAATAGCAATAGCTCAAACATTCATTCCGGCTGGCCGGGATATGTGCGAGTGACATAAAGAATCGTCCATTAAGGTAATGGACGCTTTTGCAGATGGTCGACTGCATCCAGGACGGGATGATATTGATGGCTACTGAATAGCTCGAATGGAATGGTGGTGACATACTGGCGCGTTTAATCGTTTTATAAGTGTTTTACACAACTTCACGGAACTGCTTTCAGTGCATGGAATTCGGGAATTAACGCATGCTAAAATAAATGTGGGCATCACGTGCGATCCAATGAACCATAAAACAAAGCCTGCCTTAGGTATCCTTAGATACTGTCTTGCGAAAGGGTGATTTACACCCCCCTTTTCTATTCTAATCACGATCGTACGTGCGTACTAAACTGAACCTGCGCTGCTTTCATGAAACAAATTGGATGTTTGCCATTTATTCGGAAATACGCGAACCGATATAAAATGTATTTTAATATTTGTATGAAATGAAATGTGATCTTTTTCGATTTGCAAAGCAATCACATGTATTTGCACAACATCGGTATCTATTTCCGTATCCGTTCACGTGTTTGGTCTGCTCGCCTCGTCAATTGCACGCAGATGTGTTTACGACACGACGAAGAGGAGAAAAAAATCGCCTGCCGATAAATTTAACGTCAACGTTTAATGGCGCATTTAATAGCGGATTCTTTTTAACGGTTATTTTCCTTCCAATCATGGTATATATTTCACAAAATAACGCAAAATCAATAAAAACTCAAAAATTTTATACTCCAAATACAGACTGACACCAATTAAATATTAAATGTAATATTTCACGTCGTTTTTCGCCTCCGGTATCTTGACGGGCGCTAATTTAATTGTCGACAAGTTAAAAGGTTTCTTGTCTTGGTGTCTTGACACCATAGAAATGTGAAACATTCGCAGAATTTTAAGTGTCAGCTCGAATCAGCACAAATTCAATTTTTGATTTTCGGACTTTTATCTTTTATCCTCCTCAAAGTTGCCACCAAGTTATTTCGATACTCTCCCAGCTCAAAGTTACAAATTGAAGGTGGATATATGTTGGAATCAAAAGATTGATGACGCGGTAATAATTAATTGGGTTGGGAAATCCATCAAGACCGCGCGCGTTTAAGAGCTCGATCCATTTAGATCTCGGAAAGTTCGCTTGTTCCGCACGCGGTCACTTCACTGAAATGCATCAGCAGCGTCTGGAAGGTTCCCCGGGAACCATTTCAGTATAAAGTATTCCCTCAAGTGGTGGTGGTGCACCGACCTCCGGATGCAGATGAATCTTGCTTTAGAGCCGGAAGAGAACGACGACATAGAAAAAATGCTCTGTTACGCCAACGGTTGCAGCAGGATGAGAAAAGAAATGTGCTTCCACGAGTGAAATAAAGTGGAAACGAAGGTGATAAACATACAAAACGAATGATTATACCAAACGAGTTCCAGGGGAAGATGAAAACACACCAAAACACACAAAATATATAATTTCGCACACAAATTAAATGTTTGTTACCTCAGTACCTGTCTATACCCAGGAGAGTAATTAAAAGTGTAAATTTGGTATAACTGGCGTTTAATTAAATTATTAATTGCATTAACCAAATTAAAAAAAAGACCAACGGGTTTATTAAATTTACAAACATTTAATAAAGAAACGCGAGCACGTTAAACAAGCATTATTAAAAAATTAAAAAATTAAGCGCAGGTAATGAAGGAAGTGATTGCTTGAAAATTACCCTCCGGTATCAAGTTACAAGCTTTTTCTTTTTCGAGCTGTGCACGCGTTTGCATTCAATTAAATTGTAATACACAAACGTGTGAGCGACGAAAAAAGGAAGCAGCTTGAGGTATAATCTCGATCGGATAACGCGTTTGCATAGCTGTGACCGTAATCCAATCTGTTTGCCTTGTCTGCGATGGCGGAAGCAATGCGAGTGCATCCGGGATGTAAAAAACGTCGATGCAGTTGTCTGAATTTTTTTATAATAAAACAAAACGTGGAAAAATATCTTAAACTTTAGGCGAATAAATATAAAAAGCTGAGAAAGTTTTAACTTTCCGGCTTTCCTGCTACGTTCTGTGTCCGTATTCGTGAAGGATGGGTTAGTGACCTTTTTGGTGCGTTATCGATCCTTAGTCTTCCGTTTTCAAAAAAAAGGTAGGCCCTTTATCACGCGCTTTTGTTGGCACTTATTTCTATTCGTTCACATCACGCCTGAATACATTATTATGCATTCTAGACAGCAAATGTAAACAGAAAATTATTAATTCAGAGTGTTGCTGCGTGCTGTAATGATTTTAGATGACTCCACACACATGTCGCTCGGCTTTGACAACATTATACATATTCTATTAAAAGTTCTGGAATTGTCTTTCTTTCAAGTTTCATCCAGTAGTGCTATGCCAGCGTAAGCAAACTTTTAATAGGCAAAGTTATTTATAGACGCATTGAGCGAAAGGGTTGCTCTCTGCCCAACCCGCCAACACACCATGCAAGCAGCAGGCATACAGTGTTTTGGAAATAAAACGTTTTACAAGTCATTAACTGCATTTATGTTGCAGTTACAGAAAGGCAGCGTAGGCTACATTTAAATTACATGTTACATACACACACAGCTAGGGCTAAAAAAAGCCCACAGCGTAAAAATTCAGCTGACAAGCTGAGAGAATTCAAATTAATTATGTCTTTCCCTTAATGTCGCGCAGCGTCAACCGGATCACAAATTATACATGTTTTAATGATTTAATTTCCTCCCATTCAACTTTTATTAACATTTTAATCTCATTAAAATGTGAAAATAAAAGTGCTATAACCAAATAAGCAATGAAAATTGAAATTTTGTCCTTAAAAGCACATAAAAACGAAACTGCGCTCATAATTTAACGCGCGCATAAATCATCTCGTTGAAAACGGCCTGAATGTGAAAAATTATCGACATATTTTAACCTTTCACATTGAGTTACCGCGCTGGATGTAATTTCTGGCAAAATTCCAGTGTCGACAGCATTACCATAATACACACTTTAAATCATCAACTGAGTGTGCGAAAAGTATATTCAATTTTTAATTTTGACATTCGCCTAAATCAATTATCGTATGTAATGCACGAGCCAAGATTGCAAAGAGATAAATATCAGCGTCGATGATGCAACATCCACGGGGACGTAATATTATAAATCATGAAGAAAATGTGAATGCGCGCGCACGGCACAACCCAATAAACAAAATAAACGTCGTCGCGCATCGACAGTAAAAGAAATAAATGCTATGATAAGCACAATAACAAAAATACCTCAAGAAGGGCATTGCTCAATTCACAACTTTCATTTTTCTCGCATTCTTACAGTCAAATATTAAAAACACAAATTATTACAATCTCGAAGCGATCTTATATCAAAATAATTAAAAACTGTTTTGATCATAAATCAAAAAATCGACTGACAGTAATGCAGTCAAAGGTGTCTCGTACGTACATTACAACTTGAAGAGTGGACATATTGGTTGACATTAACACAAAAGACAGAAGAAGATCGAGATGGCAAAGATAAGACCAATGTCCAGCAGAGGAGGCGTACAGCCGTCGATTTTTGCAACAAATGACGGTGGGGAAATTTAATAACAGGGCGCACGCGCGTGATTACGTAATGTCCTGTGGACAATGTTAATGTCGAATGCAGAAAACTGGACCATTGCAATACCGATGCGCCGCGATCGGTATAAATACCCTTTGTATCATGAGCTTTTACTTTAAAAGTTCTCCGTACTCAAAGCAATACAGACCCCAAACAGCAACATGAAGTTTCTGGTAAGTTTTACAAGTTAACTTTTGATTTTCCAACATTTTTCACTGCTACGCGCCGTCAGGCGTGATAAAAGAGATAAAAATCAATAGATTTACATGTAGAAGCTTTTAACCTTTTGATATTTCCTCCAGACCCATATTCATATCGATATAACTTGATTTATGCGATTCGGGGCTTTTCAACATTCAAACAAAAGCTTCCGATGCTTCATATCGGATCAAAAATGAACGTAGTAGGCAAAAAATACGAGAGAATAAATTTTTTTGAAGATGATAAAAGACCCAATACCTTTTGTAACAGTTGTAAATCTTGTCGGAATAAAATCTCATCTGATCTAAAAATGACAATCAACTCAAAGACTTTAATTAAACTGTCAGAAGCTGTGTTTTATACCTGTAAACAACGGCAAACGTCAGCAGATTTAATTGATTCCGGTGTAAACGCAAACGCAGTAAACGAAACGATTGCAATGAAATGAAATTACGACGCATAGTTTTTTCGCCGAATGCGTAACACTAATATTACTAGAGCACGAATAATTACGGAAATCATCGTGTTTACAGTTCCGATTATGCGATTAAGTATAATTCAAGCTAATAAATGAATTAGTTGTAATTAAACATTCGAGTAATGAATAGATTTGAATTGTTAATTGAATTATAAATTGTATAAAATGATTCTATGACGTTTCAGAACGCTGTGTGTTATGCGATATTGATTTCATGCAGCAATTGCATCCCAATCGATGTGCACACACCAGCTGCACTTGTGGCCGATGCGCCTGTGGTCATCTCTGCGGTCGCAACCGGAGATGAATTCGATTCGCATCCAAAATACGAGTTTAGTTACGGCGTCAATGTACGACAAACCGTCAAAAGCTCTTTGACAAAAAATTGATTAATTTTCCTTGTTTTTTTTGTAGGATCCGTTGACTGGCGATGATAAAGAACATCACGAGTCTCGCGATGGAGACGTGGTCCACGGAAGTTACAGTCTCGTCGAACCGGACGGCACTCGCCGCATTGTTGACTACACCGCCGATTCTATACACGGTTTTAATGCGGTCGTGCGTCGCGATCCGCCTGGGCAGCGAGTGCAGCACATCCAGGAAGCGCCGATTGTTGCGCATCACTTGCCGATCGTCACACATCAAGTGCAACATCATGCACCTTTGATTGCTCATCACACTGCTGGCGCTGGTGCTCTGCTAGCGGAGCAGCATTTACCGCTGGCGATCGCTCATCATGCACCCAGTGCCATAACACACCAGGCGACTTATAAATTCACCCAGCACACGCCCACGCTGCTAGCACATACGCCCGTGTTGCACGCACCTGCTACGTATGTTCACTGATGTGATATATTCACGCAATGTTTTCTTATTATTATATGTATATCACTGCCATGAATAATAATCTCTTTTTGATTAAAAATTAATAATAAAATTATGGATTTATTCTTTAAAAAAAGATGCGTAAGCTGAAAGAGATTAAAAAAAACGTATCGCAGCGTCTTAATCTACGGACTATTCTCTATAAGATAGGATAGTTAAAAGGGAAATCTGATAGATGAAATTTTCATTCTTAAGAAAAAATTGCCAAGGGGGGGTGCTTGATACTTTTTTTCGACGATTTTCAAAAATTAATATCTCTTAAACTAAGAGAGATAGCTACCAACAAATTGTTGATTATGAAAGATTGGAAAATTCTCTATCAGCTAAAAATATAAAATAATTATATTTCCTATAGTAAAAGGTCGAAAAACGTGACTAAAAGTGATAAAAAGTGGCATGTATCAATTTTTGCCCATTTTAGTCAATCGCGAATATCTCGTAAACTAAAAGAAATACAAAGGAACGAGTCGCAGATCTTAATCTACATTAAATACTCTATAAAATACGCTACCTTCGTACGGTGCCCTGAATGAAGTCACTTCTACCGCTACCCTCATACGGTGCCCGGAATAAAGTCATTTCTGCCGCTACCCTCGTACGGTGCCCTGAATAAAGTCACTTCTATCGCTACTCTCGTACGATGCCCTGAATAAAGTCACTTCTACCGCTACTCTCGTACGGTGCCCTGAATAAAGTCACTTCTACCGCTACCCTCGTACGGTGCCCTGAATAAAGTCACTTCTACCGTCACCCTCGTAAGGTGTCCACCAGCTCGCGCGCGACGGATCACGTACCGGCATGTCTCATCCCTACTACTTTATGCGGGTTCCCCGCAGGTATAGAAGGCGAGCTCACAGTGCACAGCTTGCTCAGTCGTGCCTGAGTCGTACGTCTGCTTTTCTATTTAAAACAAAGTCGAAGAAGTCCCCTTGCAGCTTATTAAATTTATACCATATACACAGTTATACAAGTTCATTTACACGATTATTATAGAATTAAAGGCCAATAACACATCGCGTAAACATTGCGATCATAAAATTACTATAATTTATTTACTCAAAGCCTTCAAAAGCTTCAAAGCTTACCGGACATCCCACAGTTGGAAATGAACACAATCATCGCTAGGTGTTGATCGAGTCAAGTCGCGCGTTCCGTTGTAATAATTTTTGTTGTTCCTACGTTCACTGATCCAAAGCGAGGTCATTTACAGTTTTTTTTTAACTGAATTGAATTATTATCGTGTCAATTTAGCTGAGAATATCATTTCGCGAACAATACAATAATAATTCATATCCATTACTTATAATTTTTTTAATAATAATAAAAAAGCAAATCCAATTTAATTTTCATTCTAAAATTACTACTTCCCAAATGAAGTTTTCGTTCTCCAGAGTTAGAAAATAGGTCAATCGATGCGACTGCATCCAAGAATACAAAGCTTTTGTTTTCGGTAAACAATTCGCCGCAGTTGAATTTTCTTCCTCTCGCAGCTGTTATTAACACCAAAGATTTGCTACCCACACTATTATGATTAGATATTTCAATGCGAAGGCGATTAATAATATAAATAGGAATGAATTGGCATTAAGCAATCCCCGACCCACGATGTTCAACATAAGCGTCCACCATTCGCAGATGTTAAACCGCTATTTCATCATCAGCACACTAACATCCACTCACGCCACGGCCAGCTCGTCACTTTAGTTATTTATTGTACATTTCAATTTGTAAAAAAATACACCCACAATGTGCTCGAATTAGGTAACAGTAACAGACTCATAAAATAAATTAACAGTATCTTCGCATTAACATGAAGATTATTTCACGCTGGGCGATGATATGCACAGAAAAAGATAATGAAAATGTAAATGTTGCTTTCATGGTTAGAAATGGAAAAACTTTAATTAACCCCGAAGAGATATCACGGCGAGCGCAAAATTTCTGCAAATAACTTATCATTAACTTTCGTGTCGGCGAACGAAATTCACACTTGGGTGGCTTTATAATAGTCCCACACACAACACGAAAACGGAGATTTATTCGCTTTAAACGTCTGACACGATGTGAAAATTGACGAGATCGTGTGCTTACTGATTAGCATAAATGCAGCAAATTGAAAAATAATTAAGTTTACTATCTCGGCGTGCAAAAAGTTTCAATTTCATGTTGATTTTTATTTTCTAAAAGTCAGTTGTGGTCTACTTCTCGCATCCCATTCATTGTCACAACTGAGCGTATAATTCATCATATCGCAGCGTTGCGTTTCATTCATTTGTCGGCGTGTGTTTGCGTGCAAAGTAACTGAAACTTTCCTCCTCCGCGAAGCGTGATTCTCGCATTTAACCGCAGAAGAAAATAAAATAAAAACCGAAACGTAGGCGGCAGGAAAGTCTTTTTATGTTATTTCGAGCGCGTAATGTGTTTGTTTTGTTTCCACAAATGCGCCGCTTTATCCTCAGACGGATATACCAGCGACATCCGAATCCCAGCGAAAGAAAGAAGTTATGGCATTAATGGAACGAACATTAGAACATTAGGAGCGTATTAGAGGGGAATAAGTCTTTTTGTTTTGGCAGCGAGCCATCAAACAAAAACCTCGATTTACTACCCACTGATGAAATGGAATTTCAAATCGTTGCATCACTTCATATGTGAGTTGTGATCAACGGGGTCAACGATTCGCACAATTTGAATTGAAGTGTACTCACCCCTGGCATTGGTGGCGGCATCTGCGATCTTCTGGAAGGCTTCCAAGTAGGCCGTGACCGCGAGGATGGCCGCTCTGTAAAAGTAAACAAAACAAATAAATATTTTTGGCTTAAATCCGCAAAACAAATAAAAATTTAATCAATTTTAGATTTATCTATAGATTAAAAACTTTAGGTACCACAAAGAGCCAAGTACCATCCGAAAATAGACTAGTGGAATAGTTCTACAACAATGTGAAGCAAGAATTTCAGTCTTGTACTTCCAGTCTAAGTACTAAAATTGCAAAGGAACGCATACTATGCTTTTGACGTTGAATTAAGTGTTCACAATATTCGCGGAGGAATTTATCCGAATTCCTCTACAATGAAAATAAATTCATAATATTATCTAACCGACAAAAACATCCTGAAGAGGTCAATAACTCCACTTTAATACTGGCACTGCCATGTTTGTTGACATTTTACGAGACGAGATTTACTAATACGGAAAAGTTAACTTACTTGAGCGTTGAATGGAGTTTTGTAGCTTTGACAATGAGGTCCTCCCACAGGGGCATCCCATTCTGAAACAAAATTGAGCAACGTTAAAACCCGGAACTTTTAAGTTGAATTCTTTCCAGCTCCCAGAGTTCCCAAGGAACAAGACATTTTGTTAACAATTTTTCTTTTCTCATCTTGCAAGACAAAATACTTAAAATATGCATGTTTTAATTGAAGTTTTCAGCCTTGGCAAATAAAATAAAACTAGGAATAAAGTGTCAAGTCATAAATAAGTATGATAAGGTGTCTGGAGAACAAAATAAATACATATCTTCATATGCATATTACTTTAACACTTATGGGAGTTACAATAGTATCTCAGAGACAGCACTACACTTGTACTCGCGTATATTCCATTAGGGTCTATTATATACTTCCCATCATTCAGTATTCGCGACATAGACTATAATATAACTTGATATGATGTTTCTGAACAGTCGCTGTAACAATGTAACAATTTCAGTTGAAACACTTCAGCTGCAAGGTTTAAATCGACGTGATGAGAGGACAATGTATGTTAAATATACAGACGACTATTGTTATTACAAAAAAATAGTGTCTTGGTAATAATGACCTCAAGATCAAAGTCATTTGACAGTTTATTACATACCAATTTGGTATAGAATAAAATTTAAATTTTAGCTTTAATTAATCTCAACTCTATTAGAATTCATGAAATTAAATGTGAAATGTCGACCTTTTAACTCTGCGTGTGCTAATTTCCACTCGTCGAAACTCGAAAAACTTTTAATGCTGACGAATTTCAGATTCCCAGATTGTATCTGTCTGCTGCTGGTTGGGTTTGCTTCCGTCTAATTAGTGTGCCGGCCGAATGTGATGTGATTTATGAAATTGGTCTACGCATAAGATTCGACTAACGATATTTACGGAGGAGAAGAAGCGTTATGTTGTTCTAGTTCAATTCCTCATCAAGGCAGCAGCACTCTATTCACTTGAAATGCCGTATACACAGCAGCAGTATTTGTAAACGTTCGAAATATGTCCGTAGTTTATGAGTTTGGACCAGTTGCTGCTATTTATACGTCGATATTTCTGTCCTAATTTCTTTCTTGGATTACAACAATTCCAGCGGCGCAAAAAGTCTATTCAATTCGACATGATTCTGTATTTTAATTTAAAATAAACGACGTGAAATTGCACAAAATAAAAAATTTCGAATTATGAAAAACATCAATTGAATTTTTGCTTACGAAACGTTTAAAACTCGATAAACTCAAAATGACTATGACTATAAATGTTTATAATTCACGACAATTGGAAAATTGTCAATTAAATTCGCAACAACAAGACATATTAACTTTTATTACGAATCATCAGAGTAATCACAGGTTTCAACAGGATAATTTACGAGCTGTTTTCGTGACGTTAAAAAGAAATTTTTCACGAAAGAAAAAAAACCGTTATCATATATTTTATAATATATTCCGTTACCTTCAGTCAACAAGCAGCCCTTGTAGATAAAATATCCAACGCGCAAAGATAAGTAAAACACACATAGCGTTTCTAAATTTGAATGAACTACATACAAGTCATATATTAACTACAAGGTGTCCCATGAAGAATAAATAAACAAAACACAAAAAGGTTTCGTTTTAAATGTGTAAAACGCATAAACCAACAGGCATAAAATATGAAAACGAAAAAAAGAGAAGAAAATGCGTTAGGGCAGAGTGCGTGGCATGTGTCTCGCATACTTTCTGCTTTTATTACTGTTGACACATGTGGTAAAGTAACCGTGGCCCAAAACGGCACGAGCATACACACACGACAAAATTCTTGACTTGTCACCTCTTCATCTTCATTCTCATACTCATCTTGCTAGACTACTTGTTCAAGAACTACTTCTACTTCTACATCTACAAATTCCTGGTTTGCGTCAAACACGCCTAAAAGGGACGCAACCGACAAGGGTGGCAGGATGATGATGGCTGATGGTTAAACACGTGTGTGCGTGCGTACAGGCGACAGTAACGCCGCCGCCGCGTCACATAAACCAATTAAAAACATCCCTTTTGTGCGGCTTGCTTTTTCGCCCGGTTACCCTCATGCTATATAACTAAAAACATGAAAACAGCGCGTCTGTGTAACATGCACGTTGTGGGCGTAAAACCGCACGTGCGGACCTGTAAAAGATTGATAAATGGAACAAGTGCTAATGTTACTAATGCGAAAAGTTAATCAACAGTTGCAAAACAGCGAAACCAACTAAAACAAGCATTCATATTAATTATTAAACTTTAAGCGAGCTAATTCAATTACTTTCTATCATAGAATTAAAAAAATTCAAGTGAAATGCGCTAGAAACCAATAAAAAATTATAATAATTACTACACACGCAAATAATTATAACTTAATTTATAATGGTTCGAAACTTGGTCGCAATTAAGAAATTATCCTAAAAAGCGCACAAAAGAAACGTGAACTTGAATTAACTTTTATTTTTTGAAATTTCAAATTTCCGCTTTTCGATCAAATTATCCAAATTATGTAGCACATTAGCGCGCCATTAAAGTGTGTCCCAATTAAATTATCGCAGCCGAATAATTTGATATATTAGCGCGATTGATCTATCATTCTATCGCCTTCGTTAACATTGTTAACAATGAATAATGGTGGCGTCAGCGTGACTTTAATTGAACATCAATATCATACATTAAGAAATAAAATCATATGACGTACATCAACCAAGTTCAAATGTCATAGATAGAGATAAACTTGAAATTAAATAAAATAAAATAAAAGACTAAACATCACTAAGGTTGAAATTCAAAACTTTAAGCTAACATGAGCGACAGATACCTTACATATTGACACATATGGGTTTCGTATGTTCGCGCATAGTGAGCATAAAAATATATACAGGGTGTTTTTAGAATAATTTTTGCAAAAAAAAATTATAATGTAAATAGTCGGCCTTTAATAAAGACGAAACGGAGTAGTGTATATTCTAGGAAGTATTTCAAACACTTTTATTTGCTGAATATACTGAGTGTTTTGTAAAAAATATGAAGCGTAGTTTGCAATACTTGGTATTATAATCTAGTGTATTTACAAAGTTGACATCTTAGCTTTTCTCGTGGAAAACATTACAGCCGAAGAATGTGCCTTTGCGTCAGAAGTGTGCATAGGCTCGAGACCTACGAAGAAAAATAAAAAAAAGAAGCATCAGAAGAAGCGAAGAGTGCGTGCGTGCCCAACCGCTGCACACAAGCTGCTCTTGGTAGTGTACCTATTGTGCACTATTGTGGTTTCGCAAAAACCGACGAGACTTTTACGGCACTATGTGACTTCAACATGAATATGAAGAAGCAGGCAGACGCAGAAGTCGAAAGAGAGGAGACCGACCGTAGCACGTTCGACTCGTTCGACTTTGTGTGAATATTTCACGATACGATGTGATGCGGATCGAAGCTGAAGAAGAGCTTTTGTGTTCCGAGACGAATTTGAAAGCACAACGGAAATCTGAGCAGGCCAACGAAACGAGAAGAAAAAATATATAATACGTTGATAGAATGGAGATTCTCGGCAAGGCAACACGTGCCCGGAATTCGGCCTAAACGTGCTTGGAAACGTCTTCATCTGTCACAATTTACAATCGCCTGTTTTATTTACGTGTTGAAAAGTCGTAAAGCATGCGTTCGCGTGCGCTGTAATTCATCATGGTATTATAAACATCAGGGTTTTGACAGTGAAATGTGCACCGCAATAAAAAAATATGTTCACCCGGAACACTTGCGTTTGTCACATCATTCTTCAGCTTAAATATATACAAATAAATATGCATTGGTTTGCATGGGTGTGTTTATTGTCTGGGCATACACTTAAAACAAAGTGATGAAATATTATCAAACAATTTTTGCATTTACTTATGCAAAATATGCTGTTAAATATAAATCAACGCTTAGAAAGCTGAACTAATGCCTTGATACGAAAACATTTCAGATCTTGCGTTGTTTATCAAAGAAATAAACATTATTTTCGCATGGAAACATGAAAACACATGTGGTGCTATTCAAACATCCCTTGAAGTGACTAAAAAGTCATCTAGAAGCAAAGATAATCAAAATAGATCGCAATCTATTTATAAAACATGAGTTTATAAAGCTATGCCTCCAATTTATCAATTGACTATTGCTATCTGGGTCAAAGTACTTCAATTGCAATCACATCTGATTTGATTCTAAAACATTAAAATCAAATTCCCATTAAATAATTCAATTGATTAAAATAGAGGTAAAGGTAATCCAATTCATAACTTATTAAATTAAATTATGCAATATACTCCGAGGACATTGACATTTCATATCCACGACCACAATAGTTAAACCACAAAACCGACAAAATAGATAAACCAACGCAACACGACGACTTGGAACAAAACGCAATGTGCAAGTGTACGGACTTTTATTTTTACGATGACATAAAATCACCAACCAAACAAAACGCATTTCCTGTGCCGGTTTGTCACTCATAATATGTTGTTGGAGTGCTTCCACTAGAACTAGATAATCGAATGAGTCAACTGAATTGATAAACGCTAAAAATAAAAATTTCGTGGATGCACAATTTTCCAAGGTTAATTATAGCATAATACTACTGTTGGGTGTCTATAGTATAGTAAAGTTCATAATATAAAAGGGTGGATAGTAGATTATTAGGGTGAAAATTTAAAAATAAAATAAAAACGAAGCGCAAATTTCGTAGAGGACTAAACTTTGCATGGATAATTAACTACTTCCGTGCTTCTATTCAATGCACAATTTCGAAAATGTCGATTTCCACTTTAAATAAAACTTTTTTAGCGAGGGGTACGCGATGATGACGGGCGGTAATGCGTCGAATCCTTGTTTCCGGCCGAGTCACCCATCAACCTGCATGTTTCGCATCAATTTTCCCCAATTTCCTAGTTTGTCAGGAAGGCGCTCACATCAATATTTCATACCGATGAGGATCTCGTCCGTCGAAGGTAGACATGGCACCAATTTATTCAAGAAGCAAGTTAGTTTCCACAAAGTGAAATTACCGACATTCCAGCCTTATCACCGAAAAAATATCAAAAAAGTTTCAGCAACTCAATTTACACGCAGGAAAAACAAAAAAAAACCACCCTAGCCTTTAAATAAATTGTTAAATCATGCAACAGACGCATTAACTTTTCGTGTTTTTCCCCTCAAAAAGAAATTTGACGTTCTTTATCTGAACGTTTGTTGTAAGAAAGCGAAAGTAATACGACGCGTAGGTGTTGACTTGCTGATGTCAGCCGACACGAAAAGGGCGCGATGTAACCACTACCACTACACTCCACACTGGGCTATTCGTTATTGCCGCAATTAGATGTTATGAGAATATCGAAGGTAGAAGGAAGCACGGCGTCGCGCAAGGGGCTTAACAAGCCGTCGTGGAGTGTTATAAATAAGCCGATTTGCGTGATTATTTACGACGTTGATCATTTCACTCCCGCGCTCGAATATTAGAGGGGTGCATTATTACATTGTACACTGATTTAACAACAAAAAATACACGACTTAATTAGTTTAGTCACGAACGTAATTGAAACATACAATATATTTTTTAATAAAGACCAAACATAAACATAAACGTATTTCTATTCGGTTGAACATTTTGTGATGCTTTGATGTATTTTACTTGTATTTTTTGTAAAAATAATGATGATGTGACCATTAGAAGTTATTATTGCTTGCTGCACATGCACTGTAATAGCGAATAAGTCGAGAGTATAATTTGTATGACAAATTTGAAAATGCGCAGCAGTAAAATATGGCTGCTTGTCACGAGAAGTTTGCACAGCCGTCTGATGCATGAGTTTTGGGGACGTCCTTCGAAAATATTGTATGCACACTGAATATTAATCTCTATTTATGTTTTTAGTTGATATAAAGCACCAATAGAAAATTCAAAACAATAAAAATTTAAAAAAATCGAATAATAAGACTTTTTAAGCAATAAAACACAATATAAACGTAGGAAAATATTAAATTTTAAATTTTTAGTCAACCACAAAGTAGTATAGTTCGTGTACTGGGAAAATTTAACACAATTTACATTGATTTACGTCACAATTCACAAGTTTCCGCAAAATTAAACCTCCTAATCACTTCAAAACACGATTTTGTAAAAAAAAATTCCTTTTCGTTTAAATATTCTTCTAAATTTATCGAAAAATACAATCCGCAATAATCAGTCTGACCTTGCTCTGAATGAAAACGGCATACAATTGAATACAATTGGTATAAAAGTTTAATCAAGATATAATTGGCGCCGCTACCCACATAGTAGTATATACCTAGGTATGATTTCCGAAACACTGTGCGCTTCGCGCGGTGTAGTATTTCGATATGCTTTCGAAAGCCAGTGCCAGTAACAGTGGCGAGCGCTGTGGCACACCAACGATTGCACTCGAAATTGTGTTTATCTTCATTGTTCCGCGCAGTGCGCATGCAGCTGCAAGCGCGAATGAGAATACGCAAATGCATTCGGTTACATGCGAAGCGAGGAAACTCACGCGAAGAAGAAGCGGCCGCCGCGCGGCCATTATTTGGGTCGAACGTGCACTCGCAAACTCGGATCCAACCAAACATCCAAATACACACATTCGGTGATAAAATAAAACCAATCACATTTTCTAATTTATTCCAGCAATTAAATGGGGAAATTTATCTTGAAATTGTAAATAAAATAAAATTAACTAAGATTTTATTAGTTTTCTAGTAGTGATATGGATTAATTAGAAAATATTGATCATAAAATGTGAAATAAAATAAAGATTTATTACTAAAATAAACTAGAATGAGTTTGAATGGATTGAAACTCTCTGTATACCTGAATATAACGTAATATCATACGCGTTAGCGGTATCTTGACCTAGCGTACCCGGCGAATACACAAATACGAAACGAGCATCCGAGCGCACTTGGACTTGGAACGCGAAGCGAAAACATGACCAGCCGTGTGCGAGTACCGCGCATCTGATATTCGATGTTGTAAATGTTATATAGGTACACATTATTTGTGTCGATGTGGTTCCGTTCACCGGACAGTGAATACACTCGTATACGTACATACAACCAAGAATGATAAATCGACGCGCGTAATATTACAAAATGTAACAAAAAAGGGTCACAAATCGTCCTCAAACAAAAACCAGCGGTAATAAATTCGCTTTATTACCGTAATTCCTCTGAAATGTCCTCAGAAAAAATTAAAATTCAAAATATGTATCGCGACTGCCACCAAAGGGTACGAATATGCAAATGCGGAGCAATTAACTCCCGGCAATAGTATCGGAATTAAATTAGTGGTGTGACGACCTACGAGTAAAGTGGTGCATGTTGAACGAGATGCTCGCGAGCATTACACGCGGCTGTCGGAAGCACAACGGAAATTAAATCCTGATGAGAGGATACTGAAGTATAACATAGTAGAGGGATGTCAAATCGCTGGGTCTCTTTTACCCTCAGCCTAACCCTGCACTTTGCAACTTCTTAGGACCAATTCTGCACCCTCAGTGGAAGTTTTTAAGTCTTCATCAACTCTTCTATCCCCTGCAACTTTTGCACAAAAGTTTCTGCACTTTCAGAAAAACTCCTTTGATTAGACCAGGTTTAAGTATCAATAATGATTGAAAGACGAAAAAAAAAAAATAAAAGAAGATATTTTCAATTTCGTTCATTCGGCTTTCGGTGGATATATTTGATTACACGCATCATTGGCTTTCGATAAACGTGATAATTATTGATTTTCTTGCCTTTTTCTTTAATATTTCGCATGCCACGTTTTTTTCGGCTATATTCTTGCGTCTATCGACGTTCCATTGTGTTCTCCAATAGGGTTGCGTTCTATAAGCTGATGGAAACATCGGAATTGTTGGAAAGCGTTGCAAAACGGCGGCCAATTCACCTCTGCGTCGGAGAGAGCGCGAGCCCGCGTCCCAAGTATCCATGGAAAGTGTCTGGTTACTATAGCAACGCGGCTGCCACTTGATTTAATCTAGAGGACTACTAGTGCAGCATAGTGTAGAGAAATGAGTGCGCGGGAGACGCGCACAAATTTCACTTGTAATTATTTACTCGTCTGGTTGCCGATGACGCCGTCGTACGGTGAAACGAAGCATAAAATATGAAAACATGCCAGCAGCCGCCAGCCAGCTAACGCAGAAGAAGAAGCCCTAATGTGAAATATTTACCGCACAATGTTGTGCAGCTGACGCACGAGGCGATCATTGAGGCGTGTAATTAAATCTCATTAATTATCGTTAGGCATAACAAACAAGTGCCAACCCTAAATCTCCCAAAATTACCACATTTTGTACTATCAAATAACCAAGGTTACGATTTTGATTGAAGCAGTGTCTGTCATCTGAATACATCTTTCTTGAAAGTATGGCTGGATTAGTGCCGCCTCAACTCTTCGAAAATGATCCGGATGCCCCGCCACCCAAACCAATCTCCTGCAGTTTATGCACGTGTATTTGCTGTAGGAAAGTATTTCCCCAGCGCTACTGCATGACAATAATGCTGGTCACTGGTCTTACTGTGCTATACATGCAAAGAGTGGGTTTGAACTTGGCTATAGTAGACATGGTGATCCCTGTGATCAAAACAGAAGAAGAAGCGCTTTGTCCCAGATCCACAGATAATCTCAACGCAACCAGCAAGAAAATCGATAATAACCAATTCGATTGGAACGAACAAGTGCAAAGTTATATCCTGTTGAGTTTCTACATAGGTTATGCAATGGGTAATGGAGTTGCTGGTTACTTCACAGATGAATATGGTGCTAGGTGGTTCCTGTTTGGTGGAGCGCTACTATCCACAGCCACCACAGCAATAATTCCAGCTTTAGCTGACTATACGCATTGGTTATGGATAGTGATCTCACGTATACTCACTGGTCTAGGTCAATCAACATTTTTCCCGGGATCTACGAGTCTAATCGCTCGGTGGATCCCCGAAGAACAAAAATCAAGCATTGCGGCGATAGTATTGACTTCATTCACGGTAGGAACCATCGCTGGGAATGTCTGCACGGGGTATATTATACAATGGACCAACACCTGGAGTTGGGTTTATTATATCTACGGGATTCTTGGATTTATCTGGTTGTTAATATTCTACTTTTTTGTCTATTCTGATCCGTACAAACACCCAAATCTTTCCAAAGTGGAAAAAAGTATTTTGGCTAAGATTACGACACCTGAACACCTCAAACTACCACTGAAAAGAATATTCAGTGATATCTCAATGTGGTCCATTATAATCGGACAGTTTGGTAACGATTTCACCTTGTATATCATCATCACCAACATGCCGAAATATTTCAAGAGTGTCCTTAATGTCAGTACCCATATGATAGGTACATTATTAATACTACCATCAGCTGCTTGTTTCCTGGGTAGTGTCCTCTTTGGACTAGCTGCTGATTATGGTGTAGGAAAATTGCATATGCGCAAAGTAACCGTGCGTATAATAGCGACAATATTTGCAATTCCTGTGTCTTGTATTTTCATGATGTTGATGACAATACTGCAATGCGATTTGATCTGGGCCAACATATTTCTCTGTCTGGCAATGTTCATGAAAGCTGGATTTTACGCCGGCGTTGGTGTGATGGGAATGGACATATCAATACACTTCAGTGGAATTCTAATTGGAATCGCGTCGATGTCCGGAGGAATTGCTGGAATGACAGCGCCTTATGTCGTCGGTCTCGTTGCAACGGAAAACACCTTTCCGCAATGGATGCTCATACATTATGTTTCGACAGGTATAGGTGTAATCTGCACGATTCCATATCTTATGTTTGCCAAGGATGAACGAAAAGATTGGGACTATCACACGAATGAAACTAACCCTTATCCTACTGATAATGTAGCTGTTTGTAAACGGATATGGGTGTGTTACAGAGCATCAAATCAAGTCCAGAATTAATATATAGAAATAAATATAAAAAGGTGGCGTTTGTCAAAACCACTTCAAATAACGTTTTATTTTATTTTTAAATTTTTAATTTCAAATCAAAAAAAATAAATAAATGGATACTGTGGCAGAACCTAAAGTCTGTAACATTTGTTACTGCATATGTTGCAGGAAAACTATCCCACAAAGACACGTAATGACCATTCTACTTATCCTAGGTCCAATTATCTTGTACATTCACCGCGTATGCATTAACCTAGCAATTGTTAATATGACAAGCTGGGAGGTACCTGAAGCCTCCCGTGAAGAACATGAAGTTTGTTCAAGAGGAAAAAACATTACAACTATCCCACAATTCGTTGAAATCTACGACCGACAATTCGATTGGAATGAATCAATACAAAGCTATATCCTTCTAAGTTTCTTTGTTGGGTACATGATCGGAAACTTTTGCATTGGTTTCCTAATCAATGCATTTGGTGGCCGTATATGTCTATTCGTCGGAGCATTCGTCTCTAGTGTGATGACCCTCCTTATACCTATAATAGCAGACTACACACATTGGGCAGTCGTGTGTGCTGCAAGAATATTAACTGGCGTGGGTCAATCCGCGCTGTATTCAAGTTCATCGAGTTTGATAGCTCGATGGCTCTTGGAAGAAAGCAAATCCAGTGCTGCCACACTGATTTTAACATCGTTTACATTCGGAATAGTAATCGGTAATGTCGGAACTGGTTATATCATGGCTTGGACAAATACATGGCGAATGGTTTTTTATATATTTGGATCAATAGGGTTCATCTGGGTGGTTTTCTTCTATTTTTATGTATATCCCAATCCACAATCACATAAACACATCACTAAAGATGAATTAAACCTATTGGAAAGCATACCGAAAGCTAGACAGACCAAGATTCCATTTGGGCATATTCTGAGTGATGTTGCTGTTTGGATGTTTTTCCTAGCATTCTTCGGTAGTGACTTCACAGTGTATCTAATCATAACCAACATGCCGAAATATTTCGTGACCGTGATGGGTTTCAGCACACCTGTGACGGGTATGATTTTAATAGGACCTCCAGCAGCTGGGGCCCTAGGAGGGATATCTATTGGTTTCCTAGGAGATCATCTCATTTCAAGAAAGTTGACCAAAAAGATCACCTTCAGACTGATTTGTACTACAATAGGTCTTCCTATCCCACCAATTTGTTTATTAATGATGGTCTATATGGAATGCGATGCCATCATGTCTTCATTCCTGGTAACCCTAGCAATGTTCTTCCAGTCAGCCTACTATGCAGGTGCAGGAATGATGGCTGTAGACCTAACACTAAACTACCCAGGACTTTTGTTTGGATATTGTAATGTGGCTGGAGGTTTAGCAGGTTCAATTGCTCCGTACATAGTCGGCCATTTTGCCAATAATAACACATTCAGAGAATGGAAGACAGTGATGTATATTGTCATCGCTGTTGCAGTAATAGCATGGGTTCCAATTATGATGTTCTCCAAAGCGGAGAGAAAAAGTTGGGATTATTCAGCAGAGGAAGAACCACCGCCAGAAGATAATACACCCGGAAGAAAAAAAGTGTGGTCTTGTTATAAACCAGTATAAACAAAATCAAAGGCTGTCAATAAAATAATAAATAAATCAATGTCAATGAAAAATTCGTGTTTTTCTTTTCAAAAATTAAAAGATTAAAAAATGGAGCAGCAAGAAGAAGAAAACGGAAAATGCAACATTTGCTATTGCGTGTGCTGCAAGAAAATATTCCCACAACGTATCCTCCTTCAGATTATGCTGGTCTTTTGTACAACAATCATGTACAGCCACCGTGTGTGCATCAGTATGGCCATCGTCCACATGACAAATTGGGTAGATAATTCTACAATTGAAGTGGTATGTACAAGAAGTAAGGTCAACACTTCTGTAAAATTCGAAATAAACGACATACAATTCGATTGGGATGAATCAATCCAAAGTTACATCCTGTTGAGTTTTTACATCGGCTATGTCATTGGAAACACATTTATTGGATTTCTAATCGACAAATTCGGCGGTAGATGGTGTCTATTCATCGGATCTTTAATGTCTAGTGTTATGACATTAATCGTACCCTTATTAGCCTATAACATGCATTGGGCTGTTTTATGTGTGTCCAGAGCAATTGCAGGTTTAGGCCAAACACCTTTAACAGCATGCACATCATCACTAATATCCCGATGGTTCTTGGAAGATAAAAAATCCGGAGCGGTTACAGTTGTACTAACCACTTATACGCTAGGAGTGATAATTGGTAACGTCGCAAGTGGGTTCATCATGGAATGGACAAAAACTTGGTGCTTTGTGTTTTACTTCTTTGGGACAATCGGTGTAATTTGGAATGTGATATTCTTTTTCTATGGATATTCATATCCGCAAGTGCATCCACACATCACACAAAAAGAACTAAAACTATTGGAAGTTATTCCTAAACCAGCAGAGATGAAAATACCACTTTGGCGTATTCTAAGTGACGTATCCGTGTGGATGTTCTTCATAGGTTTCATGGGCAGTGATTTCACTTTGTATTTAATAATAACAAACATGCCGAAATATTTCGTATCCGTCTTGGGTTTAGACACATCCTTAACCGGTGCGGTTCTAATGGGACCACCAGTAGCTGGTGTCCTAGGAGGAATCGTCTTTGGATTCACATCGAATTGGATCATCAAGAAAAAATACATGAAAAAACTAACTTTCAGGATGATTTGTAGTGTCATCGGACTTCCAATCTCATCAGCATGTTTACTAGTAATGGTTTATACCCGATGTCACGTGGTTATGGCTTGTGTATTGGTCTGTTTATCAATGTTTTAAAATCTGGATTCTACGCTGGTGCCGGCGCAATGGCAGTGGATTTATCCATCAACTATGGCGGACTGTTGTATGGATATTGTAATGTTGCAGGCGGGTTGAGCGGTATCGCCGCGCCCTACATCGTTGGTAGTTTAGCGTATCAGAACACATTCCCACAATGGAAGGTCGTGCAGATGGTCACGGTCGCAGTGGCAACCGGCACATTGATTCCGATTTTAATGTTTGCGAAAGCGGAGAGGAAAGATTGGGATTATGGTCCGGATGAAACGAAACCTCCAGTTGATGAGACACCGGCATGCAAACGAGTTTGGGCTTGTCATAGAGCAGTCTAGATAGTCTAGACTCGAAAATTTATAAACATTAAATTAATTTGTGTATATTTGTATAATATAAAGGTTTTTGGAACAAATTAATAAATTTTAATGATGTTTAAACAGCGTCTCGGATAATTACCTCAAAATTTTAATTAATTAAAACTAGTTTACTCAACATACAGAGTGTTTAAAGCAAAAAAATATATAAACTGTGATTAACCATTTTCTCCTCACACCAGACAAATATCCACCTTGCACACCCTTGCAAACCCTTAATAACCACTTATTCATATACAAATTCTATCTGCAAAAACCAGATCCATATTATGCTCCTGCTGGCGATGCGAATAAATATATTCACCGCTCCTGCGAGGACTCTTGTTGCGTGAGACCCATATGCATATTACATCCCCTAATCTCGCGTCCCCCTGATGGCATCACGCGCGCTCAGCCAAGCTAGCTATCTATTCAGCGACACGACATTAAACCGAAGAAGACGAAGCGCCAACAATGGCACACAATTCTGCAACTGCAGGCGCAGAGGGTGACCTCATCGACAACCCCCTTGACAATGTATGAATGGCACAATGGCGCAAGTTTGCACAGCTCTTAGGTCAAGAATTTTAAAACTTCTCTAGAAAATCTGTTGCTAACGTAACAAAACAGCACGAAAAGCAACTTTCCTAATGCGTTGCAATAAAAGCGAGGTAATTCCGTGCGCCGCGTGAACAATTAGTGCTAAGTGATAAATATTTGTACGAAATGCATAAGTTACTATCAAACAGACAAAGAAAAACAAAGTGAGAAAGGTTAATTGGTCACATTGGTTTTATCGTTATACCAATTTAGCATTCCGCGAACTAACAGCACTTGCTTGCGTAAATGAAAACAGTATTCAAATTAAACTAAGCAAACCTATAACTATAGATTAACTGCATGCGGGACGGGCAAAAAACAAGTTCTGTTTGCGGAAGCTATCTTCAAAGTTCAGATATTATATAAACCCAGGTAGAATATTATGTAACAAGAAATTTTGAAACCGAAACCTACTAACCAACACAGAATGCGTAAGCAATCACAGATACAATCTGAGATTTCTTCTTAGGTTTGACCTTCCAATTAGGCGAACAAAAAGACACACTTACCAGTCGAGCATATGGTGTGATGCATTACTAGGACTGAACGGTGTCTCACGCAACGCAGTTAGCCAAACATGTACAGCTACGCGGCGAGGAGGAAAAAATCAAGAAACCATTCAAAAAATATCGAAGAATAGCGCGTGGCGCACCGGTGGGACTGGTTTCACATCTCCTTCGAGACATTGCAGCCGGCAAACAGCTGATTATTGATCCAATTCACACAAACACACACACAAATACAAAATACAAATTCGGCGAGTGCATGTTTCTAGTTGTATGAATTCAATATGTCGGTGGGCCTAGTACAGAATGCAAGCACACCCGAATAGGGGCGTAAAGGGCCAATTAGCTAGGAGGGAAAAATCGATATTTCGCTAGTCACACTCGCTGTGGTTGGATGGCCGTGGTAATGAACTGCCTGCCATCATCAAATAAAAAAAAATCCAACAATACACAATCATACAGAAACAAATTGCAACGTTTTCGTTTTATTTCATTTTTTATACGCTGAACAAGAGAACACTACCGATATGATAATCATTGTATTACCTAAGTGCAGATTTGCATTGTATTGTATTGTTTCAACAAGACATGTGCAACTTCCTGTTCTGCAATATTCGCCATCAACGCAGATGCGCAAAACAGCAATTATCTCTCATCAAACGATGAAGAGAAAATAAGTACAAGTACTCTATATATTTTTCTTTATCTAGCCTTCAATTTAAAGTCTAAATATGTGAAAATACATAATTAAGAGAAACACAACATAATTAATAACTAATCTGGCACGAGTATTTCGCTCGTCTCAGACAATTACCACCAATTAAGTTCAATATAATACCGCTGTGAAAAGTTGTGCACAACAATACCGTATTGCAAAACATAGAAAACAATCAATATTTCATGCGATGTGAGCTAATAACAAACCAGAACTTACTTAATCGGATTATTTCTTCATTGATCAACATACACCTACCTAATTTGAATGTGATTTGAATAAAATTTGGTTGTTTGACATTTGAAATCTAGTTTTCATGCACTGTTTACTGTAATTTACTTAAAATACAGCTTCCTTGGTTTAATTAGACGCAAGGTTAACAAATACTACACAGGATTATCGTAAATAGTTGTGAAATTCTTGTTTAAACATCAGATAAAGTTTATAGACGTAAATATTGTTTCATTGCGTTTGAAAAATGCGAAATTAGAATGCATTACATTCGTCAGCAGTTTTCTCGTCGGTTAGCAACAAAAGAAAAACGTGTTTCATGTTTTCATCCACACGAAATAAAAGTGAGCAACTCTCATGAGGGCGACTGTACTTACCTCGTAGAAAGCCACCCACTAGGAGAGTTAATATTTCGCGCCCCCCATTTTCACATAGCAAGCGCTCTATACAAATACATCAACAAGAGAGAAAAGCGGCAAGTACCTTCATATCCTGTATGATCTGCTGGAAGAGTCCGCCGAGGGCTCCTGTTTCTCTCTCGATAGGGCCCTCCATGGTCGTCGCCACAATATTTATGTCCGTGTAATTCTCTCTGCGGCACTGCAACGTTTTTCTGTGTCTGCTAGCAACGAGAACTCCAAAACCTGCGACCTATGCGCTAGACACTATTGCTGCTGTTGCATTTTTTGTGCTTTTCGAGGAAATCCTGCACACGCAACCGATCGCAGTCCAGTTTATGACGCGCACTTATTATGATTGCACGCACTGCCTCATTATTGAAACTCGTTACGCGGAGAAGTGCAACTGCAACTGAAGCGCGCACTTACCGATAGCGATAACGAACGGCGACCATTACACGTTGAGACGCCGAGAAACACCGCGCGCGTACCGAGAGCGTCGAGACACAGCTTTGAATGCGAGGAGCTCTTGTGCGCACTTTAACACCACACGCGCACGCAACCAGCGGTCACACAATCGAAGACACGGCTAAACAAACGTACGCGGCACTCAACGTACGATCAAATGCATGGCATCGCAGCGCTGTGTTGTGTAACTTTTCGTACCTTGCGGCGATAGATTATCGTAGCTCGTTGATGTACGGCACGAGCAACGGAGGAACGACAACAAAACGAATTCTGGCCCGCAAAGTCGATGCCTGGAGTCGCTGGAGTCCCCACTCGCGCGCAGCGTTTGTTTTTATTACGCTAGCACCCTCTATTGAATCTATCACTACTAGACTGGCTGCATTAAATGTCATTCTTAACATGCAGCGACATCTACAGAGTTTTTATTAAAGTGAATTTACATAGGAAAGCACGTGTATAACATCATAACCATAATCTTTAAAAACCCTCCAACGGGTTTCCATAAAGTTTATTGTTTTGTTATAATTAGTGTTAAAAATGGGTGATAGTGCCGGGGTAGAAGACAAGAAGAAATCTCATCGAGATCGAAATTCTGGTATAAATTTACTTTTCAACACGTTATTTTAAATTTATTTATTAAAAATAATTTATAGGCAGGAAAGCAGATAAGAAAAAAGCTAAGAAAGATGCTAAGAATCCCGTTTTGGAGCTTACCGATAAGCAGCGCAACCCTAAAGCCTTTGCCTTTAACTCTGCCATCCGCGCCGAACGAAGATTTCGTCGTAAAGAAGACATAGAAACAAAAAAGCAACACATTCCTATAGTTGACAGACAATCCATTGAACCTCCACCAATTTTAATTGCTGTTGTTGGTCCTCCAAAGGTTGGAAAGACAACTGTTATAAACAATCTAATCAGGTTGTTTACCAGGTCACCTCTTACAGATATCAAAGGTCCTGTTACAATTGTAACTGGCAAAAAGAGAAGAATTACATTTATTGAATGTAATAATGATATCAATTCAATGATTGATTTAGCAAAGGTAGCAGATTTAGTTCTTCTATTGATTGATGCTAGTTTTGGTTTTGAAATGGAAATCTTTGAGTTTTTGAATATTTGTCAAGTGCATGGCATGCCTAGAATTATGGGTATTCTTACACATTTGGACATGATTAAGAACCAAACTGCTTTAAAAACTAAAAAGAAAACACTCAAGCATAGATTTTGGACTGAAGTGTATCCAGGAGCTAAGTTGTTTTATTTATCAGGAATAATTCATGGAGAATACTTGAGAAATGAAGTTAAAAACTTGGGCAGATTTATTTCTGTGATGAAATTTAGACCTTTAACATGGAGGACAACACATAGTTACCTCCTGGGTGACAGGTATGAAGATTTGACGAATCAGGAGATTGTTAGGAAGAATCCAAAGTGTGATAGAAATATTTCACTTTATGGATACATTAGAGGAGTACCATTGAATAAGAACACTATGGTTCACGTTGCGGGTTTTGGTGACTTGCGAATTCATGACATTTCATTCCTGCCTGATCCGTGTCCATTGCCGGATCAAATCAAGAAACGTGCGTTGATTGAGAAAGAAAAATTAATCTACGCTCCGTTTTCTGGTGTTGGTGGCATTGTTTATGATAAAGATGCTGTTTATGTAGAGTTGGGTGGTTCGCATAGTCATAATAAACGCGACGATGAGGATGAAACGACTAATTTAATGACAAATTTAATTGATGCTAAAGAAACTTTGGATGTTAAAATGGAACACTCCAAAATGAAGATTTTCACTGAGGGTGAAGAGATTACAGCTGAAGATGTTGGTAGGGAAGACGATTCTGATGATAGTGATGATGATGATGAAGATAAAATAGTTCAGAATGAAAATAAAGTTGAATTATATGCTAAACCTCAAGAAAAAGAGGAGGATGATTTGGATAAAGAGTTGGAGGAGTTGAGGAAACAGCATAAGGCGGAGATTGTCACGGATGATGCTGGAAGGACTCGAAGGAAAGTTGTTTTTGATGTTCCTGATGATCAATTTGCTGAAGATTTATCTGATGGAGAAGATGATGATGGTGATGAGGATGAAGAGGAGGAAGAATCGGATGTTGAAGAAGAAAATGAAGTCCAAACTCCAAACAAGAAGGGAAAATGAAGTCTCCTGCTACACCTTACGTCACTTTGAAAAATAATAAGGATACGGATGTTTTAATAAGGTACGAGTCACTTATTTATTGTTATTACTTACAAATGTCGTTTTAAAAATATAATTTTCATTTGAATATCAACTAAACCGGTTTGAGTCTACGGTGTAGTATATATACTGCATATACATAGACGTTGCGCGTACTAAACTGGATCAAACTCACGGAGCCGTGAAAGTTTCAACGTCTTGCTTCTGGTGAAAGCAACAATGCAACAAGTCTTCTGTAGCCGTGATCGTCTAGTGGTTAGGACCCTACGTTGTGGCCGTAGTAACCCAGGTTCGAATCCTGGTCACGGCAATGTGTAAAAGCATTGTCACGGAGAAGACGTTTTTTGCGCACCTTTATTTTTTGATTGGGCAGCAGGAAATTACATTTGAACACTAAAGCTTGATAAAGTCGATGGTTATGTGTAGAAAATTTAGTTTCTTTTCATGCTAGCTTTTAATTTGGAAGTGTTGTGGATATAAATATAGTAAACAATAAATTTTCAAAAAGATGTCTTCACCGTGACAATGTTTTTACACATTGCCGTGACCAGGATTCGAACCTGGGTTACTACGGCCACAACGTAGGGTCCTAACCACTAGACGATCACGGCTACAGAAGACTTGTGAGCCTGCAATTTATTCAACAATTTTTTACTGAGATTCGGAAAATATTTAAATGTTTATTTAATGTTGCAATAGTTTAGATATAATTAAATGTCGCCCCGCGAACTTGACTGGAACGTGTAACCTTGACTGTTTCAAGCTGCACCTATGCATGTTTTACATTGGATTTGTTTTAATATTTGTATAAGTTGCTACTGCGCGCGGCCAGACACTTTGTTGCGCTTAATGCACAACTGGTTTAATTAAATCGAGTAAAAGTTGTATAAATCCGCGGTTTTATAAGTCTTCTATAGCCGTGATCGTCTAGTGGTTAGGACCCTACGTTGTGGCCGTAGTAACCCAGGTTCGAATCCTGGTCACGGCAATGCATAAAGCATTGTCACGGAGAAGACATTTTTTTAAATCTAAAGACGAAGCTGTTACATTGATTTGATACATGTTTTTATTATAACTTTATAGGTAAATGAAGTTTTAAAACAACTTGATGAAAAGAAGTTTACGCAATCCGATTCGGATGATAACGATAGTGATAGCAGTGAAGAAATAAAAACATTTAAACCAAGTAACGCAGAAAGCGATGGCGACAGCATGTCTGATCTAAATGAAGAATCTTCTGATGAAGATGAAGAAACTAAAAATAAAAGCAAAGATGCGTCCAAAACTTCAAATGATGATGAAGACGAAGAGTCCGAGGATGATTTTGATAATCCAGACTTGAAATGGAAGGATAATTTAGCTAAAAAAGCCGAAGAGGCATTCTTCGAACGCCAAAAGTCCAGCAAAAATCTTATGAAGTTAGTTTACGGTGTATTTGACACTAAACATTTAACAAAACTCAAAGAAAACGAAGAAAGCGAGGAGGAAGAAGAAGAAATTGGTGGGCTATTCAAAGTCGCGTCAAGAGAACAAGAAAAACGAAAAATGGAGAAGGATCAAATGGATCTAGAAGAATCCACGTTGAATATGCCATGGAACGCCAACATCCGCAATTGGCTCGAAAATGAAAACAAAATAAACATACAGAATTGTTTCGTTACTGGCAAATGGAAAGAATCTGAAGATGCCAGTGAATTACTACGTTTAGACGACGCGGAAGATCTCAGCGATGTTGGATCGGAATGTTTTGGTGATTTTGAAGACTTAGAAACAGGTGAAAAGTTTTCTGGTGCTGATAAAACCAACAATCCAGGTGGTACAACAGATAAACGCAAGAGAAATGAATCAGAGAAGGATCAACGTGCTGATCGGGAAGCACTAGCCGAAAAGAAGCGAAAACTAAAGGAAAAATTCGATGCTGAGTATGATAATTCAGAAAAAGCTTCGTTTTACGAAGATTTGAAAACCACCGCCGAGAAACAAGCACAACTCAATAAATCAGTGTTTGAAAACATGCCAGATGACCTACGCGTGCAGATCGAAGGATATCGTGCAGGAATGTACGTCCGAATCGAATTCCAAAATGTCCCCTGCGAATTTATTACGAATTTTAATCCTAATTATCCGATTGTTCTCGGGGCTTTGAACATGGGCGAAGAAAATATTGGTTTTGTTAATGTTAAGATCAAAAAACATCGTTGGTATAAAAAGATTTTAAAGGCTAATGATCCTTTAATTATATCATTGGGTTGGAGACGATTCCAAACAATACCACTTTATTCAAAGTTGGAGGATGATATGAAATGCAGATATTTAAAATATACCCCGGAACATCTAACGTGTAATGCGCACTTTTGGGGACCAATTACACCTCAAGGTACCGGTTTTCTTGCACTTCAAAGTTGTGATCATAATATTGAAGCGTTACAATCGCTGGGTTTCCGTATTGCTGCTACTGGAGCAGTACAAGAGTTAGATAAATCAACACAGATCATGAAAAGTTAAAATTGATCGGTTATCCGATGAAAATTTACAAAAAGACTGCTTTTATCAAAGGGATGTTTAACAGTTCATTAGAAGTGGCTAAATTTGAAGGTGCACGTATTAAAAGTGTGTCTGGTATTCGTGGACAAATTAAAAAGGCTGCCAGTAAACCGGAAGGGGTATTCCGAGCTACTTTTGAGGATAAAATTCAATTAAGCGGTATGTAGATATAGTTTTGTGTCATTTTCGTGAGCATAATCATTTTTTTTATTGCTTCAGATATAATATTCTGTAGAACTTGGTATAAAGTTGATGTACAGAAGTTTTACACTCCTATCACCACATTACTCTTGCCTGAAGACCAAAAGAATTCATGGAAGGGATTGCGTACTACTGGAGAGATTAAACGCGAACGAGGCATCCGCAACGAAGCAAATAAAGATAGTGCTTATACTGTAAGTGTGGTTACATAACTCTTTTGTACATTATTTATAACTTTCTTGTTTTTGAATTCTAGGAAATTAAACGCGCACCCAAAGTGTTTAAACCTTTGGTGATACCAGCTAAATTACAACAAGCATTGCCATATCGTGATAAGCCTAAGCACGATGTTAGAATCAAGGATAAAAAGAAGCAGATTGAACGCGTCGCAGTAATCCGCGAACCAAAGGAACAGAAGGTTGCCAACATGTTGAAAATGATCAAGACTACATACGATCACAAACAGGAGCAACTCAAACAGCAAACGAAGGAGCGCATTGCGACGCACCGCAAGAAAATTGAAGCGATCGAAATGAAAAAGAATAAGAACCTACGTGACATCAAAAAGAACGTGTTCCGGCAGAGGAGTAAAGCACAAATTGCAGCAGAACGCAAAGGTAAAAAAGGTGGTGGTAATAAATCCGCCCGCGATGAATTGGATTAGATATTTAAATTTAAATAATAAAAAAATTCATTATAGACATATTTGTTATGAAGTTATGTTTATTTGGAGCATCTGGAATTAAAACAGAAATAAATAAGTTAAAAGGGATATTTCGGGAGAGATTGCTCTGGATATTCTAAAAACTTTGAGATATTAATAAATATTTATAATAATCATATAGTATACTCGTCATGGTCAACAAATTTTCGATAATTTTCTATTCGTAAAGCAGTTTATGTAGCGTTTTACTTCGAGAAAATTACGTTACGAGCTGACTTTGATTGCTAAACAAAACATTTCGCTATTTTTACGTCGCATCACATCACACTTCATAATATTGCTACAACCCGATTAGTTTACACCCTTTGTACTGTCGGACATTTTGAAAAAAATACTCCATTATGATTTCTAATCAAATAAGTACTCACCTAAATGTTATTACTGTACTACCTATTGATTCAGTCGATTGTATGTGATATAAGGCGTTTTCAATTTCGGCTGGATGGTAAACCCTGTCGACGAGCGTTTTCAACTTGCCTGTGTCTACCAGTGTCTTCAACTCGTCGAGAGTTTTATGACAAATGTGAACTTCGCCGAAATTCCGTACTTGCTTCCCGAATAAAATCTAAAGAAACAATATTTAAGGTAAAAAAGTATTAAAAACTTAAAATTTTACCTGATAATAAGACTTCAGTCGAACATATGAGTTGAAAAGAAATGATGTTGGGAATTGATATGAATCCTCGGACAATGTCGACTGTGCAGTTGAGAAATAGACGCCATTTGGACAAAACTCTCGAAACTGCGCATCATCCACTCCGCACTTGCGCGTATTGATAATAACATCAAATGGATCACGCGCTGCCAACGCCTTAAGCAGCACATTTGCATCTAACTCGGGTAGTTGTAGATTCTGGCCATTTTTCACGCGGATTTCCGAGTTGTAACCGAGCATGATAACATCATCGACCTTAAGCGCTTCGGCAACTGGCACGGCACGTCTATAGCACGTGGTCGTGACATGCGCTTCCCATACTTTAAACAATTGCACCAGAATACAGCCCACTGGCGTGCAGCAGCCTTGTACAAATATTCGCCGACCACGCATCGCTTCTGGTGAAGTATTTAACTCTGCAAGCACATTGAGAGCCACACCACCGGCATATGGTATACTACAAGCGCCTTCGAAACCAATCGCGGAAGGTTTTAAGCATACGTCTACTTCATTAGCGACGAAATATTGACACATTGTGCCCTGCGCCCAATACGGCGAGGTTGTCCATACTTCATCGCCGATGTCAAAACGCGTTACGTTTTTACCGATATCCACTACTAATCCAGTACAATCACGGCCTAATGTGACTGGGAGATCATGTTTTGAATACTGGAAATCAAAGATTTTACATTAGATGAAGTTAAAAGATAATAATTAGTCATTTCCAAATATAAACTTCTAAATTTATAACACACGCACCTTGAAAAGTGCGATGTACACGTATAATTAGTTATTTTCTTTGCCAAAGATATAATGAAGCGTGACTAAGTCGGTCAATGTGCAAAAATAACGCGGAAACAAACCTGATAAGTGGACAAAAGTCGTCGGAGTGTCCGGCCATATCCGCTGCAGATATCTGCGTCGATGACTTGAACCGATGCGGCTTTCACGTTGATTAAAACTTCATCGTCTTTTATGTGCGTTGTCGCGATGCCTTCATCTGTTGCTGAAGCACCCTAAAATTATATTAACATTTATTTAATGACAATGAATGTTTTATAAAATGTTACCTCTATTCCAACATAACTTGTGCATTGCACAGCAAGCATATGTTTGAAAACAACTCCTTTCTTATGGAATGCAATACCAATACCAATCCCAAATAAACTCCCAACTAAAATGCCTGCACATCCAAAGAAAACATCTCTCCTGCTCCCTAAAAATAATAAATTAGATTTATTTATAGAATAATAATATATTGAATTAACTTACATTCTGTTCCAAACACTCTTGTTAAACTATGAATGATCATTCTGGGATTGCAATGATACAGAATACTACACCTTAATTCATCCAATATTGTACAGCAGTAGCTACAAAAGTTTCTAAGAGCTTCCTGTATGTGAATGGAAGTAGGACTGTTTAGTGTGTGCACAACTGCATTCTTGGTACTGTATGAAAGTTGTGAGATTGCTTTGGATCCCTCTGTCACAGCAACTCCCATCTGATACTGTAAGTAAATTAAAACAAATGCTTTTAATTATGTAACTGCAGCATGTCTAGGTCTCCCTTACCTGCAGGTGCTCGATCTTTTGCGAGCTGCGAAACATGAACTCATCCATTTTTAAATCAATTGCTTTGCGTTGTTGGGTGTGTACTTAGTGGATCATTGTCTCAATAAAAATAGATTGTTTTGTGATTGTCGTTGTCGTGTTCGTCTTCGTTTTTGAACTTATATAACCTGCAAAGCGATTTGTGTGCCGACATTGAAACTGGGAGGTAGGATAAAGGCACGCGAGCCAAGCACACGTTATTTAAAAATCTTCATGCGATCGACATTATTTTTAGCGAACATCGAACCGGACGTAAGTCTCTTGGGTAGTGTAGTTAGTGAAACAGCGGAACGATTACAGAGTGATCGGTAATCAGTTCATACTCGGCAGTTTTTAGTGCTTCAAGTGGGGGGAAGCTATAGCAGGAATAAACAGCGAAAAACGAGGAATGATAACTGAAAATTTGGGTTGATTCGAATTAGTTTTTTATGATAGTGTCACTTCATGTGAAATTATGAAGTGACTGAATTCATTATTGTTTGTTGCAAACCACAACAATCTGTATCCATGGAGATAAAAACTATTTATTTGTTTTGTAACTAGTGCACTACTGATATAAATTACTAGCTAAAATACTAAAATAGTTGTTATCTAATTATTATCTCTTTTGATTTTAAACTTTTTAAAGACTTTCACAACTAACGCATGCGCGCTTACATACCAAACATGCCACTCGCACTTTACTTTAACCGCACTTTTATATGTCAAACATTTTTCAGTAAACAAGACCGCAGAATCTTCTCCCGATTAAAAATATAGTGTTTTTAACAATTTAGAGACGTAATGATGAATGGAAATAAAGTGGACGTGGATTTACTACGTCCAGGAACCGTTCCAATATCTCCGGACACTGTTCTATGGTTTGAATTTCTCTTGGACCAATCATTGCTTATAAATCATCTACAAAAACCAAATCCAGGTATAATTAATTTAAATTTACTTAAATTGTAGTTTAATAATTTAATTCATTGGTATATGTAACTGTAAAATATAATAGAAATTAAATGTTTCATAAATTGTTAAAGATTTTAACCCAAAAATATTAAACCTCAATCCTAAATCTAATTTTAAATATTTTAGACCCTAGCCCAACTGAATTAATAACGAAATTCATAACTGCAATCTATGAGTCAATGAAAAATGAAGTCAGAAGAACAGACATTGAACCTATGGAAGTTCCTAATGTGGAATATGAAGTTGAACCAAAATTATCACTCAAAGTGCTTGCCTTGAAAATACTTTCTCTAAAAGTAGCTGCAGTGATAAAATGGAACCCAGGTAATATAAAAACATATATCTGTATGCTTAAAACCCTTTTGCAATTATAAATATAATTTCAGTGTCAATAAGAAGTACACCATTCAAGATACAAAGCAATTTACTACTTGATTTGCTGCTTTTTACCGGCAATAAAGCACCAAATGAAATACCGAATATTCCGAATGTTAATGCAAACCCATCTGGACATTTTGTTGCACTGCATGCATATCACAGATGGTTAAACATTCCGATTGTTAACGCAAATCCGACTGAAGTCTCTTCCAGTCCCAGCGAATACTTATTTGCGCTGGTTATTTATCATAGATGGTTGATAGCTACTTGCATGCATAAAATATACAGTACTTCAAATAATAATAGGTAAACTTTTAATAAATTCATCAAATTATTTTTTAATTTTGTAATTATTTTTAGAATGAATGGAGACATAATACCAACTGAACTATTCTGCACGAATGAAAACATCGAAAACTCGCTCAAATTTCTTACTCAATCACTTGAATGGCAAACACCGCCGAAAATGCTAACGCACACATGTTTTATCTTCCTTACTGAGAGTAGTACCGAGCCGCAATTTAAATGGGACGACGCCATTCCTATCAGTCGCGAGGAATTTCGTGCGCAGATACATTATGACATCGGGACGTTTTGTTTCTTCAAGGAGAACTATCAACTTGCAGGCAATCACTTCCAAGCATGCAGTAAATATTTAGCTGATATGCAGGACAGTGTTGAGTTTTGTACGGTTGACAAAGATGCTTTGGATAATTATTTGATTGCTTGCCTTGGTAACTTTGATAAAAAGAGTTTATTTGAGGAGATGAATTATTGTGAAGCCAATAATTATGATGTAAGTGATATATTTCATTGTTTCATTATTTAAACATTATTAATAACAATTTTTCATTAGGGTATATTGAATGTACTGATTCAAGACAACAAACTCAGAGAAATTCCGATATGTGAAAGGATTATTTTGGAGATGAATTTAGCTGGAGGTCTTTCAAGTGGTAAATACACAGTTGGGAATGATCTCCTGGTGAAAATTCAAGCATTGAATGCTGTGAGATGTGTTGTCGGACGATTTACGTCACATACATTTGATTATAATTTACAAAATTTGGAGTTTTTGATATGGGCTACATCAGCAATGTGGAAATCAATCAATAATGAAGACAAACATTTGCTGTGCTCATATTTTATGAAAGTTATTGTGAATTTGGAATCTGAGGAGCTTTTAAATCGACTTTTAAAGCATGAGATTTTATCGGATATTTTCTCTGACATCGATGTTGACGCACTTCGTGATTCTATAAGTAAGAAAGAAGAGGTTCCGGATTTGTTAAAGGACGCTTATTGGGATTTACAAGCACCTAACAGTATGTTTTAAGTAATTTTTTTTTTTATTTTATATATAAATTTATAATTTGTAGAAAATCCGAAGTTGGAAATACGTCTGCTGGAACTGCAAATTATTTCCTGTTATGATTCGCAAGAATTACGCGATTTGTTAGTGAAATTGACAATTAAGAACCCAAATCGCCCGATATGGAAAATTAACCCAAATTGGGAGCTTCCAATTCCACTCCAGAGTGTTGTAACAAATATTCCACGAGGTAATAATACTTTTCATAAGTTTATAACAAAATCATAATTTTTATTATGTTTTTAGGGTTTTTGCAAGACTTTAGTTATGTACTACTCGCAAAATCTCGTGAATTAATGCTTTCGAAAGATTTTGGATCTTCTATTGATTTTCTAAACATTCTACAAAAAGAAGTAGATGGATCACAAGCCAAGTTGTCAAAATTAATCAGTTGGGAGATTTTACTCGTGCAAATTTCGCAATATTTTGATGAATGGCCAGCTCTTCATATTGGTAATATATAATATATTTTAATTACAAACTTTTTATTTATTTTTAATTGAATATTTATTATAGATCGACAAGAATTAATATCAGCTTGTGAGAATTGCTTGAGCAACACTGAAATGATTCCACGTACTGAAGTTATGGCTGAATGTGTACTTTGTTTATTAAATTTGCGACGCAAAGAATTTTTGATTTCGTTTAATAAGCCATGGACATACATTGAAATTGCCTCAGCCATCTCACTTGCCTGTCAGGATATTGCAAAGATTGGTAAAACGGACAAGAAAATCACAAACAAAGATATATGGGATTTAAGTATGTTTTAAACATTTTTTTGTCACAAATTTAGTTTAATTCGTTATAAATCACATTTTAGTTGTGCCAATTTTTGCAACAAGCTCCCAGTCTAAACGCAGCAGCTCAGGAGCGAATATAATCCACCGAGATTCACCCACAAGCAACAATAAAGTACAACTATTATCGTTCCTCAACCGACTACGAGAACCCACCGCTTTATCAGTTGTTATTTCTGTGCTTGCTCGCCTCTACAATTTGCTAAACGACGACACCAGCATCTCAGTAAACGTAGAGTATGTGACTTTATGGCCATCTACAATAAGCAGTATAAGTTCATACAATACCGTCGCCGTAACGGAAGCTTTATCAGACTTGGTTCTGCAAGCACTGAGATATTACCCGACGAAAATCGCCTGGTTGCACCTGATGGGCGACCTGTGCTTCTGTAAGTATTACGTATTAAACACCCACGTACTCTAAACTCATCTTAAACGTACTTGCAGCGAATTCTAATTACGATAACAGCCTGCGTTATTACCTGCAATCTCTCATAGTGCAAACGGATTATTTCAACCATCCGGTGCGCAATGACGACCACATTTTCAAGCGCATGATCAAGTGCTGCACGCATCTCGGCTGCCACACACAGGCGGCGGTGCTTTGTCAATTCCTAGAGCAGCCGGACTTTACGCTCGCGTTTCGCAGCCTCGTCGATTTCAAATCCTGCAATGATTCGGTCGAAGCGTACTACCACTGCTTCTGGGACACGAATATTTTGGAGTATTTAGTGCATTTGCACCATAAGCGCGGCGAATATCAACGCAAGAAGAAAGCCGTGCATACGATTGGCATGTTAGAGTTGAATTCCAATAATAATAATGAAATTCATCGTGAGGCGGTTAATTTAAGAAAGCGGACATTTTTACAAGCATTGTGTCGACAATATGTTCGGTAATTTTTATGTATTTTGAATATATTTGATGTAGTTTTATAAGCAAGATTTATTGTAGTCTTATTTGACGATTTATACATGGAATAACATTGTTTATCACGTATCACTATCACTTGTTAGAACTGATAACTGTGATAACTGAAATGTTGTAAGTAAATATTATTGTAGTTAGTTCGTTGTGTGTCCGATAGGTGTCGCTAGCATTCAGTATTCCTGCTGAATTTCGTTGGAATGTGCGGTCCTATCTCAATTCCAACCCCGCGAACGCGATCCAGCGATATCGCACACAGTGTAGCGCTCGCTTGCGTTGCGTTCGGTGCCGCACATTGGGGATGGTTATGTACGCGCTTGCCGTCTGTATCGCGCGTTTCGTAATTCGCGTAGTGCCGCATTTGAAAAGTTTGTGTCCGGCTCGATGAACCAACTAAATTTAAACGTATAAGTCTGCAAATCAAAAGATAAAAACATCTTATCTTGTTTATCAACGTACAATAAACACAAATAGTGTTATGCGTGGTTTAACTTGACCAAAACTTAAATTAAAACATTTACATGAAGTACAAGACGGTTGATTCTTAATAATAACAAGTAAGAATGTGATAAGTGCGAAGATTGCAAGTGTAATCAGGATCCAATATGAAGTGGGCAAGTCACGTCCTCGCAATTCTGCTCTTCATAAACGGTGAGTGATTGTATGTGTGTGTTTGTGTTTCGGCTATAACTGATTTTATGATGATGCATATTTTATGCATTAATATTGCAAAGCAATTTAATTGGTAGCACTACGCTGGCCGAAACTAGCGCGTTGTAATTTTAATTCGACGCTTGAAAACTGTCGTGTTTGCGGTGTAACGACTTTATATTCATACTGGCGAATTTGGCTGGCTTTGACGCTCTCATCGCGAGGAGTGCGACCGCGTCGTTTGCAACTTAATTAAAACCCGACGTTAATTTTACATGTGCAACTATCATAACGTGTGGCGAACGCATATGTGCAAACAGACACACACTGACTGTGTCAATGCATCTAATGCTGGATATTATGTTATTTGGTTTGTAACAAGCGGTGTGGCGGAATGTATTGGCATATTGCTTACGAAAGTAATTTCCCCGAAGAACAATTTCAGCGAGGACTGCGCACGTCCGCGGTTTTGTACTCGAATCTCTACCTGCTGCGGCCGGCAGCATCATAACGAGCTAATCAACAGTCTCGGGGTTAATTGATAGTAAGCGCTCGGGCGTTGTTGTTTTACGCGTGTAAATCCAACAAGGGTGGCTAAGTGGTATGGGCAGTTGCATCACCAATCGCGCGATGGCAATCAGAACAGTCAAAACAAGGCGCGCGCGCTTAACATTCGTTAACAGCGATTGTTGTTTGAGTAAATTGTTCGCTCGTCGTTTTCCTAGCTTGTCCTAGTTAATATACGAATGTGTATGGCGATCGGGTCATTAATATTCGTCGATTGTTATCGCAAATTGCGATGATTCCATGATTTATTTCAATTGCGCCGTTGGCAATCCGCGGGATGCGCTGGAATTGAACTGGGTTTGCGTTTGAGTGGAGATTTCAACATTGCCCGAATACTCACATACGTGTTGTGTGTGTGGGGGTTGTTCGGTTGTTCAAATAACAAGCAATTTGAATTATTTACAATTAATATTTTACTATCTGCCGTGTTTCATAAAAATTTATGCAAATATTTACCGAATTCAATGGTTGAGCAGGATATTTACGGTGAGGATGTCGAAAATAGATTGGAATAGCACTCAGTGTAAATGAAAAGTATGTTAAAAACACATTAGAGCTGAGATGGTCCAGCCCATACGCGCCCGTGTTAATCTCCGCATAATCCGAGTAAATAACACTTAATGCCGTTAAATATTAAATCAGAAAGCCGCGAAGCATTAATGCCCTTCGGGTCTTAAGGTCTTATTCGGCCAGGGCGCCAACACCACCGATTCCGCAGTCAACGATCCGCAAATTAAGTGCTTTTTAGAGTTTTCCACTTTAAATTCTCGCCTCTTTAGCCTACTTATCAACTTTCTAGGAAAAATAGACCAATTTTATTCAATTCTTCGCCGAAAACAATGATAATTACCTTCAGACATTCCCGAAGTAAAATTTTTAAATCTATTTTTAAAATTTGCAATATTATCCATCAAAACCAGCTAAAAACTTTTCTCTACGATTTTTAGTTATCAAATTATTATGATTTTAACCGGTGGAATATAAAATATTCAAATTTATTCAATTTTCTACGAAAAATATTAATAATTACCTTCAAATATGCTCAACATAAAATTTTTACATCTAGTTTTAAAAATTTGCAATATTATCTATCAAAACCAACAAAAAACTTTCCTCTTCGACGTTTAGTTTACAAATTATTCTAATTTTAACTATTTGAATATAAAACATTCAATTTTATTCAATTTTCTACGGAAACATTGATAATTACCTTTATAGGGAAGGTAGCCTAATTTGGACCAGCGCCTAAGTTGGACCACCACGATATCCGCGGACTGTTGAAGTTTGTGCAAAAATAGACTGGCCCCTCGTTTTACTCGTATTTATAAACAATTAATGCAACTATTTGGGTTAAAACTTGCCGCGTGCTTTCTTCGTGGCAACAACTTCGTGTATCATTGATTATCAAATCTATTATAACGACGTAAGTGCAAGAGCTGTCAAGCCGTTTAAACGTTAGTTTTACTGATTATTATATTATCATCAGAAAGCTTCTTTATTTATCTATAATTTATAGTATTAATTTTGAGAGGTTATGTTATATTAAGATTGTCGTTGATCATTAAATATAAATTCTTCAAGTTGCCCAAGTTGGACCGAAGACAGGCACCGGAGTTTTACAGGGAAAACGTATATCATTTTTTCGACCTCCTAGAAAAGCTTGTGGACGAGCACAAATCTTCGAAATGATCCACTGTATGAAATGCCGCACTTTGGTTTATACAAAATGTGCTTGTGTTACTGCTAAAACTAAAATTTACTATTGTGTCAATTGCCGTTAAAAAACCATGGTCCAATTTAGGAAACCGCGCGGTCCAATTTAGGAAACCGGTTTCTTACTTTGGACCAAAAACACAATTTTTAAATTGAAATATGAGGGGTATAAATATAATTTTTACTTAAACCAAAAATATCATTTTGTTGGTAAGCATTGTGAGTTACTTTTCCGCTACTTAATTTTTATTGACAGTTTATATGTGGCTCTATAAATCAAAAATATAAAAATGGTCCAAATATGGCTACTCTCCCTAAATTTTCAACGTAATTTTTTTGAATCTATTTTAATATTATCTTATATAGTTTTCGAATTATTTTAATTTTTAGCATTAAAATATAAAAATTCAATTTCATACCTCTCCGACTAATTTTGTTTACGATTTATTTGTTTTGCTAATTTCCAATTTCCATTCCTATTTACTATATACAATAATTTCCCCTATTGTGGGTAATTTCCCATCAAGTTTACGAGTTTACGAGTGGAGCGCGCAGACGGCGGCCTTTTGTGCCGTTTTTAAACGAAGAAAAACGCTTGATAATGTAGTATGTAGTATAGGTGGGTACTTGTTGCGTGACAAGCAGAAACGCGAGCGATTTTCTTATCGCGCGAACAACAACAACGGGTGATATTTTTAAGTTAGCGCGACTGACACATTCATGAAGGGAACGGACGAAGGAGCACGCCATGAATGCGCTGGCCTTTTGTGGTGCGGGCGCAAACTTCGTGTCGGCAAACTCGATTATGGAAAATTATAGAATAAAACGCATACTAATGCGAATAATATCATAAATATTGTGTTACGTGGCTATAATTGTTTTAGAATATCATTTCCTCACGTTGACGTTGATATTTTTCGTTTAAAAAGTCAAAGAAATAGGTTATTACACAAACAATAGTAATTATAATAAAACTAAACATTCACAGATGGAGCCACTTATGAAAGCTGTAATTTATTACACTAGCAGTTTGGTTATGAAATATTTGACATTTTGAAGTCGCGCTCGGCGAGTAATGAAGCAATAAGCTGCGCACGCGGCAGCCATCTGTGATCCTGCGCCTGTTTCTGCTCCTGATCCTGCATGCGTCGAACTATTCAATCACTGACTGCACGCATTAGCATCGGCATTCATATTCGCGAGGACGACACGCTTCGGCTGCCGTTCGATCATGACTAGACTGCGACATTTGCGACATTCGCGACAGTCACTCGACACTTGAGCGGAGTGATTGATTATGGACTCGGACTCAAACTCGGACGCGATTGAAAAAAGCGATTCAAAACATACCATCAGCGGGCGGGTGTGTGGCTGGTGTGTACATTTGTAGGCTATTTAGCCACGCAAACTATAAATTATGCAGGCGTGTCATTGATGGACGGATAGGCCATTGCTCAGCAAACATATTTATAGCTTTTTAATGGATCCATTTGATATTACTCTCATGAAATATTAACAATTTTACCCGAAATTTTAATGCGTAGTTTTATATTCGTATTTAATTATTTAAAATTTTTGATTTCACTTGACCGCGAGTGCTTTTCACATGCAACAAAAAAAATCACTTTACACTAATAACAATGTTAAATTTACAACAGCGAACAAACTCGGAAATTATGAGTGGATATTTGCAATCTGCATCATCAATCATCAATAAAATGGACGTGCATGGTGAAATATTTTAATTAACACTCGCGCATCACTTTTTGGCACATATTGATTGACAACACACGCGTCCGCATATTTTATTATTCTTCCGGCATTTGTTTTTTGTTTTTAGTTGCAAACAAACTCGCTGAGTGCGCGTGCACTCATCCGTGTCCAATTTTTAGCATATTTCAGTTTCAAATGTTCGTGCTAAAACTTTTGATTGGCACGATGCGGCGTATATGCAGAGAATTTAATTAAATTAAAGTATGGTGCGTGTTTTTTACAAATACGTAGAGTATTCTTTATATTTTTTACTTTTTAACTAGGTGTACAGCATGCAATTAATTGCATCACGCATTTTATTTTATTTTTATTTTCATTTTGTCAAGTTCAGTTATGTAGATGTAGTAGACGTGAAGTATGCAACCAACTATACATTTATTCAATGTTGTCATACCAGTAATATATTATATGATAGGTTATATTTTGGAAATATTCAATATTTATTTGTAAATACATGAATATGTTATGAACAATTTGAATTCCGATTAAAATCCTAGTTAATGACTATCAACCGATATTTCCGATAAAATCGTGCACGCGATAGGATATTAACTTATCAAAATTGTGACTAGGCCTTGCTTTTCGTTTCATTTGTATCCGTTCACAACCAATTTGTTGGAGTGACTGTGAAATAGTTGTTTTTGATTCCAACCAGCACACAACATTAACCTATATTCAAAATCAAATGAAAAAGTTTCATTTTTTGATCGACCATGCTACGCTGGTGTTGTTTGTGATTAAAGTTCCATTATCTGTTCTGTTGAAATGTTTATTTTCGATTCACAAACCTTGTTATTTATTTACGCCGGCTGTTGGACTAGCAATTTACAACGTATCAGCCGAAATAGCTCAGTTGGGAGAGCGTTAGACTGAAGATCTAAAGGTCCCTGGTTCGATCCCTGGTTTCGGCAGCAATTTTGAAATTTTTGGGTTTGATGATGATTCGT